CTTTGCTTATTACAGATTCCGTAGTCACGTGACCATTTATAGTGTATAACTATGGCGGGTGACCTTTTGGAAAAAAGTATTTGCCGACTACCTAACATGATTTAACGCGAGAAAAAAGAATCACCAGGTGGTCTTTCGGTCCGATAGTCGGTTCAGCCGGTTCATCAAAATCTCGAATTTGGATGAACGCAATGAATCTTGAGATTTGGAAATGTAAGGTCACATTTAGTACCGGCCGCTTCAATGACGGGAACTTTTGGGGTGGGTCAGAGTGGGAGTGGCGGACGCTAGTATCAGGTAGGTAGCACCCATTTCGATCTATATAAGTATTACAGACATAACAAGTAGACTGCGGCCGACAGCGTGGCCTCGTAAGTTATGCACCTCCGGTGCATACGATTGTCTGTAATACTGTAGACCGTCAGCAGGTAGCCCATTAGTCATTTTCTATTGATTTGTTCGGGAAAATATAATTTTATCCTTTAAATGATTACTCCGTGTTAATGCGTAATCGACAGATTTCTAGAAAAAACAGGACATGTTTCCGATTGAAATTCTGTGTTGATATGTTTTGGTTCCAAATATAACTGGTTGCCATTTTATTCTGCGAACAATGTAAAATTTTGAATGAACACAGAATTTTGACAAAAAACAAAAGGAATACAAATGAGAAAAATTACAGCAATTAAACAAAACAACGAAAGTTATCAAAATTAAACTACATAGTTTTGGCAGTATTACGTTTTTTGGTTTTCTTATTTTAAACAGCAATGCGATACCTATTCGCACATCGTCGTTTGTGGGAATGTTCCCAGACACGGAGCGGGCAACGCATTCAACCAGGCTCCAGAGTCTTTGTTTAGTGCAGCCAGCAAGACAGCCCTGTTACGTTTGTTTCCTTTTGTACTAGACATAAGAATGGCAATGTTCCGCTCAATCATTGGTGCATCCCATGCGTACTGAAACTTCCGAGTGATATCTCCTGGGATCTCAAAGTGCATACGCTGTAGCCGTTTATTCGGTTGGGTTCTCTATTAAAAAATATGAGCACTCCAGTTGAGTTATTGTTTTGAACACAACGATTGGCCAAGCAGTATTCCTTTAGTATAAAAGCAATTTGGTGGTTATGTATCAAGTAATGCAGCGAAGTACTTTGCAGTATATCAGTATTACTGACATGAGAAGTACTTTCTTTATCTAAATTAAACAACTACTTGTATTCATTTGACAGATTTGCACAGGTAACATGTTGGTAACGAGCTCGTTACAACGGTTACTGAGTGTTACGTCCCGGCACACTCCAAAAACTCGGACATACAACAGTTTCCAAATTCAATCAAGTTTAGAGACATTGCTAAACAAAAAGTGAAAAGCGGTTGAAAACCGTCTCATGCGTATAACCAAATTTCATGAGCATCATTGTTATAACGGTACCGAGCAGTACGTCTCGGTACTACCCAACAAACCAAACATTGTCCAATTTTACAATTTTTATTCGTTTTGAAAACTTCGCTGTTCAAAAAAGTGCAAAACCGTTGAAAATCATCTCATGCGTATATTCGAGTCTCATGAGCACTATTGTTATAACGGTACCGAGTCGTACGTCCCAGTGCTGCCCAAGTAAACCAAGCTATATCCAATTTCACAGTTTTTATTTGTTTTGGAAACCTCGCTGTTCGAAAAAGTACAAAGCGGTTGAAAACCATCCCATGCGTACATTCGCATTTTTCGAAAAAACCGAAGTACCGGCCGTTTTAATGACGGAAACTTTTGGGGTGGGTCAGAATGGGCGTGGCGGACCTTCGTATCAAACACCCAACCCCCCTGTCGATCTATATAAGTATTACAGACATAATAACGCCCCCGGGCCAATCCGGATCGTCGGGAGGCGGGGTTTAACTGAAAATGGCCCGGTGGCACAAAAACTATCCGTTTTATGGACCATTTTGATCAGTTTCTCTTCCTGAGTTCAAAAAAATAAAAGATTTCGATATCTGACCCCATGACCTTTGGTAACGGTAGCGTTACCAATGTAATATATATGGTTACCATATGTAACCAAGTCCAAAGCACCCCTATTTGACTTCCCGTACAGTCTGCTGTGATTGCAAAGCCGTTATCTTAGTTTGCGACGCCGCTAGCATTTGTTTGCTCTGTAAACATTGTTTGTAACTTGTTATCACCATGGTAACGGTGCCCGTTACCACTGTAATAACGGTACCCGTTACTACAGTGATAGCGGTAGTACCAGTTTTCGTTAATAAATTAGTAGCGGTGCCCGCTACTAATGTAACTAATAAAACGGTAACGAAAACGATATCAGTATCAGCTACCACCGTTGTAACGGTACCTGTTACTGCAGTGGTTACCATGACATATGGTCGGTTACCTAGTAATTCACTTGTAACGCTAAAGATTCTTGTTTTATTTGATTTGCCACGCTTTCTTGAGGAGAAATAGTATGAAACAGTTGTCGGTCACTTCTTGTGGTTGCGTGTTACCTATGTAACTGGGTTTGTGGGCGTGGCTTAATAGGTTTCGGTAATTTCAAACTTTAACGTTGTTTTTTTATGGACAGATACAATTATTTTTTCTTCCTGAGTCAGAAATGGTAAAGGTCACCCGGGTGACCTTACCTAACATAGATTAGGTGGTCACGTGACCATTTATAGTGTATAACTCTGGTGGGTGACCTTTTGAAAAAGTATTTGCCGACTACCCAAATTGATTTGACGCGAGAAAAAAGGATCAGCAGGTGGTTTTTCGGTTTGATAGTCGGTTCAGCCGGTTCATCGAAATCTCGAAATCGGGTGAACGCAATGAATCTTTAGATTTGCAAATGTAAGGTCACATTTAGTAGCGGCCGCTTTAATGACGGAAACGTTTGGGGTGGGTCAGAGTGGGCGTGGCGGACCTTCGTATCTACCAATTTTTCTATTCATATCTATATAAGTATTACAGACATAACAGACATAATAATATGTTTTACTAGTTATATTTTTTCCGGTTTATTAGATCGGATGTTCTCGGTAACTGGGCCGCCTCTGAAGGTTGGTGCTGTGTAAGTGTGTAGTGTGTAATCACGTAATTTATTTCAGTTTGGCACTGTACAGAATATGTGCAGATACAGTCTGCAATTGTATTGTATTAATGTCATAAGCACGCTATGATTATGCAAAAAATGCATTAGTTCTACGTACGGCACAATTTCCCCTTCTAATGGTTTTGAAAGGGAAATCAACAAGTGTCACTTATACATAGTATGCTTAATACACTTTTTTAATGCTTAAATTTTAACTGTGAAGTAGTGTGTCCGCGCCTGCATTTTATTGTTTTGATGGCTATTGCCTATTAAAAAGTTTTATACACTTTAATAGGCAATAGCCGTCAAAGTAACAAGGAGTGCAAGCGCAGGCACACTACGTTACTGTTAAAATTTTAAACACTGAAAAACAACCAAAGTATGCTTAATTGTGTTTTAGTTGGCCGAGGCTTTAAATTGCTAGGGTAGGCTAAAGAAACCACAAGTGCTGTAGTAGAATGAAAATCCATAGTGCACTGGGAAAGGAATCATGGCACTAGTGTGTTCGACTTCCGTAGTAAATTTGTAATCATTCGCGTTAAGCTAATTTAATGCAGTATGAAGGGAAATCCACCAAGCAGTGCTGTTCCTAACAACGAAGTTAAAGCCAGGCTTTTTATTTTAGTGAAATACGTCGATACGTTATATTATATGCCATAAAAACTGGTAATGGCTACTGCCGATTATCATATTTGGAATTTTGGAAACTCAGTATGAGTTAAAAAAATTCGATAAAAAGTATGTACTTAAAAAACAGCACCATAACACAGTTGCTTTCAGCCAAAATATTTACAACGCTGGGCTGCAATAAACTGATGAGCAATCATGCGCCGATGAGCAGCGAGTTCTCAATTACTACTGGAATTATTAAAATTTTGAATGAACCATTGCAAACACCATCCTTGACACATTGTAAGGCGCAAGGCTGCACTGCTGTATACCACACTGTCCACACACGCTGGCTGACCAGTGATAACCCGTTCGCCCCGGCACTCTCCGCTGCGCTCCACTGACGCCGGCTTTGTCACCAACAAGGTCTCAGTCGCGGCACAATACCCTGCAAAGCGGTGTCAGATTGTACCCGCCCACATGCTCAAAAGGCGTCGTGTTTCCTTCCCACTTGAGCCCGGATTGTTATCGCAAACAGGACCGGATTAATAACAATTTTTTCCAATCGCTTGTATTGTGCGATGAAGCGGCTACACCAATAATTATGACAAGTACACCCGTGTCATTCTCAAACCGGTATACGCAGAGTATTCTGCTGGATAATATTATCCTCATGTCTAACCGTGATCTACTTTTTCAGTCTGTGTTATTTGACGGTCGGCAGATTTTCATAATATTACAGAAGCAGTCTAATATTTTTACCATATATTTCTTAATATGTTAATACATCGGTTTATGCTGTAGTCGCAGTATTCGTTAACTGCTTATCGATATTGCTTATGTCAGCTGTGGAATGTGGATATCAAAAATATGTGTGATATTATGTATTTCTTTTGAATTCTGTTATGGATCAGCGTACATCCGTCGAGATGCTGTGCGAGAAAGGAACAAGCGCCAAGTGGCGCCTAATCGCTCTATCAACGAAGCCATCGATGCCATGGAGGGACGGCTATTGGATCCCACGTTACTGTCCATGATGTTTTCGGCGTCAGGAGTGATGCCAAATGTCGGCAGTAGCACTATGTCCAACGCGTACGCTATGACCCTTGAAAAAGATAAAAAGCCGTGGTTCCATTTAAAATTTCCTTTTTTTGCAGATTTGCCACACTGTGCTCATACCCTTACCTGTACTACTATTACCAATTCTGTAAGTAGAAGTACTATTTTTAGCAGCAATTACTGTAATAAGTACTTTAAATTTTCTGGTCTTCAAATAGTGCATTTTGGACGAAATTATAGCTTACCAGCTTTTCTTCGCTAAAGGTCACTTTGATTATAGGTATGGGTTCGCCTGGTCCCGGTAGCCTGACCTCCCCGATGTTTCCCTACACCGCCAACTCCGCGCCGTCTTTTGCGTCTCCCAGCAGTACCTTTCCCATGTACAGCGCTGCCGGTCCTAACGCTGTAGAAACCAGTCCCGGTGCCTTTGGATCAGGAACCGGCACCTACTCCGGCTCCAATCCGGCCTTCCCGCCGTCCTTCAACTACATGAATCCTTACGCTTGGCCTAATAGCGGCCCCTCGGAATCACCCGGCATCCAACCGTCTTACGGGCCAGAACCGCCCCCCAGTCCGGGACCCGTGCCCTCGGGAGCCGCGCCGGTTGGGAATCCGGGAAGCTCCCCACCGATGGGTATGGGACAAGGATTCCCGGGACCGCGCTCGACTTTCCGTGGGTCCCCGTTGACCCAGGCCGAAGCGCCCAAAGCGTCGCCGATGCTGGAAGAGACACCGGTAATCGTGGCGGTGGAGCGGAACCCGGTGTTGGAGTATCAGCCGCCTGTGTCCAGCGGAGTGTTGAATGGCTCGGTGCTGGTCGAATTTCCGAGATTTTATTTTGAACGAAACGCCACTCGCATCACAGTTAATACCACCTTCGATGAAAACCGAAACCGAAGCGTTGCGGTTACTGTTAATAGCATTAGCTTGGATCCGCTTCGCGATGACCTTTCTGTCGATCTGAAGGATTCAGTGGAACGGAAGGAATTGTTGCGAACTTTGACGAAACTATCTGGAAGAAACCGGCATTCGGTGGCGCAGATGCACCGGGATTTCGAGCGGTACCTGAGTTTCGCCTTCGAATTGGTGGCTGCTGATGAGAAGAACGGACTAGTGAACAACATAATTAGTGCCATTAAAAAGGACCCTGGTCAAATTGCCGTCAGACCGGAATTCCGCGGCATGTTTAACACAATCATGATGGCTTTCGTCAACTGCACTTTGGACTTGAATCAAACATGTTTGGCGTACTATTTCTGTAAGGCAACGGAACATCTGGCCAGTCGCAACCTCGTTTTCGGGGTGGAAGTTCTTAGAACTGTCGTGTAAGTAAAACAATGGTGAACCGTTGCTGTACACTAACCAAACACGTAACAGTTACTTTCGCTTTTCGCTGTCAGCCGTAAGAAATTTGTATAATTCGCGTGAATGGTAATCAGTGCGAACAACTGCCTTTAACTGCGACCTTCGCAATGCAACAAACTTTTGTTTGTAGACCGTTCGCCGCAAGGTTATTGGATCAGCAAGTGCCGGGAGGCATTAACGCTCTAGAGCAACTTAACCGCGGCACTCACTTGTTGAGTGGCAGCAAAACAAACAGCTCGATACACTCGTGTTCCCATTTCTTCCCCGGCTGCCATACAACGTGATTTGCCATGCACTTCGACGATATGCAGATACTTATCGGTTATCATTTTAACAATAATAACTGCTACCGGCACAGTTTTGTACAATCTAACGCTCAGATAGCTGTAACTGACCAATTAGCACGTACAAATTTAGTCATAATTATACCGCAATGTAAAGTTATGGTTATGCGTTTGAAAAATGTGTAAAACTGTAATGCGTTATCAATTGTTCACTGTCTTGAGGCAGTAAAAGCACGGTTCAGTGTTCCTTGATGCGAAATGTTTTTGTGGGTGCGCTCTGGAGACCGAAGTCTGTATAAAAAATAAGAAATACTGTAGGTGCGGTTTCGCAGAAACATGATGAGTTACTATTTGATGGCAGAATTATTCCGGACTTACTTTGCAACAGTACGTAAGCTAAGTACGTAAAATGTTTAATTTTTGTAATGTGGAGTACGTACGCTTTCAAGAATCGCATCTTTTTTTCACAATCCTGTTGTTACTACATTATGCAAACTGCAATCTGAGTATAAACGAAGCCAAAAAGCGTATTACATGCATCCTCTAGTCGCTGCAGTACTCACTGCAGATGAAACAAAAGCAAGTCTATTTCGCAGGGCTAATTACATAAATGCACATTGTGTACTGTATTTTCATTACAAATTTTGCGCCTTGTACTCTGAACTTCCTCTACCTGGCGCAGCACGAATAAAGTCTGTTGGGTCATGGATGCATAACGGTTCATTCGACATCAAAAACCGATGGATGTTGCTTCTGAGATTGTAAACAACCACAGAAATAATAGTCAGCTTACTAAGTGTTTTCCTAAAGTAGTGTGTTGTGCTGTTTCGTAATTTAATCTGCATAATGGATTACTGGCAAGCCGCATGCGGAATAACAAATATTTAAACAGTCATTCTTGGCAGGTAATGTTCATTGCGATTCTTCAAAACTTAACTGGATGGATCACAAAGCTCTGATTTTCTACGCACCGCATGCCAATACTATCGTGTCAACCCACCGTGAGGGGCGCGGGTGGTGCCCTGAGGTGTCGGGGAAATAAGGCGAGTGTGTGGAAGGTTTGTTTCAAAACTGTTTCTTTGCATAACACGCATTATGTGTCGGTACCTTTATGTCTTGTCCCGGACGAACAAAAGTCTATTTCCAGTGCCACTTATTACGGATCCCAAAGGTTACTTTGGCAACAACAGACGTTGCACATATTCCTAGCACAAGGGAAGTCCAATAGTTTTCCCAGAGTGTCCGAGCTGCATTTATGGTATCTATGGAAATCATTTTGGGTAGGACTCTAATGGAATAACGACAATTGTTGTGTTATTTGTTTTGCGTCATTATGCGCTGCGGTTATCTTTCGGTGCGTGAATTACATTACCGCCATTGATTTCGTTAAGCATGTTTTGGCGAAGCATCCTATGCTTCCCACTAATCACAATATCTTCTTCGGTTGGACAAAAAGGTATGCGTTCCTCTGCACCGAGTATATAAAAAAATCACCAGTTACCTCGTGGACGCTAGAATAGAAAATATGCAGGGAGAGGGTTTTAGGGAATTGTGTAATTTCATTATTTTGCAGGTCATCGAGGACACATTCGCCTTATTAGAATAAATTAAACTTTAAAGTTCTGTGCGCCAACTGTTGATGTGACTGTGAGTCACCTGCCACACCGTCCTACTCTTTGGTAAATACATGTAGTAGCTGCTCAAAGTACCCCTTCGAGAACTTCGCTAGTGAATAGTGATTGATAACAGCGATTCGCAAAGTTAGGCTTTCCATCCTTTTCTCATGATCATGATACCATACTCCTTACTTCCCTTACCATTACTAAAAATTGCTATTGAGCCCTTGAGGAAGACTTCCTAGAAGCACCTTCCGGGGATGCCACAGTGCAGCCAAGAGAACGAGATGGAAAAAATTCCCTAGGTTCACAATAACTTCAAATTTGCCAGTTACCCACCATGAGCCTTGGGCCCTTGGCCAGGAATTTAGAGATAGAGTTCGTAAAAGTCAGAGTTTTACTTGTGCGAGTAGTACAACATTATTGGTTTGATTTTGGTAAAAGGCATTTTTGCCTAAATTTTGCTTTCAGATGTTTGAAATTGCGGCTCACGTTTAGTGAAAGGTCACTGAGCGGAAGCTTAGCTGGTTTTAATGTACATACTATCTTTTCGTAAATATTAAGCAGATGATAAACGAAAAACGCTAATGCAGCAAGCAACACATAAGTACATATTAACTTGCACCATTCATGAAGTATAATACTCGTAATATGCTGCTACAGAAACTGATCGTACGTACAGTAATGCAGTCGTCCAGAAGGTGGACACTTATCTTAGTGTTGTAGCATCCAAGCGCAAATAGTCGACCAGTTTCAATCAGTTTTCTTAGTTATCAATTTCTTTGTGGTGCAGGGTAAATAAGCATAGGATAACTCAATACTACTGGCTTTTACATTGAAGATCCGTCAAATGGCAACCATTTTCTAAGTATGCTTTATCGTAAATATCTTGTTTCTGAAATCGCTTCTACATTTTGTTGTTGCTCGCAGAAATAGATTGCTATGCTTGTGAATATCAGAGTGATCCAGCAACCGGATGTAAAGTTCCGGGGAAAAAAGGGCATGTCGACAGGAATCTAACAGACTTCCAACTGGAAAAGTGTGCCACGAAATGCTTGGACATTGCTGAAGGAGAGACTAATAAGGAATGGACTGGTAAGCAACAGCCTGGGCGAGCGCGTCGTTTTCTGCGTGCTCAATAGCCCGAGATATTTATCCCAAAAATTAATACGAGTAGGACAGGAAAGCATGCACCGCGGCGCATACAGCACTCATCAACAAACTTCCGCAACAGTAGTTTAAAAAGCAGGAAATTGTTTTTTCACCCCACCCCCCTCTGCACCTCCCTAAGACTATTGCCGCTCCTCTTCCCCTATTTCGTTAAAGACTTTGTCCAACACCCAGCCTTTCGGTAAAACTGTGTCACGAGTACGACTGGTTGAAGTACAGTTTGAATGGACAGTCATACTGTGACGTACGCGGTTTGCAACGGAAGGAAGTGGCCAGAAAGTATCAGCGAGTTAGTAATGTGCTATTAAAGTGTAATTTGATCTCTTATAAAACAATCAATAAAATGTTGACTTATGGTTTGTCTAAGACTGCTTTTGAGATGGAGGCGTGTTCTCTCATCCTTCATATTTTGGATCAAAAATCACTGTTGAGTGCTTGAGTGAAGGAACTTCTTGTGAATGGTTTAGTATCATCTTACATGTCCAGCAGCTATGGAATATTTTGTCTGGAAAGTTTTCTATGGAATATTTTCTTAGTCTTGATGTTGTTGCACTGTTAGCTTGAATGAGTTTATATTATATAAAGGTCACTTTGATTAAGGTTGATGGGGTTAAGCGTCACCTTAGAGTTTGTTATGCAGCCGTAAGGTCATACCACCACGAACATCAACTAACACCTATTAGTTGACAATTGAGTGAATAACACTGCCTTAGAAGAAAGAAACGTCATAACATACCAAGAACTAATGCTTCGTGCTCAGTCTTGCACCGCTGATCAGGAAAGTCATGCGGTCAACAGAAAACTATGACACCGGAATTCACCAGGATTACACAGTCATACTCTGACGTACGCGGTTTTTTACCTAATATACCGCAATATCGACAGAAATAAGTAGCAGAAGAATCCTGAAGATGCTAATTTTAACTTTAAGAAAACGACCCCCATCTTATGCTCATCTTATGCCGGAACCTAATGGAAAAAAGGTTCCGCCTACCACCGCCGCTGGTGGCAAAATTACGTATAAGCAACAGATGAAAGGTGAGGCCACAGCCAAAAAGAGTGGGGTAGGGAGTGACAATAGTCGCACAGGGTGCTCGTTTTAGTTTCGAAAATGGGATTGACGATAGCCGAAGGGGGTGAGAATAGTCACACCCTATAAAAAAAAATTATACTTAAATATTCAAAACTTTACGAGTACTTAAAAGCCCAAACAAAAATATCATTTATTATTCGGTCAATTTATTAGGTAGTGGTATCGGTAGCGGTGGTGAAAAGTCGCTTCCGCACCTTCCCCACAAGTTTATTCCGTTTGGGAGTGCACGCGCAGCTCGGGAAAAGCCAGGATGCGATACGATACTTGCAATACGAGTACTCGTACAGTACCTACTACCTACGTATTTAATATTTACCATTAACCTAAGGTAGAGACATGACGGTAGTGTGACACTGTTGCAAGCTGGGTATAAGGTGGTTGAAAAACATTTCCTTTTCCAGGTGTGCTGCTGTACAAGGGATGCCTGGCCTCGGCAAACGCTAACAACAAATATTTTGATAGGTAAAGGTCGTTTTTTTAGCGTAGCGAAGGTCCTCCTTTGACGCGTGTTCAGCGCTAAAGAAAAGTGTGATGTTCTGTTATCCAGGCGCATGGTGGTTAGATATACAGAGTACTGTACTCACGGCCCGTAATATAGTATTCGTGGATTCCGTCCACCGTTCACCGCCACCTGACACACAAAAAAACACACAGTGATGTCGGGTCACCCTCAAGGTTTACACTAGTCGAGGTGTGTTAGCTAATAAATACTTAAACTTTGCCAACTTGCAATCACACACTGTAAAAAACACTGTAAAAAATCTAACGCGAATGTGCTGCAGCCGCCCGGTTAAGTTGTACCAACCAGTCTGGTTTACGGAAAAGTCACTCCTACTGTAGTATGTTTGAAACTCGTGCGCGATGCTCTTCAGCGTGAAAGCAGCCACTGGCACAACATGATTGGGCACCGGACGGCAGTAGCACCTTCAAAACGTGTTGCTAAAAATTTTGGTTTATTTCCGGCAAGCCACCGGTAATAATCGGTTGACGAGCAAAAACCAAGCTAAACTTATATCCGTTTCGCAGTAGATGCCTGTTTGAAACAAATTTCCATCCGATTTTTTCTAAACTAAAACTTGGTACACCATCCTCCGACCCAGAAAAATATCCGCCGTAATATCCGTATACGGTTATACCTATAATGTAGCTTGAAACTGTATCACCCCATTTTTTTCCTTCGGTACTCGGTAGTTGATGCTGCCAACTGGACTTACACCCGGAAAGCTTTGTCTGGTAATGAGTGTGAATGCGTCGCCAATGCCACCAAAGGTTGAAACCTCAATCGAGCAGCTTTCAGAATGTACGGGTGTGACCAACAAATATGGTTTTCGGCAGTATTATGTCTCATATGAAACGTTTTTAAGGCTAGGTTAATAATTATTGAAGTCGACCCTATTCTGAATATTTTCTAAACTGTTTTAGCTTTGGCAACGCATTGGCAAAGCGTACCAAAGCAGAATGTTTAATCTCTTCTGCTCGGTTCTACCGGTAATACAGGCTTTCAGAGTGCTTGTTGACATCTAATGTACAAATCCGTTGCTGTTCTGTGCAAAATAAACTATTACAATAATTGTTGCGCTGGCACGGAAATGACCTGCGTTTATCATGTAGTCCTGCTACGCCTCGGTCAAGCAGCGCCCTAGCGCCTGAGCTTTTGAGAGGGTGAACCGCACCACACTTTCGTGATTAATATCGAATGTTCCAGTGAAACATATCTGTACAAAATGATGCTCGGGGCGCACAGATTACAATGTTCTCGCTACCTTCATAACCCTATAATAGCTTCCTTTGACTCGTTTGTTCAACTACATCACTTCAACACATAGTACACTGTAATCTTTCATAATAAAGATGTAATCTACAGTCTCAACCGACAACAGAGATAGACGGTCTGATTATACTGAACATCTCATCTAAATTAGCCGATGCTGGTGCTGTTCCCATGACGGAGGCCGCATTCCCGCGTTGAATTTCAATGCTGAACCTCTGGCGCAGATACTCAATCGCCCGTATCTCGCCCGTTTCTGCGCGTATCATCTGTCCGAGTTCGGTGACCATGCGAGAAGCGTCTGGTCCCAAAGGTCCGAGTGTTTCGACGCCTACTGCGCGGAACATGTAGTCCGGTGTGATGTCACGATACTTCGCCACTTTATCCTGCTCTGCGCGCGCCGCGGCTGCTCCCGCTTGTTTCGATGTTGCCACGATGTGCGACAAGGCTACTGTGCACACACATGTAGCATCCCAGGTCAACATCTTTCCTCTTTCCCACGGGACCAACGTCACTCCGTCGGGACGCATACCATTGGTTAGGCAGATACCGGGTGGTTCCAGTTCCGTTTCAATACCTGCTGAAGCGAAGGCGCGCTTTAAGGTGGCATTAAGGCAGCTGTGTCTGGACATCCGGCCCCGGCTTTTTTTGCAACTTAGGCCATGATATCCTCGTGAGTCTACCCATTCACCGCAGATGCAACGGTGTGGTGTGGTGATCGGTACTCCGAGGCGCAGGCCGACTGCGATTCTGAGTGTGGTATCGTTCAGGAAATTTCCCAGTGATGCTGCTGGGAGCGCTTCCAGCCATGCCCCGTTTTCTTTGCTTTCATAACCCTATCATATCAGTACGAGTATACAACATCTCAAAAGACCATAATTTTAGAATTTTGTTTGCTATTGTCCTTTTCAGCTATTCGGATATGGCGAAAAGAGCAAACGGATGCTACAGACAACAAGATTGTGGGGATGCTTCCTGTAAAAAAGTGTACTGCCTCTGCGATACCTCGCTTTGTAACAACAAAACCCTTCTACACGTGATTGATTCGGGAGCTGTCAGGAGGCGGATCTTTTCGAAAACAGCTTCGATCCTGTTCCACGTGCACGCTGCAGCATTGTTAGTTTTTTATAGTTTTTGTTAGTTCTTGTTGTAACGTAGACCTGCATTGCTGGAGCAGGTTGCTAAACAATATCTTGAAGTTTTTGCAGCTTCTTTTTGCCAGGCTCATGCAAACGGTTTCCTGCCCTTTCTGGTGGAATGGCTCCGTAAAAATTTGCTAACTTTCGTTATTTTACTCACTTACACACCTGGATAGTCGACTAGCAATTACCTGTCGGTAGCTCCAACCTCTGTTGATGCGCGACTGTGAGGTTGTGACAGGGGCGATCGGCTACAGCATGTAATGGGAAAATAAAAAAAATTATTCGTTGTTTTCAAAGCCAGTTGTATTGAGCGGCAGAGATACACTGCTGCAAAGTTGATACGGGAAAACTGATTGTTGAGAATATTTCAGTTGATATTTTATTTGGATACTACTGTACTGAAAGCAGCCGTCTGCTGCTGCGGATAGGCGAGCGTTGCTAGGACTGTAAAGACAAAAGTATGACCGTACAAAAAGATGTTTCGTATTCCTTCCTTGGTAAGCTGAGAAAAAACGGTTTTGCTGAGTAAGGGTTTCTATATTTTGTTTTTACTGAGTAAAAACCGTACTATAAAAGCCAGTCGCGGTGGTCGAGAAGCCCTAGTATCCCATTGGCCAAAAGTGGTGTTAGTCGCAATGGTCACCAACCTGCGTTTGTCGTTATTGTTTGGAGTTTTTTGAGTATTAGATATAAACACTTGGTATACTAAGAATTCCCATGATAACTTGCCTAATTTTCATCGTTCTGCTGTCAGCTTCGGGAGCGCATTCCTTAACATGCGCGAACTGCTATGAATCTGGAGGCACCACCACTTCTTGCTCCGACACAACAGAATGCGCTGGATATGAGCCCGTTTGCTATGCTTTATTTTCTGAATCACGGCTTTTCTTCTCCGGGTGCTCACGTCTAACGTGCAGTGGCCAGCAGAACTGTTCGCCACCTGTTTGCTTTCAGGATACCGCCGTTACGTACACCTGCCTTTGTAATTCAGATCGTTGCAATACCTTGGACAAATTTCCTGAAGACTGGCCACAGCTTCCTTCTAATTATACAACCATCCTTACCACCAGGAATAAGTGGAAAACAACTCGTCCAGGATCCATACCGAAAGATAGTCTTGCGTCTTTGAGTCCTAGATTCAGAAATATAAACTTTATTTTTATAATAATTTCTGCGTTTTTGCTGCAGTTGTAATTTTAAGTGGACGAACAACTTGTCCGATAGTAAGTGTCGCAAAGGATTCCATTTGTTTTTTGAGTTGGCGATGTTGATTCGGTGTTGGTCAATATTAATTGGTCATCTGTTGGATTCACTGTTGGCGAAGTTCACGATAGAGCTCCTTAACATGGTGCGGTCGTCTAGTCAACAAAGCTCAGCGCCTGCGGCTGAAAAGCAGAACAGTTAAGGAAAATGGGCAGATGCATGGTGTCCAAAATGTTATACATACAGTACACTAAACTAAACTTTCGCTTTCGCGCACTCCGAATCACTGTTTTGCAATACGTCTTTATGCCATTTTCAAGCTAAATAATTTGTATACCTTGTTCGGGAAAGCGTTTGGGCGCGCAATATCGGTTGCCGAAAAAATATGGCGAACTAAATATTTATGGAAATTTCAAATTCAAGTCGTTGTTCAAAGTTCAAAAGTTCAAATTCATAGTCGTGTACGTACTAAAAGTCTGGTTTCATAGTCGTGTACCCGATTTTCTCGAAACTTTTCGTCTGCTTTCGCCATATTTCGGCAACCGGTATTGCGCGCGCAAACGGTTTTCAAAACAATTTTACAAATTATTTAGCTTTAGAACGACATAAAATATGACTAAAAAGTGATCTGGAGTGCGCGAAGGCGAAAGTTTAAATGTATGTATAATATTTTCGATACCATGTATACCGGGCCATTTTCCTTAACCGAGTAGTCGCAGTTGAGGCGCAACCGCCATCAGCATTCTGCGTGAATCGTATAAATTTGAGGCTGCTAAAGCTGGTGTCATAGTAGTGCTTTAATAGCGAGTTTAAATGCCATGTAAAGCTACGCAAAGCGCGAAGCTTCAAGCCACACAAAGTGGACAAGACTATTCAATTGATTTTTCAAACACAAATCATCACACCGACAAACAGAATTTTCTGGAATTCAAGGAAAAAACACAAAACAGATCAAACAACACAAATCGCATCACTACTTATTCAGTTTATCCAAATAGTCCTCCTCCACTTCGTCCTCCCCCTCCTCCGCCTCCTCGCCCACCGTCTCCCGCTCCCCACCCATCCGCTGCCGGTTCAGGACCTCCGTCAGGTGCGTATTGATCCGCGCCTTCACATCCGCCACCCCCGCCAACAACCCGCCCAATCCCTCACTCAAAGGAATGTCCACACGCAAGTTTCCGGCGGCACTCGCATCACCAGCCCCCTGACCGGCCGGTACAAATCGCGCCTGGATAGCCGGCATGCTGCTTGGAGATCAGTCGCTGGGGATGTCCTGGTAGCTGAAGCCCTCGTAGCCCTTGTAGGCGTAGTAGGCGATGCGGGTGTAGTACGCGCCGGGGATGAAGCACAGTAAGCCCAGCGTCAGCACCGGCCACGTCCGATCGGCGTACTACAAAAACGCCAAATTAATTTCGGATATACATGTAACTCCAGTACATGTACAACTCAGAAAATCAATTATACTTCAGCATTACTGAACATACTGGTTACAAGAAATAAAAAGATCTGTCATCTATACAAGTATAAAAAGTAAAGGTAATCTGGAAATATTTTCAGTATAAACTTGGTAACAGCCAACACATCAGTAAACTCATAGGAGTGTGTTTTATGAAAGTCAGTGCCATTACTCTACAATGTTCATGTTCATACTCACAACTTCTGAAACCGAGCGAATAAGAAATGCAACCCAAAGACGATGCGTGTGTATTGTAACATTTCGGAAAATTACGGTATTCTAAGTCCGTCCAACTTTTTCAAAATGCGTCCAACTTTATCCAAATAATATCCCAATTACGGGTTTTGAAGCGGTAAATCATGTAACAGTTACACATAATTGCAAAAAGCGTCATCCATATAATTAAAGAATGTTTAAAAAATCTCTGAAAATTTCCAAACATTTGAATTTGTCGAAAAATGCCTGACAAGCTTAAATTTCAATGTTATCAAAACATTTGTCAGTCCAATTTGGATTTCTAGAATTATTAATACATCTGTAAGCATTCCCGCAAAACTGAAAGCCTCCATGAAGAAATTTCCGATGAACTGATTTATTATTTTTATTCTTACTTTGGCTAAAAAAAATTCTATTCTTTCTTTGGCTTTGGCTTTCTAAAATATCACCATAAATACTGTAAATAAAAACTTCCACAGAACTACCTATATTTTTCTGAAACTCACCCGAAACAACTGACAAGCGATATCCTGACATCCTGTTAACAAAACTAATTTCAAATAAAAACAATTTTCACAACAAGTTACCAAATAATTGAATGTTAAATGATCAAATCGCTGCTCCAGATTTCAGTAAATAACACTAAATATTCACTTTTTTTATTTTCTGGAGTAGTACAGTTTATTGGGCATTTTTTTAATTGGTAAAAGTGTGGAATTTAATTTTGAATTTCACCAAACAAAATAATTCGAAATTCACCCACGGCTACTTAGTTAAAACTAGGTACAAGAATGGGAAAAAGTGAAACCATAAAAATAATAAAATCGAAGACAATACCTTGGTATCGAAATATCCAGCCAGCAATAACGACCCCACAACCGTCAGCACCGTGCCCACCACGAACAAAATCACGGCTCTCCAGATGGAAGCGATGGGGGGCGCGCAGGAATCGTAGAAGTAGCTCTTGAACTACAGAACAGCAACGACTGTCAATGGGTTCTCCATGTGCATCATCCATCATTAGCACACAAACAACACAGCGTTCTCGGGATTGGCACCTCCCAACACGCCAGACAGCCACCCCCCTACCTACCTGGTTATCGGTGAAATCGTCGGAATCCTTGCGTGTGGGGAGATCACGCTGGAACTCCCGTCGACGCAGTCCGGTGGTGTCAACGTGGGAGGGAGCGGAGAAGCGGACGGCGTCAGCGTCCACGGATGGTTTGCTCATTGGAGATCAGATGGATGTGGATGGGAGCTATCACGGATGGATCCGTCAAACATGCGGGAAATTCACGCAAAAGAAACAGGGATTCCTAGGAATTTGAAACCAGCCTCAGCCAGTCAATAATTCGAGAATTAACTTATTCGAACTAAAGTTTGTAAAAAGTTCCACAGATAGAGTTTCAACTTTCTTCCACTGGGTACTGACTGGCAGTCTGCATTCTCGACAGATGTGTGTGGCGTACATTCGACCGCCTTCGGTGTTCGGTTACGCGAGCTGCTGGATGGCAGATGCCTTCCCTGGGTGGTTGTGTGGTAGACAGGTACCGCTGGACAGCCGATTCCATTAACAGTTTTTTCGTTGTACAGTATTAATTTTGCTACTGCAAGTGTTTTATTTGTGAAAGTTGACAATGCTCGCGATATCAAGGAAATTTTCGCCCAGTTGAAGTTCGTTCCATGACATATAACCATAATACTAATACAGTGAACCTATACTATTGTTTTGGTACAATGGTTTCAAATTTATGCGGTAGGTGCAAATGCAGCGCTGCAAGGTATAGTCCGGGTATATGAAGTGGTGGCCGGTGCGAAACGGAAAAAATAGCTTTGTACACAACTACGTCGCAATTTGATTTAGTCGAATTTTGCAGCTTTTGATAACTGTTGGTTATATGAGCTTTTGCGCAGTGATACATCTTTACAGAACTCTACATGCATTTATATAAAAATACATCTGCGATTTCTGGTCGGCTGGTAATAATGCCATTACGCTGCACCAGACGTGCACAAAACTGAGCACAGCCCGCCATATGTCTGGCCGCGGCGATCACAACGTCGTTTGGAAAAACAAACTGTATGATATAATCAGAGAAATGATATATTGTATGGAGTACAATGGTTTGAGTTATAAACGTAATCAAATGTTCTCGTTTACTTTGTTGTTGAGCGGACAACTCTAGATCTGGGGAGCGCCGCAACGTCTTTGCCACTTTCCATTCTGGCGTTTGTACATTTATAAGTATATTCTGCACCTGTACCTGCTTCCCGGTAACAGTAATTGCTGATAATTATTTCAGTGTCGGGCTACGGCATATACTCTGTATTGCAATTAATTAGCGGAAGCATACGAGTACATTTTATGGGCCGAAAAATTCGTGAAATAGCCGGAGAAGCGCATTCTGTTGCTTTTATAAAGCAACGTTTAAGTTTGGCTGTCATTAAGCGAATGTGGGCAATACCTCTGCTGCGTTAAGTATTTTGCCTTTTAACCCGCGGGTCGATAGGTCGAGATTGTGGTTGTTTAAATTTTTAATGTATAAATTTTAACTGTGAAGCAGGTGCCCACGTGCTTGCATTTTTTGTTATTCTGATGGCTGTTGCCTACTAAAAATTAATTAACTAAACATAGATGAAATGACTGTGTGCACAGTGCACATGAGGTTGTACAGTATGAAAGATATCCAAGTATAGAAATAATATATGTAAACAAGCTCGATCACTTGCAGATATACAGTTTTATGGCTTAATTTCTGTCGACCAGGTCCACTTGTGCAACACCCGGTTTTTCTTTATAGTTCTTAGTCTTCGCACTTTCTTGATTTTTTCGATATTTTCTTAGTTAGTTTCTTTTGGGTTCTTGGATTTTTTCTTAGGTTTTCTCAGTTTTTTAAGTTGTTCCGGACATTTTCAATAAGTCTAACGGCCCGGCGACGAAATGTCTCGCGGCATGCTGTCAAGCGTTATGTCGACTAAATGTCCCGCGGCGAAACGTCGCGCGGCGACATTACCTTGCCGCGAAATGTCTGCGACCAAAGGTCATGCGACTGGTTGTCCTCGGCGAAATGTCGCGGTGTCGTTGCCGTACTACTTTAGTCAAATGGAATGTTATGGTAACTAGGATGTAATGATTGCTGTCGTTGTTGTTGTTGTTGAGAGTTTTACAGCGTAAAAAAACATTTTCTGATGTAATGGTGCAATAATCTCACAGATTCTCATACTTCTCATACATTTACTCATGTAATGGTGCAATAACCGATAAGATTGTTAAGTACTCCCATAAAACTTGCCTGTGTTCTAAAAAGCATAATTGCTGTAAACTACTTGGGTATTTCCAGCTTGTTAAAAGTATATTGTAATAGCTTCGAACCGACCAGCCGCAAAATCACCTGCTTTGCTAAAATTGTTCTTCCCATGAAGAACTAAGACGACAGGATAGTAAATTTCATTCTTGCGATACCAGAAACTCCTGCTCGAGATGACAGTGGATTGGAAACTGGTCTTACTGGCCACATTCGTTTTCGCTACCAATAAGATCGGTACTTCTACAATAATGTGTAATACGCCAGTTTCAAAAGCCTGCAACAGAATCTGACCACCTGCACGACTTTTCCAAAGGCCAACTTAATTTTTGATGAATATGGTAGGAAAAGCCATTGAATGTTACCAATGCCAATACGCGTCCGGAAACTTTCCTGAAGATTATAATCGGTCCAGGACAAATTGCCTTAACACCATCACCAAAAATTGTTCCATGACCAACAATTGTGCTCATAGAACCGTATTACATACAACCCGTAAGTACCGCTACCACAACACTTTCAAACTGCAGTATGATGTTTAAAGATGCAACAGTGCAATTAACAATGGCGCAATGATTTGCTAGCGTAAACTTCAAGCGAAATTGCGACAATACTTACATTTTTAACACTACGTGATAATTATATGGTAGATTATCAGAATTTTGATTCCTGGGTCAATTCAATTTTTTGCCACCCGGATAAGGTGAAAAAGCCAGCAACTTCAATGTTTTTCCAGCAGACCTGAATTTTAAATTAAAGCTAAAATTTTTTAAACCCCAGATGTCGTCTGGCTTGTGAGTTATCATACATACTGTGGAATTGCAGCCACAGAATTCCAAACCCACACTCAAGAATGTGGGCAGAGGATTGTAACTCCTTATAATATGTCGTGTGCACCCTTCCCGCAAGAAGGTTACCGCGGTCAAGCATGTTTCTGCTTTGGCGATCTCTGCAACACGATGGGGATCCAAACTAGTAAGATTTAAATTTTACGTAGGCGCTGCACGGTTGAAACCAGCAAGCCTACAGATATATATGATATATGGCAGACGTAGTCTATCTATATAGTATATACAGTATAGTGTTCAGCTCTCTTACTGAAAGGTCAGAATGATTCTGTCTGCACTCAGCTTTTGGATCTGTCTATCCTCTAACGGGGAAAAGATGACAAGCTAAAGGTTAGCCTGATCCTGCCTGCTCAGTTGTCGATTTTATCATTTTTATGTCAGATTCCCTTTGGAATTTTTGACTCGCAAAGAGACGCAATCAAAAGATTTAATTTTTTCCGCATTTATTTCCAATCAATCCCGCTCCTACGTAAGGTTTCCGTGCGAAACGTTCCGAAGGAGTTTTTATTCTGGTTTCCTGCGTATTTTACATGGCAGCAGTCTGGATGAATTTATTTTATACCTGCAAGATTTCTAATAGTGGGCAGGCATATAAATTTGATAAGCTCATTCGATCACAAGTTTTGTCAATCGAGCTCGTTGTCTTGTCGCATTTCTATACAAGATTTCGTTAGTTATGGAACAAACTGAATCGCTACAAAAATCTGTAGATGTAAGTACCTGAATGCGCAAAAGAAAGTGCTCTCAAACCGGAGGCTAAACGGATTTTGCAAAAAAGATTCATCTCATTTTTCTTTTGCCGCGTCCACTCGACTTCCTTTACAAGCTGTTGTTGGTTCTTATACAATGTTATAACACCATGTGGCAGCCAAGGAAAAGTTCGTGGGTCCGGTGGTTTATTTCTTTTATCTAAAAAGTCATTTTTTTCTGTGTGGCATGGCTGCTTGATCTGGGGTTTAACAGCAGCGCACTTATAATTATGGAGACGCTCGTACCTTACTTAATGCCGTGTTCGTATCGGAGATCGGTTGTCAGAATAATAATGAAACGTTGTTCTTTCGTCCGTGCTGCAATGTCGGTTTACAGCCGGGTATGTAGGAAGTTAGGAACGGCCTCTTCCCACTTTTCTGCGCGCCGTACAATTTGTGATGGATGCAGGCATAATTAACACGGACATATATCTCAGGATCGCAAAATACGGTCCTCTGACACCTAGTTTAGTCGACCAATTGTAAACATTTGAAACGTGTTCTTTCGTACTCGTTGAAGCCTTCGTCCTCGTTGAAGCTTTCGTCAAATTCTCACCATGAACTGATATCTTCCGGCATTTCGGTCTCTTCTGGTACGTAGATAATCGTGTCGTCACTGCTTGTTTGGACAATTGCACTAGACTTCGTCGTGATCGAAGGAGATATTCAACCGGGACCGCACCATGGACTTGCATGAATACGGTGTATTATCTGCTAGCACTTATTAACACTGGCAGGTACATATGTAGTACCGGCTTCTAATGGTTGCCGACGCTTAACTGTAATATCGCTCTAATGATGATCAGGGTAATGTCACGTGATGAAAATAGCCGCTTCTAATAAACCTAAACCTATTGTTACCTAAACGTTAGCTAATAATGTTACCTAATGTTACCTAAACGTCGTAATATTACCTATAGAGCTAAAAAGCTGTTGCTCTCCGCTGTTGCACACAGCTTTGATTGCGGTTAAAGCAGAGTAGGCCCCGAGAGAGGCGCATTGGCGCACGCCCCCAATTCTCCCGGGGGTAACGTCTACAAATACCCAGATAAAATTAATGAGGTCCCCAACCGCAGCCAAAGTTTTTGCCTCCCGTTAGTCACTACAACCTTGGTTAAGAGGAAGGTTGTATCTTACCTAAAGCCAGTGCTAAACGGGATTAGGGACGAAAGAACACAACCCTTAAAAGTGGGGGAAGTAATGTACAGGGAAGCTTAACAACTTAAGGGAAGTGGCCCGGTACATGGTGCCAAATTTGTGTACATGTACCGACCCACAGTTCTAGCATGTTTTTCAAATTTTAAAATGAATTTCAAAAATTTTAAAATTCATTTTAAAATTTGAAAAAAATCATGGAAATCTCGATCGGTGTAAAAATGATCTTCATGGTTATGTGCATTTATGATTTACGTGCAAAATTTGAGGGAGATCGGTACATAATGAGACTTTTGGTAAACCTAGTGAACGCATTCAAAGTTTTTGGAATTTTCTAACAGCCATAACTCCCGAACCGGATGTTGCGCGCACCAACTGCTTTCACGGCAGTGTATACAAATCTTCTGGCTACAGAATGTCATAAACCGAAACAGAAAAGTGTTTGGGACTCCGCGCAAGTAAAAGTTTTCGTGCATGTACACGAATTTGGTACCATGTACCGGGTCACTTCCCTTTAGCCAATTGGGTGACATTTTACTTAATGCTGTAAATTTTCATTTTTAGCCGTTTTGTTACTGCTAGGGCTTTCACAAATTTGAGAACTGTTCTTGAAAACTCAAACATTTAATTTTTTTCAGGTACAATAGTTACGTCCCCTACGGCCGCAGGGCACGCACTATTGCGTCAGTGATAAATAACTGAAAATAATGCCTTGCTGAATTATGCCCTCAAAATAGCTGTTCGAACGCATATTAATAAATTATTTGTGCTTATAATAACTTCGTATTGCAGCCACAGGTACCGGAAATCCAAATGCGGGTAATTCTCAGATTTTATTAAATGGCGATTTTGACACTACACGTAAAGTGATCCATAAGGTGGGTATATAAATATAGAGTGACGGTTTAAAAGGCTTTAGTTTCAGTCTTCTAGTATTATAATTTTCGAGAATCCAGAAGTAAGGCCGAACTATGCCTTCAGATTTAAATCTCCCCGCTTATTGAATTTTCAGTGAACGTAACCGGAGCACAGAAGACGAGCTCAGCTGCTGTATCTAAGCTGAATCTCATGTGGGCGGTAAGCTTTTCCCTATCTTGCCGATAAGCCGTCGTGCACGGCAATTTCATCAGTATTATAATTACAAGACGAATTAAGGAGCCGATCCAAAAAAAGGGCAGAAAACCATGAAGCTAAACAGTCACAATAATTTGCGTCATGTCACGTTTTCACTGAATTGCCCCTACATATTACGGTTACATTCCGCGCGATCGTGGTACTCGTACCTAAGTGCTATCACCATGATGCCGCAGCGGCGTACTCCAGAAATCTGATACAACAAATACAGAGATTATCAAGTTTTTCTGTAGTTAGATAATTGATCATAATTCTAAAATGTTTTTATTTTTTTCAGCTGGTTTTCTGCTTGATTCATTACGGCACCAAAATCAAGATCCAACATTTCCCTTCCGCTGTAAGGGAATCCATTGGATGGTGGTGATGTCCGTGAACAAGCTTTACATGTAAGTAAAACTAATGACATACTCCATTATTTTCTGAGAAGCACGCTTGAATGATTTATTGCTATGCTGAGCAAGGTTTCAAGCCAGAACAGTAGCTCATAATATTTCACAAGCTGAAGTTCCAACAGTTGTATTGGGAAGCATAGCCCCGCGGAAGAGCAAATGATTAAGGAGAAATCTCACGTAAACATACTGAACTTAGTAAACGAAAGAAACCCACAATGACCGGAAAATTAGGTTGCGACCGCAAGTATCATTGCGCAAAACTGTGGATTACAGCAACAGGTTGTAGAATTTTAACTGTCGAGATGAGAATGATTTCTATCTCATTTAATACCGCATTTTAGCAATCTCTCAGTCGCATATAATTTGTACCGAGCGCGAAGCGCGATGTGCTGCAATTAAGCCTCGTAAAGAACTTGCGCAGAGCTAGATGGTATGCATGTTCGAACTATATTACGAAAACAATAACTGCAAGCGCCGGTACACTACTTAATAGTTAAAATTTAAACATTAAAAAAGCAACCAAAATCTCGATCTTCTCGTGGGTTAAAAGGTAACGTGCTCAAAACAGCCGTAGCATTTCCTTTTACAACGGCGAGACTAAAACGTTGCTTAATGAAAGCAGTAGAACGCGCTTCTCCAGTTAAGTCTCGAATTTTACGGCCCATGAAATGCAACAATTCACTGAAAGCGGGGCCAAATACTCCCAACGTCTCAATCACTAAAGGATAAAAAAAGTTTCCATTTTCCACAAATGAATATGTCCGGCGCTTGGCATTTTCTGCGAGCTGAGCCACGTATCCAGCTTTCCTCGAGCTGCCGGTGACAAGAGAGTCTGCGACCGTGCACCAACTGGTTACATCCCACACCAGTGGTTTGCCATGGCGGACTGGAATCAGCGTCATCCCGTCGGGTCTTTTTCCGTCCTTGCTCGATAAGCCGGTCGGTTCTAGTTGACAGGGAAAACCGGCGCTTTCGCAACAATTTTTAGCAATACTGTTCATTTCTTGGTGCCGCGCCCATCGTCCTTTGGTTGACTTATTGCAGGATATTACGAAAAGTACAGACTGTACAGACTGTACAGTCGGCTGAGTCAACCGATTTTACGAGTTTCATCTTGTAAAAGCTCGCTATTTATTAAATATTATAACATCCTTAATTATTGTAACGTCTAAAAATGATAAAACGTTTTTCTGCAGTCAACCGACACAAATAAAAAATCCAGTAACAATCATATTAATTTTCATTTCTACTGTAAAAAGCTGTGGTTAATGTGACATATACAGGTATGATTAATATAACGCGAAGGGTATGCGGTATAAAATGCTTTGTTGAATTAAATTATAATTCCGTGGCTGTCGTGTTGCTAGACTGGACTGCTGTCCGGTTCCCGGTCTGGCCCGGGCAGCCGCCTCCCGCGAAACCCTCCCTCCGGTCCCAAAAGAATAAAGCAGCTAGCACGACTAGGCTGATCGAGAATCTGCAAAATCACTAACTACTGAGAATCGTAGATTACACAATATGCGTCAAAAAATAATGTCTATAGATATTATGTTATGTATCTATACTGTCATTCTGTCACTACTATACGCACCATGCATGACGGACTTTATACTACATATCATATTAACGATAATTAACAATTTGTCACTGGAATGACACACTGCTTTACTGGCATCCATGCTGGTCTGGTTTTACAGTGAAGATCATGACGCGCTTGACCGTGACCATCCGAAACGCGTAGAACTGCTGAGGACAATACCACTTGGCAGCCGTCATTACCCGTTCCATGACCGAGACGGTACCACGCCGCGACGGCACTCCGGTGGCGGCGACACTGCTGTTCTTTGCCGGGCTGCTTCTCTGTAACACAATCAAAGTGAATCAAAGACTTGTGAAATCAATAAACAGTGTACAAGAGGTATACGTCCAGTGCGCACGCATTGCCAGGACTCACTTCGAACAGAGAAGCGCTTGTACTGCGCAAAATGCGTAATTATTGCTTTACGTAGCTGATTTATTGTTAACTTTTTGACTCCTACATTGTGACATTCTAGATCTGTTATGGCGCGTACTAGTAGTGAGTTTGTGCCAGTAAAGCAGCGGCTGCTACGGTGAAAACAAGTACATAAATATGTCCGGTACATTGAAAAAATCAGTACACACCTGTCTGATAGCCACCTGTTCGTCATCCGTTGGCTGGCCCGGTCCGTACATCTCATCGTGGCGTAGCCGGATCGAATCTGCCAGCATTTGCCGGGATATCTTCACAATGTTTCCATTCTGTGGAAGTGGAATAAAGGAGTGGTGGCAATGGTTTAGACTGTGCGGTTATTGTCGGTTGATTACATTAATATTGTGAAAAAAAGCATTAGGTCAAGATATCCCAGCGATGACATCACTGTACTTTACAAGACAAAAGCGGCAACCACCTACATACACACAAACATGCGCACATATATGTAGGGGGATGTCGGAAGCTGTCGGAAGGGGAATGCCGGAAGCAGATCTAGGCGATGCCTGTATGTAATGAGCCCTTACTGCCGTCAGCCGGGTGGATTATGATGTTGGACTAATATAATTATATTATTAAATATCTTATTACGAAAATGATCAGGATTACGCGCGGCCTCCCCACAGTCGAGATCTCTCTAACCAAAAACTTTTAAAAAATTCTGATACCACAGTTAGATCGGCCGTGGTCCAGAACTGCGTCACATGACTTTTGTTTTTGAATACGTCCGATCAGAATCCTGCCGGCACGATGCCGCAAACGATCCAACCCAGTTTCAAGATGACCTTGAAACTTTGAAAAATTTTGCCTGGATACAACACGCAACATAAATTATTAAATACGCAAATTTTTTAAAAGTTTTTGGTTAGAGAGATCTCCAGACTGTGGGGAGGCCGCGCGTAATATTGATCTTTTTCTTAATACAGATAGTTGAGTGGATAGTACTGCGTTTAATAAATCATCATTTATCAGTAGTTGATACCCTTTTAGTCGTAGCAATGGCAATGCTGCTGCGGATGGCCTCGTTAGCCGTGTGCGTCATGCTCATGGTCTATAACAACGGGGTAATGGGAAACTATTACGGAGAGGAAAACGGCGCCCCGGAATGGATGTACGACCAGCCCCATTCGGCCTACCAGCAGTACGCTCAGGCCCGCCAGATGGCCTATGACTACAGTGGACCGTACGTACAGCGGGCACGCCGTTTTGGCTCGCGTGGATGATAATGTTAAGCTGATCAGAGGGGCGTGGCTTGGTGACAGCCTGTTCTCCCGTTTAACTTCCATGACGTACCTACTTTCTGACGACTTGCTAGCCGTACAAGCAAGCGGGAAAATAATAATTATTATTTATTGTACACAATTACGCACGCCTCTGGCAGTAAGTGCCTACTGTACAGCGTCCACATACAAGTTGATAAAAGAAATGGCTATTGTGATTGCGATCATTCCTGCTTTAAAAATCACACATACCTTTGAAGTCGCTCTATCCACGAGTATGATGAGGGTAATGGTCATTATCAGGTGTAATAAATTATGCACGGCTAAATGCGCCCAGAAGAATGATTCGCGAGCTGTTTCACTCTCCATCATCAACTGGGCCACCGTGGACGCCAACGAGTAGAAGGTGGCTGCGCAGATTGACAACAGCGGAAGGCCGACACAGGACTCCATTTCTCCCTCTAAGGCGCCTAATATTAATGTCCACAATGAAACAATGTTAAATCATTTTTGATTTAACTGGAAATAAAACTAAAAATTAAAAAAACATTTCGCGGCATTCGTTTGGTTTCAAGCGTTTCAAGCTTAAGGTTTTGAATAAAAGATTTCCAGTTCAGTTGGCGATTGAATCATTAAAATTATAATCGGTTATATTTTTTGAAAAGGTTTGATTTTTTTGTTGCAAGTTATTGTTCATGTTAAAATCTTGATGCTTCAGTTTTCTGATATTTTGGTCATTGCGTATTAGTACGTTTTCACCAATGGGTCCCCCACGTATTCTAAATTCTAAACATCTATGTGTAAAGAAGTGTCCAGAAAATATCGTTTCTGTAAATTATTAGTGAAAGACATCGTTAACGAAATTCAACTTGCAAGCTCTCTAGATCTTTCACAGATTTTATAGGTTATCAAACTAAACCAGAGAAAAACCGTACGTACTCTAGACAGACCAGACTATAATAATAATTTGTGTACTTACAAGTGTATTGTCGTACGCAATGGGCGGTTACTACAGTAGCGCGCATATTGGTAGTACTAGTTACCGGCAACCAATTTATTAAACGCTTATGTACGAGTACGTATATATATACGCAAACTGGTCGAAATATGAGAAAACTTAGTGCACTTACGATTACTACGAGTACCCTACCTAATGCTTGCAGGTCCATTTCATACCGGCTAACCACGGGTAATAAGTCGGCGGCCGACATGCGTGGTAGACGCGGGGACAGCCTGTGCAGACCGTCCAGTATTCCCTGTGCTGCCTGGTTGAAATGACAGAAGATCGTTGCTACGGCGGTGAAGGTGGCACAGACAATGGCACAATTGATGAGTAACGTGACCGCGGCCCAGGTTTCCATCGCCACGGCGGGTATGTCGAAAATAAAGTACCGCTGAACGGTGAAGTTAGTCATATTGACCAGGACCGGTCTAATGGCCAGCAGGATCATAGCCAACAGCAGGATCGCCGTGGGAATGAATGTCGCCGCCAGCATAAGCCAGGGGTGGCGGCGGCGCTGTGACACAACGGATGGGAAGTCGGCTGCGTTGTCACCACGCAGATCACGTCGTATGGCGCGGTACACTGATCTAAGGTTTTTGAAATCATAACAATAATAAAAAAATTGTCGAAAATATAACTACGAGCACGAGTATAGATATCTGACATAGAAGGCTTAGTGTGTATCGAAATAAATACCCGGTTACGCCTATATATGTACACTGACCTCTGCTGTCCCCAGAAATACAGCAATACCAGAACAGAAAATAAGGCCATGGTCAACGTCGTTTGGGAGAACGTCTTGGTGACGACAAACAGCACCGGATTGTATTTATACTGCCTACAGTACTGGGCATCATCAACCGTGCCGTTAAGAACGAAATCCGCCCAGTCGACACCGGTAATCAGGGCGTGCGCACTGGCCACTAGCATAGAGAATATAATACGACTGACAGACATGATAAAGGTCAGGGCAGAATGTGGGCTATTGTAACGGGCTTAACGTAAGGGGGCAATCGTTATTACGAGAAAAAGCTGATAGTGGACAATTTGTACTGGAACTCACCGGTCGGGACTGACTGCGCCCGGACACTATATACGCTCAACATCCCGCAGTAAATCGTAACACAAGAAGGAAGCTGGAAATGCACAACACGGCTGCTCCCGCGCCGTCGCGACCGAACCTTGTGGGTGCAGGCTCTTTTACGACACAGTTACAGCCCGCGCTTTTCCCGGCTCAATGGATCGGCGTGGCCTTATGCTATTTTACGTGCTACGTGTTTGGGATTCCAACAAGTGAAACGTTCGCAAATGGTCATGAATTGGCATTACACGTGTGTGAAGCCAAGTGCTATATGTATTCTTGTATTATTACCAAAATTAGGGCTGTTGTTTAATAAAAATTAGGAATATCTTACTTTTTCCAAACTTTTCATTTTACTTATCGTTTTTCAACCGTTTTTGAAAATTCATTTGATTGTAACGCGGGATGTAGGTATGAATTAAAAAAAAGCAGTAAACGAAAACACATTTAGACAATTTAACGGAAGAATTCGAGAAGAACGTACAGTAGAAAACTGGCAGAGGGAACATGGAATGTAGAGTCGCTAAATTAGTGGGCCCGACCATTGTCACCCGTGCGCACCCCCTTTGGACTATTGTCGCCATTTTTTTTTAATTAAAATAAGCATCCTCTCTGACCATTGGGTGCTGTTAGTGCGGAAAGAGGGGCAACCATTATTATATATCTCGGAGCTGCCGGCAAAACCGTCGGTACAACCTTTGTCCGTTTCTTTCTCAGTGCTGCCGACAAAGTTTGTCGGCAGCACTGAGAAAGAAAGTTTTAAGATCAACCGGAAGCAAGTACACTGGAATTTTCTTTCCGCGCGTGCAGCAGCAAAGAGATTGTCATGATTTTGAACTTTTCGCGATCGCATTCGCTGCGGAACGTATTATAATTAGCAAAAAAAAACCCCTGAAGATGCTAAGTTTAATTTCAAAAACCTGAGGCCGCATCTTACAATAAGTGATGCAACATAGTGTCTATGAGCTTCGCTTAGCGCCTTTCCTTACCGGTGGTGGCAGGAATAAAGTTAGAAAAGAGCCCCTGGTGGCAAAAATTATAAGCAACAAATCGGAAGGGGGTGGCAATAGTCAAATGAACGTGTGGTAGCGAGGGTCAATAGTTTATTTTGTTAAAAAAGGGGTGACAATAGTCGAAAGGGGGTGCAAGGGTGCTAAAACCACCCTCCTTTCTAACACAATCTTTGTTTCATGAAAACCTTTAGGCCGAGAATTTCAAATAAATGGCACTCAGGGACTTCCGGTGCTTGAAACAGTTACAGCTTTCCGGCAGAATAGCCAATTTATGAACCGTAATTCATCGATCTTACTTACTGTTTGCGGTGTTTTTTAAGCAATGTGGCTTAGTTTAGTGCGCCGTATGAGAAACAAAAATCCATAGCACAAAGAGTTATCATTGCTCCATTATATAATGCATGCACTCCATGACCTGACCTGCTCAACAGACCTCCCAGATCATGGCGTGCTCAACATAACTGAATTGATCTAATTAATTTATCGAATTCACCCCTTCCCTTATGTACGAAAAATTTATCCGTGACCTTGATTAGAGAAATTTATCCATGCGTTATTGGAAAATTTAGCGCGATGGCATCAAATATAGTACAGTTTATGAAACACGCACACGTAAAAATCCAATTTTAATAAGTTATGTATAATTAGTTTGAAGTATAATTAGTTAATACCTCGTATTTACGGAAAAGTTTTAATACCTGCATCTAGAATGCCTGTATGATGGATCATGGTCCATTCATGTATTTGAATGTAACTCGTTTAGACTGTTTTACAACACTTTTCCGGTGCAAAGACCGCTCCCACGACTAGAATACGATTCAATGATTTCGATCAACTGTTTCCTGAGCATTTACTCCATAATATTTGTTGGAACCGGTTGACTTATCTGCTACTACTTTGAAAGCAAAGCAATTTTCGAATTAAATCAGCTCGATTTGCGGAATCCGCAGTTGTATACGCTGGGGCCATCTCATAATCCTGAGACAGAATATCTTCATATTTTTTCACTGTACAGGTCTGTAGATTAGCAGTTATTTCACGAAAATTGTTTCTATTGCTAATTATCACGCATCTGATCGACGGTTCAAGCAGATAGTCGCACAGGTACAAGGTAAACGTTCAAGGTACCTCCTAAATTATTTATATGCACCTCTATTTGATGATTTTGATCCATATATTTGCTAATGCATATACTAAAGAAGCTAATGCGGAAGACCGATATAATTGACCTTACATCGAGTTTATAGACCATATAAAACATGTTATATGTATTTTTAAACTTTTATTTTTATTCATTTGTGTACATTTGTGTACTGTCGAAGTAATACGTTATGCGTAATAAACTAATAATGCATTTGTTTCGTTGCTTGCTTTCCGATTTCGTGGAATGACAGTAGCAGTTTTGATACTCTGCAGATGGATTTATATTTCTTGACGCAAAAGAGTTTTGTTTGTCATGAAAAACAGGTACTTTCTTATTTCTACCAAAATTTCTATTGCCGTGGGCCAGTAAATGCTCGGACAACGGAAGTACAATACAGATGTATAATTTTTATTCAAAACTTTACTTGTACACGTCTTAAAAACATATTTTAAAGAAACAAGAGTTCATACACAATTCAGAAACGGTATTTGTGTAATGTCCCTTAAATCATTATTTTAATACAAAAACAGTCTTTCTTTTCATATCAATTAACCATTTCGATCCGCGCCAATTTACTACAATTTTTATACCTAATAAAATGCGCAGTTTAGACATACACGTAATTTCCAGTATTTACTTGTTATTTAGTATGCCCAACCAATGGTGCAACACAGAGATTTGTTTTAACCGCGAAAAAAAACGATACCGGCGAGTACAAGTAACGGAATATTAAATTACACAATAAATTTACGGCAATGTGTATACATGGCGCCACCCATGCGGCAGTCGGCAGTGAAGTTCATATACGATAATTAAAACCGTAGCAGTACAAGGTGACCCCTGACACTAGCAATTCAGATCAAACTTTCGTGCATGCACAACGAGAAATAATCGTCTATCATTTCCGCCTTGCTAATTATTCCAGTGACTGGCTCGGTTATGCATGTTGTACTTATATTACAACAACAGCCAATCTGGTTGTTGTTATAATATAGTGGCGATCGACCTTTGCTGCAATCATCCGGCTGCTGGGTAATGTAAGATTGCTATGGTCGGCAAAGGTGCGGCCGTGAAAGCTGTTAGCAATAATTATAATTTGGCTCGGTGAGCTTCCATTTAGGACCGTTCATCCCAAGCGCATGCGATGGTGCCGAAACCTCCTACTTACACACGGTATGTCTGAGCACAAGGTCTGGTCACTCAAAGATGGAGCAAGGTTTTGCGCTAGGGGGAACTGTATAAGATACGCTCCAGGCGGAAATTTTTAGGAGACCGATAAATAACACGAAAGGTTTAGCGTAAGTTGATGGTTTTGTGGATGATATAAATACTACCGCTATATTATTAAGTTTCGTATCATTGTACTTCCCAGCAGCATAAGGGAAGAGCCTCAATACGTCAGCCCGCAGCGTAGTCAGACTCGCCAAATAAGCTGGTTGTGCTGTGTAAGAATCAAATGCGTCAGTGCCGTGTACAAATCCGTGCTCGTCTTGTAATACAGTAAGCCGGTATTAGCCTGGTATATTCTGGATATATAATCGACACGCCAGCTTACAGAGCAAAGACTGCGGGATTGAGAAACCTGCTTTGTGTTCCCTGAGAATCCTTGTCACTTGTTTTCCAGTGGATAACATTTCTCATAGAGTCCGGTCAAAACAAGTGATGCGATGGAAAATTCCAGTGTGTTGATGGCGTTGGCGAAGGTACCGATGGACATGTCCGTACCGGGCAATGCGACCAACTGGGACGTCTATGTTGCGCAGTTTGACCGTCAATGGGAAGAACACTACACACTTAACTGGATTTTCATCGGCATTATGAGCAGTTTGGCGGCGTTTGGCACTCTAACGAATTTATTCGTAAGTGAAAAAACGTTGTCCGCTATAATCTACTGGGGTGATATTATTTTTTGATTTAATTATCGATATCAATATAAAACCGCTTATCTTCATCCTTTGCAGCTAGAACGTTTTTAAGTAATTATTTCTTGCATTCTAAAACGCGTAATTATTTCTCCTGGTAGTTTTTGATAAGAGGTCCATCTAAATTAAATTCCGGTATTCATTAAAGTTAGTACAAGACGGCAGAAGCCCTGCTCACGTATCGTGCACACTACTGTGCATTAAATGTAACCGTGCAGCTACGTTTTATTTAAAGAAATTGGACTGCAATCTTGTAACCCAGATAGTCCAAGTGTTGTTTGTGCAAAATATAACATTTCATTTAGCACAGCTTGTTGTCGTTGTGTGTAGGTGTTAATCTCGCTGGTCCTGGTGTTGGAATTACACCACTGTCAGTATGCCTTTGTGGGCAATTTGGCCTTTGCCGACATCCTCATTACGGCCATCGTGCTGCCGGTCATCGTAGCCGGTAAGCCACATGTCGTCATTTCCATCCGAAAAGCGTCGTTATCGCGTACAAACATATTGCTATAGCGTCATCCCACCCATTTTGCAGTATTGCTAAAGGGACCGGATATGTTCCGGCGGCACCCGTGGTTCTGCGAACTGGAAGGGAGTATCTGTGCCTCCGCGTGTGCCGGATCCATCTGGTGTATCATGGCCATCAGTGTGGAAAGGTACAGTGCTATCGAAAATAAAGCAACTTAATCTTATTCCTAATTATTTCAGTCTTCCTTTTTACCGTTCCTTTGATCGGTCAACATTTTTTTTCCTTACATTATTTTAGTCTCATGCAAAACTTTATCAATATATTCCAGAGAAGAGATAAACCCAGTTATCTTGGAAATTATTTTTAAAAATTGGTAAAACAGCGCGCATTTACTGTGCATACGAATCAAACATCGTGGCAGTAATTCAAAAATAGTTATTATGAAATATTATTCTTATTTATTGTGTACTTACAATCAGTGTTTGCTAAATCCAGGATTTTCCATAAAGTAGCTATATACTAAGTCGAAGTATCACGTCTGATTCACACTTACGTAACGTAACACTTGCGTAGATACTGCTTTGATCAGTATTAATGTTTACCTTTCGAAATTAGTGCTATCCTCGCTTACTACAAACGTAGTAAATAGTATTTACCACGACTCAAAGTGCGTCTCTTGAGGAGGCTTAATGGCGTTGATTGTCAGTGTCCTGCCGACAAACATCGTAATTCGCATTAATAATTTGCTGTACTCGTGCGGATTCGTTCGCAGTAGCACATGCCCTTGCATGTGAATCGCGCACAGATCAAGATAGCGGTAAAGACGTCCTCTGATCATTACGTGCATGTCAATCCCTTCTTCCTGCTTAACTCTCCAGGGCAGACTTATGACCGGTTGCGTTTCCGTGAACCAATTTGCGCGGAGCGATCGCAACAGCGGTATGCAACAGATTAGCATGCAGCGTAATACGGTAATCTGTTGGATCAAAATTTTATATGTGACGGTATGCCATTGATAGCTTTTGAAATCTGACTGCTCGAAAAACAATCTGGGGCGGGCAGAAGATTACTGAAATCCAAGCTATTTTGGCAATAAAAAGGCACTTTAAACTTGCAACAGATTTGATGAGCGGGGTACAGTATAAACACGTCAATGTGTCATCCTTAAATTTGTGATTGTGTGCTTACTTCCGGGGTCGTTACACATACGCCGAACGGGAGTTATCGGGACAACGGTCATCTTTCACATTTTTGCGAGCCTGCTTTTTGGTAACCCGCTATTTCGTCGATCGTTAGGTCGACCCGTGACAAAGTCGAGATAGCTTTTTCCTAAACCGTCTTGGTTTTCCTAAACAGTCTTGGTTTTCTTCAGGATTTTGTTTCTCAGTTTTGTCTTAAGACGTCTAAGAAAACCAATTAGTTTTCTTGGGTTCGCACTTTCATAGATTCGCCCTAAAACCCATGAAAACGAATTAGTTTTCTTAGGTATCTTAGTTTTTCTTAATTTTCTAGGCCTCGCTTTTATGACGGTCGACGCGTCATCCACATAGCGTCTGTGATGCAAAACTAGCCTAAATTTCTATACAGTAGTATTCTCTTCCAAGTCATTAATTCTGTACAGCAGGGCAGACATGTGATTAAAGTTTAATTCCGGTTCATTAACCAAGTGTGGCTAGTTGGTCACTAATTACTCGCGCAGCTTCGGTGAGACTGTCCCGGTAAGTAAAATTAAAGGCTGAGAATGGCCGGGAAGTTCTATGTAGAGATGTTGAAAAGGGCAAAAGTAATAACAAACGTGGTGCAACCGGCATCATACCGATGCGGCAGATGACATGCTTTATGAAGGGGGATGCCCAAGGTGTCCTGCTTACAGTTAGTGCATTCAAATCAATGGTTGCAGGGTGACACTTAATAAATTGGCGGTCACTGAAAATTATTGATTCACGAAAAATTGCATGCTGCACCTACAAGCGGTACATTCATAAACCGAAGCTAACAATGTCATAACAGTGCTTCCTGATTTTCATATACGTACACTACTAACAGCTTTTCAATTACAAAGGCATAAGTTTATGGACCATTCATAATCAAGTCCCAATTATGGCGCATTGGGCCGACAAGTTAAAAATTTGTTTTGTATGTGAATTAAAAATGCTTGTTTTCGTGCTACCACATTATATAAGGAAGAATTCCACTTTGAAACACTTTGTATACCGTACGTTGTTTCGACTGTAGGTACATCTGCATCTGTCACCACAACCTGCACAGCAAACTCTTCACACCCCTCCGCACGGCCGGTCTAATCATTCTCCTGTGGATCGTCGCCAACGCCATCCACGCCCCGAACTACCTGGGCTGGGGCCGCACCGGCTACACCGCGGACCTTAACCTCTGCACCTCCGAACTGCATCTCCAATCCTACTCCATCTTCTTCGGCATCCTGGCGGTCATCATCCCCATTAACATCAGTTTCTATGCCTACATGCAGATTTACCGTCGCATCCGCATCAGCCGCGCCGGGCGCCGTATCCTCGTGTCCCATAGCCGGGCGTCCACGAACTCCAGCGCCGATCCCACGGCGCCCGGCATCATCCCGCCCATGCAGTTGCGGGCCATTCGCGATGAGATCCAACTGGCCAAGGCGCTGTTTAAGGTGTTCATACTATTCCTGCTGTCGTGGATGCCGTTGGGGTTGTTTTTTATACTGCGGAGCTCGGTGACCTTTCCGAAGTGGTACAACTTCATGGGGCTGATTCTGGCGCACGGGAGTAGTGCGACGAATTCGGTGATTTATTTTTGGATGACGGATCTGTTGCGGACGACGAAGGAAGGGTACCGGCGACTGATCAGGCGCGCTAAGGCGAACCGGGTCGGGCTGCCCGGCATGCTGGCTAAGGAATTGAATATTAAGAGAATGGGATCGAATTTGAGAACTTATGAGCATCACCCTGATCCGGTGGGATGAGCGGTTGGATTGCTGGAATTTCGGGCAAATCTTGCAAGTTAAAGCCATTTACGCATGCGCACAAAGAACGGAAACGTAAAGACGAAAATTGAAAAATATTGTTCATAATACGTAAATTAGACTATTGTACAGTGTGGTTAACAAATATTCACAGTGTAATTAAATCTCGGCTTATTTAATTTTTTAACACTTTAATCAAAATTAATTTACTTTAACTTTTAATACCAATTTAGTCATTTGGCTTTTGAAAGTTTGATTTAGTTTCTTTTAAATGTTTAAAGCTGTGTCTCATGGAAAACTGAAAAAACGGTTCAGCTTCGGCTGTTGTGCCGGCTGTTATTCTCGTTCGATATAGAATCTGTTACATTCGGAGTAAATTTTGAACTGATGGCTTATCTTAACTGAACCGTATTGCAAGCATTATTAATTTGAGTCTCTTATTGTTTTCATAGTGTCATGAAACATTAGGAAGTAGTTTCGATTAACTTTGGCGGACGAGGTTCATGTGCGAACAGTGCGAACATAATCATAAGCGCAAACGCAGTTTATTTTTTCGGTTAAAACGCTTGTAATCATTTTATCTTCGAATCCTTTGCAGTAGGATCAAAAGACGTATTTGACTTCAATAACAACAAATTCGATTTCGACTTCGGCACTTTAAAATGTACAATCTTCCCTACGGTAGCCAAATCATCCAGCTGAATTAAGATTAATTCTCGGCGTTGCTTCTTCTCTTTCTCCCCGCGCACACTGATATACGTATTCGACTTGGACGCCTCCAGATGGATATCGTTTAGTTTCGCCAGAACCCGCACGGCCGATCCCGGCGGCACCACCGTGTACTTGGACTCCTTCGTGCCAAAGTTGCTGATGTAATTCGTCCAGTCATCGTCCAGGACCAGACTGATCAACTGCAATAGGTAGTCGAATTCCTTGTTTTCTCCGCTCTCTTTCACCGTTCGGAACCCAAACATGCCCAGGACTTTTTCATAGTACTCGATATCGATGCGCAGTTGGTGCAGTCCCTCGCGACTGACGACCGTTGACTCGTACACCCAGAAGGTCTCCAGTTCCGTGGGGATGGTGGCCCACAGCGTTGCGAAGGCTTTTTCGGCGAACTCTGGTCGCAGTCGGCTAATGTCGTCAAAGAACTCTTTGATGAAACCGAGAACCTTGTTAGCTTCTTCAGATGGAGCTTCCGGTATAATCGTTAAATCGGTGACGCTATCATGCAAAACTGCTTGGATGTATCCCTGCGGAAACAACGCAAGGAACCACACTTACAACTGTTAATCTGACGCGTGCAAAGCGCAAATAAAAATTCGTTGCTCTCCAACAGGTTCAAAGTTTTACCGAAAAGTAAATTTTGCTTATCTAAATCGGATTAATTGCTTACCGTGAGTTCTCCAATCAGCTGCTGCTCGGTTCCCAGTCTAAGCGCTTCAAAGGTCACATTCGCCGAACGTAGCGATAACAGCGGATGATTGGTCTCCAAATGCACGCACAACTCTTTGGCGATAAACCGTTCCAGCCGCGGCAAACAATACTGCAATTGCGTCATGTTCTGGTATACTTGCACGTACTGCTTAACCAGCAGATACCCGCTGGTGAAGATATCCTGCAGGTGATCGTACAACTGCGTTGTCAACGCCGTCTTGGTAATCTCCACCGCGCGCTCCAACGACTCTTCCACACTTAACCCGAGATCTTTATCCACGTCAATGTTCGAGGAAATGTAATTGGTCAGCAAGCCGTAGATCTCCGGAACGCTCTGGGAGAACGGGAGTTTCTTGGGGAATTCCTTACTCGTGCAGCCGGGATGCTTTTCCCATGGATCAAAAACGTGGAGGAAGGATTTCTCTGCTTCCACACTGCTCAGAATATGGGCGCTGAAAAGGTCACGGGATAGGGATAAGTGCATTGCCGCGCCCAGCGTCTGGTCGAGGATTTTGCAGTAGTGTCCGGCGAGAGATTCCAGGAGACAGAAGATCCCGCTGGTGTCACAGCGCAGCATGGCCATCGCCGACAGAAATATGCGCAAAAGGATCCTGGTGTCCTTATAATCGTTTTCCGTGCAGACTAGCTTGATGGCGTCTTCGGTAATGGTGCGGACTTTGGGGAAGACGTCTTTCCAAAGGTCGTTGTAGTAGTCCTCGGCAGTGATACCGGTTACGTAGTAAGCAATGAACATCTCCATCCCAAAAATCCCTACAATCTGAAACGGTAACTTAGTTAGATTGGACAGAGTTTTTTTCAACAAAATCATTCCAGAAATTTCAGCTAATAACGTTCAGAACGTATTGTGGCTCCTCAATTTCATAACTGCCTGTGATTTCAGTTGTTTTGTATGCCTATTCTGATTTAGCCTTGTGATTATTAAAAAAATGGTTAAAGCGAAAAGCAAAAAACACTGCTGTTTCTGATTGGTTAGATTCCTACCGTTGCAGTGCGATGTATCGCTTGTTATGCTGAGCACAAGCTGATCATTACCGGATTATGCAGCTTACCTTCTGCACAAACGACCGCAACTGCTGCAAGGTGGTCACATCGTGTTCGTCTAGGTTTTTGAAAATCTGCACATGTCGTTCCGCCATGTACGTGACGTAACAGTGGAACAAGTATTCGCTATCCACTCCCCCGGGATAATCCACCAGTGTCTTGACTATATGACGGAAGTTGTTCAGAAGGCGCAAGTTCAACATTTTTTCCAGGCTCTCTTTAGCATTCGCTCCATTTAGCGCACTGAGTAGTTTCGGCAGTTCTGACGCCGCTGGCTCCACGGTGATTCCACTGTAGAGCGATACGGTGTGGAACATGGCCAATCCCGCTTGTGGTTTGCTCGGACTGATCGCTTCCAACGTGTAAATCACTCCTGTAGAAAGAGAATGTTAATTCAACTCATGGTGCTGGGTAAGACTTGCACATCGTTAGCCGACATAATAATAACTATGAAAACGACATTTTTAATTCGATTGGCCCGGTACTTACGCAAATGGCTAAGCACTTTGAATACTCAATTGCGAAGAAATTGTTATTAAGCGGGTTGTGCAATGATTTAAAAACTCGCACAATTTCGAGTAATTGTACATTACTGATTCAGGCTGAGTCTTCTCACTCTTCTGTACGTGAGAAGAGATTTTCGCACGAACACAGATCTGTCGGAAAGATATTAGTCATACATGTTTCCAGATACACGTACTTAAACGGCTCTTCGGCATCAGCATTGCAACTCCCAGGCAGAAAGAATAGTGCGAGTGCTGACGCGTATTACATCTACCTATACGCCAAGGAAACAGCATGCGAAACTGCTGGCTTACCTCTTGTGCACGTCTCCAATAACGAATACTTTATCTCCGGAATGGTCGTTGCCAGCCACGCCACAAATCCCATTTGCGGCGACAGATGTACCGTGTCCTCCTGGGCTTTGCATAAGCACCGCAATGCCTTCACCGGTGTGGCGCTGAGTTCCAACGCTTTGCTGAAGGATCGCAATGCCGGCCGTAGCGCATTGATGCGCTCCATCAAAATGGCCAGATTGCTCAGTACGCAGCTGGTCAGCCGGGTTTCCTTCTCGGCATAGCGGATCTCCTTCAGCTGCGCGGCATACACGTCCCGATCATCGAGGGTCACCACGTCCTCCCGCAGCTGGTCGATGCGGTCGTTAAGATCGACAAAGTCCCGACTGGCCTCGGTCAAGACAAACGCGTTAGCGGTGCACAGATGCTGGATGGTTTCTTCGTCGGAGCGGATGCGGGTCATCAAGTGATCCAGAAATTGCCGCTCATGCCCGAATTCCATAAACTAGGGAGAATAACGCACAGCTTGAAAGTACACCGTGGAAGACGCGTTCCCGTTGGTGGCCTTACCTGACGGAGCCGTGGAACTGATGGCACATGTTGCACAGAATTGTTAGCACCTGTAAGCAATCTGTTGTTTACTGCATGACCACACGCTACACTAGCACTCAGTCAGCTTTAATTGGTGGCCATTACTGGCGAATAAAACTTTAGGAAGTGACCCGGTATAGCCCTCACAAAGGTTCGTTCGTATCTCCTTTTACAGAGCAAGTTGCTGCATTACGTAGCCAAATGATGCGTGCACCTTGGTGAAATCACAGATTGTGTACGCAACATCCGGTCGCGAGTTAAGGGTGGAACAAGGTTGCAGAAGGTCCAAATGCAAACGGCTACATATATACAAAAAGTGACCTTATAAATCAATGTTCTCTATCTAATTGAAGATGCTTACAATATAAACGTGCTTTCACACAGGATAGAAGTTATGGCGTTGCTTGTTGGAATTGATGAATGAATTTATAAAATTTAAAAGGTTCTAAAAAAACTGCGAAATTACAAAACCTTTCGCAGGTGGACCTGCATGTAACGGCTTTACCCTTAGTACAGCCCATTCAACGAATCCAAATACCTATGCTTTACATATAGAAAACATTCCATGCACTGGACATAATATGCCATGCCACAGTAGGTGTAAGGGTAACAGAAGTTCCGTCAGGTAAGCCACAGGATCAACTTTTTCTTACCCGTCTCAATATAAATGGCACCAATTTGTCATGCGCCATATCATTCTCCAAATGCCCCAACAGAACATTGTAGATCGGTGGCATATCCGACGGAAAAGCCAAAGCCGCATCACTATCGCGCCGATCCCCCGCCGCCAAATTGGCCGACGACAGCGCCGCTTTGGCGAAGATCTCATCCAGATTCTTGACCTTTATGGCGCGGTACTCCGCCAGCGTAACATCGGAGCGCTCCGATGCGGCTGATCTGTACATCGGGAGTGTGTCACTGCCGGACGACAACAACGAATACGTGGACGTGGCTTCCAGACTATTGACGGAATGGGGATTATTCTGCTTCGTCCATTTGCCGAACAAACCATGCAGAAAGGATTTCTGCGCCATGGGCGCTGATGGACTGGAGGTCGCGGATTGAACGCTCTGCTCCGAAGCCGAATGCTGAACCTCCGCTTGGTGGAGTTTGAGAAGCCGTTCACGGGTGCGTGCAGCGGAGACTGATTCCGCCGCGGATGCGCTTTCTTCCAATGCAGAGTTCGCGGTTTCCCGGCTGAATTGCGGATGCGGGTTGTTTGTAAACTGGTACGACTGCGACTCCTTTAACTCAAGCCGGAGTTTCTCCGAATACAGTTCGTCGATCTGGGTTTCCCTGATAACGGATAAGCGATTCTGGGAAGCGGTTAACGGTGGCTGTTTATCGGAAGTTATTGACTTAACCGAAGCTTTTGATAACTGGCTGCGCGTTTTCGCCACACTATCCACGCTGTTCTTGCTGGTGGATTGGATGCTGGAGTTGCCCGATACACCGGATAGTTCGCGGGACCAGATATTAGATAAGACGTACGACAGTCTCTCGTGCGACTGGACGCTGCGGCTTAAGCTGTTGTGAGAGGACTGAACTGTGCTGGGAGCTTTGTTGGCAACACTTTCGGTTCCCGATGGGGTTTGGATGGAGATCTTGGGATTAGGACGAGATTCCATAGAATACAGTTATCGGATGCATACCGAGATCTGGCACGCCTTAGCTAAACAATCCAGACTTGATCTGCTTTCAAAAAAAACTCCTTAGCGGAACTAGTTTGTTTCCAGATTACTGCAGTTATTTTATCTAGATCAAGGATATTCAATTTAAAAATACGGACTTTGGATAATCGAAATACAGCGGTTATTATGCGAACCCGCAGCATAATACTAAGTACATATTTACTTAAGAGATGTTCACCAGGGTCGCTGTATTAGGGTTGCCTAGCAAAACAGAATGCCGATACACGGACTGCATTCGAAGGCTTAAATTTTAATTCGAAGGCTGAAATTTTAATATATTGCTAATGTAAACCGTAGTATTTAATCGAACTGGTGTGCTTTTAAAGCATACTACTGAATGGTAAGTAGTGATTCTGGGTGCGGCCTTGTCAGCCTGTAGTAAATAGCAGTGTTTGTGCAGCCAGGTTTTCCTGATTATGTAGTAAAACAAGAAAGTTTTTTTGGTATTGTATTTGCAATTTCCGTTTGCGCTTGATTACCCAAATTACTAGTACTTACTCAAAACTGGACAATACAAATGTATTTCTTTTGTACAGCCTCCGGCCACGAACGAAGCTGTACTAAGGTAAATAATTATTAAATTTTTGATTATGTGGCCTTTTGATACGTCCTATCCATCATCTTGGTATCGATACTTTCACAGTGCGATTTATTGTGTATAAGTTTGCACGCTCTAAAGGCTGCAAACTGTAATGTGCTCGTGGTATGTGTTATTTGAAGCTGTTACTGTAATATTCCGGGCGTCTTTGGAGAAGCTTCGCTTTCAATCCGATGGCAGTTGTTTATTGTGCTAACTGATTATTGTCGAAACAAAGCCATTGTGATGGGCGCAAGCGGAATACGGGCTGTGATAGTTTTGCCGCTGCTGTTTGGTAAATATTTTTATAACACCGCATGGTAAATACTGTATTTTCATAACGCCGCTCGAGGTAGCTTTTTCATGAAACTGCACGAATAAAATGCCTAGCTGTTTCCCTCACCCTCAATATGTACAACCAATGAAAACTACCGTTGTATGATTTATTCGATATTAAACGTTTCCGCAGAAAGAAACTTTTTTGGGTTTTGTCAAAAAAGTTTCTATGTACTAGCTCAAAGATGAGCTTTCCGATGAAGCTGATGAACGATAAGTTATGTCTTATGACGTCCCAAGTGATGGCACATGTGCCTGTTGAGAAGTTTTCGTAAAAAATAGATTCGAATCATAAGCAGTTAAAACGGTACCTAATTTCTTGATCTCAGTAATTATGTGACGGCTTTTATCTTTGCAGCTCCAGTTCAGCCATTGATAACTTGTGCTGAGTGCGATTACCACAAACATGTTGGAGGCAACTGCGACCAGGAGAAATCATCGTGCTTTTACTGCCTCTTCATAGCGGACGAACGCCGTGCGTATTCCAAGCATTTATGGATACAGGCATAATTAGACATTAGAATGAGGCACTAATACGGTATTAGTAATACCGTAGATTGTCGTAATGTCCATATTGCATAATATTACACCGGCCTAACCATAAGAGATGCGTTCTCCCATATAGAAATGTTCCTGAATTCTTCGTGTGGTGTGCCCCCTGGCTATAAAGTGTATTCTGTACCTTACTGTGAAAAAGAGGAAGGTTTATGGAAGTGCTTTTGTGAAAAGGACCTCTGTAACAAATTGCAAATGTTTCCCTGGCGTAAGTATAGTGATGGTCACGCACTCATTTGGTCGAAAGTCAGTACCTACAGTTATATTCAATGGAAGTGAACCGCTATACAGGGCAGTTTACTGTTTGTGCTAGTTTTGCGGTCGTGTTAATATTTGTCCTTCCTGCGAAATTGGTGTTGTTACAGATTTCAAGGTGATTGGCGGACCAGAGACCACTACGTATGAGGCTGTCAGTCCTGATGCAGGTATGAAGTATTTGTGCTGCTGAACGCATCAGGCAAGAAGCTAACGCTGAAAGCCAATTTTTTTAAAAAGAAGAGGACCAAGCTGGAGGCGAAGAAGCGGCGGACAATGATGGAGATCCTGACGACGGCAGTGCTGAAGATCTCGCCTTGGGCGTTACGGGTCCTGATGCTCGTGTTTCTGGGGAAGAAAGGTGTGCCTCCAAAAGAGGTAATGACATATTATAGCTTACATACCGTCACTAAATTTTATTTAATAAAATTGTGTCGATGTGTAACACCATAATATATACGTAGAAAGGTCTTACAAATTTAAGAGCCGATATGGAATTATTGCAAGTACTTTTCGGAAATTTTAATTTTCCTTTCAGACTGGAGGTGGGACTTATCAGTCCTGCTAACAACAATGTGGTGGATTATGGATGTCACCTGACAGCAATCTGCATTACAAAGGATACGAAAAGCTTTCGCCTCGGACCGACTGTCGAAAAGAAGAACAAAAATAGTATATTAGCCATCTTGTTCTTCGGAGCATCCGTGTCATCATGGCCGATATTGACCAATTATTCTCGGCCACCGGATTGATAGCGAGACCGACCGGCACCCGTGACCTTATAATTTGTAAGATTATGCATCGGCACTGATATCCTCGTGTTAATAACGTGTTATGTTGCAACTGTTTCTCGCAGTTTTTAATTTTTTATGTTTAATGTGAACTAACACCATTGTAAAAGGTTTGTTTTATATGTACAAGGTTTTTTAGTTTAGTACTAAAAAGAAAAAACCATAACCTGTCTGCTGCTTTAAATGTTTTGTGGGAGTCAAAAATGATTATGAGTACTGTATCCGAAATGAAAAGAATCTGGACTCGAATAAAAGAAGAGGCACGAACGCGGCAAACAAGAACAAGAAAATCTCAAACGCGATATAAGTCCATCGGTATAACTACTGCATGAAAATAAGTATTCACCGCCAGCAAGCACATAGGGTGGCTGCTTTGTACATCAAGAAAACACCAGAAGAATATCGTCATTTGATACGAATATTACAGTAATGTGGCGAATGCGTGCACCGTTATTAAATGTAATGTAAACTATTTTCAGCAGTTAACGGTTTCAGGTTGCAAAATTTTTTACAAAATTCTGGTCGCAATAAAATGTCTCGCAGATTCGGCAGTAACGGAAGTGCTCCAGACAAACTACGCCAAATTTCACAAGGTATCGGTGCAGATAAGTTTTTGTTTTCAACCTCAACAGAAGTGCGATTGTCGTAAGAGCACATTAATCACAATTCGGATAACTCGAGACGCAAATCTGTAATTTCGAGCAGTGGCAAGCTTTTTATCGTGTTGAATAGCGATGAATGGTTACTTACTTGAGTCTTAAAGGGTTTTTCCTACTGTTCGGGATGAGTCTTCTAACAGTACCGAATACTCATTAGGGTTCACAGCCACACCCTAACCATCAGAGCAAAGAAAAGCAATGTGTAGCGTTTTCGAAGTTTGCATCCGCTGTACTGTTAGATTAAACGTTGCATTGCTTATGCATCAGGAAACGAGTTGCCCGCCTCGCCTCCCACGTCCGCATTGGCATCCCGAGAAAGTCAGCAGCACCGCTTTAAATTGGATGGTCTTAGCGCGGACTCAACCACTTCATCATCGACAGATTTTGGTCTTTGCGAGCTCTTACCGAAACGCACATGGATCGTCGGGGATTCCTTCGTCCATCCCAACTGGTATGTCCGGAGGAAGAAGACGCGCACCCAGCGTCCCTGGCAGGCCCTGGGCATGCGCGAGTCGTGGAGAGCCACAGATATAATGGACGATTTGGAGGCGAGAACCAATGTGGAGTTGGGCCTGGGCGATGTCGAGAAGAGACGGTTCGTCAATGTAAAGGAGTTCGACGATCCGAGCTTGTTTAAATTCGACGCCACGAATGAGGTCAACGAGGTGCTGACGGACCCGGTGTACGATTATAATACGTTCCATGCGCCCGTACACGGAAAATCAACGATAGGAGAAGCTCGGAAAGCGTATAAGGTATGGTTAGTGTTACCGAAGGTCAACTTTGACTCAACGTTACTGCAAATGCAGATGAATTAAAACGGTTTCAACGTTAGTTTGTAGCGGACCTTTTTATGCGTAGCGGCCCAAATATATCGATTTGGATACCAATTTGAACGCTTCCAAATCTGCAGCCCAACCTGTAACGGTCAAAGCGCTGATGTTGGACGGTCAGGTAGCCGCCTTCGTTACATGCCCAGCCAGTCCAAAATGCAGCCAAACATCCGATACCGTCTTCAAGCTACTTGAAGAAACGCTGGCGAAATGCAATACGTTATTGCCGAAGGATGATTTTACCGTTATCCCGCCAAAAGGGAAGGATACCAGCAAAATCCATGGACCCGACGAAAAGGTCACGAAAAAAGCCAACTCCAAAAAAGCGGCAATCAAAAGAAGGAAAAAAGGAACGAAAAAAAAGAAACTTGTAAAAAAGGAAAAGCTGGTAGAAAGGTCACTGTCCGAGGAGAAACGCGCGCAACGACAGGCGTTACTGAAGGAAGAGACTCCCGATCAGGTGTGGTTTGGCTCACCTGGGACGCCACTGGAACTAGCAAACGATTTTCTGGGTTTGCGTGAATTAAAGGGAGAAGAGCGCCGTGCAGCTGCGAAACAGTTGATGTTTAAAGAAGCCGGCCCAGACGAAGTGTTCAAAGCCAAGCGGTGGAGATGTTTAGCCAAGAAGCACTGGAGATTCAAACGCGAGCGAAATATACTGCAGCGGTATCTGTACCAGGTGCGCGTAATTATCGCTATTACTAACTCATTGCCCATTAGTCTTTCAACCTTTACAGCCTATTTTTTCATCTTTAGTTTAAAATAACATTTGATAATTTCGCTCAGTCTACAAGCGTTTTCCGAAGGAACACTCCAAACCTATCAGCAGTGCAGTATAAAACAGGTACACTAAATGGAAAATTAACAATCATGTGTTTATAGTTGCAGACAGAATCGACTACACGAAGTCGGAAATCTTCGGTTCCGAAAACACTGTTACAGGAAAACGCTGACAGTGTGAACGTTGATCCGCTCCTCACAAACAGCGCAGCATCTAACCACGTCATTTCACCGGGTGATCTGCCACCAGTCGCCTGCGGAAACTCAAGCAGGACAGAACTTCTATTTGCCAACACTCCAACGAATGACGGCCTAATTGACGGAGATTGGATTGACGAGGCAGTAATAAACCGCTTAGCAGATGACCCCGTAGCCGATTATCAACACCATCCACCAAATCTGCACTGCGCAACTGGAAAGCGCTTGAAAATTAAAGCGGTGGCGGAAAGTGCTAACGTGCTGTATTCCATGTTTGATGATCATCATGTAATGTCAGACAAAAACGCCAGGAAACTGGTGCGAGCCTTCCGACAGTTAGGGTTAAACGCCGTGGAAGTGGAGGACGAAGATGTTGAGCGTAATGAGGTGCCATTCATTTCTATGGTTTCCGGTGCAGTGGACAAAGCGAAGGAGCCGGAAATTTGAATACCGGCAGTAGAAAACGTACAAAAGTTTAACAGCACAATAAAATGATGGTTATGCAAAATTACCTTATTGCTAATGGTTTTCTGTGTGGTACTCAGTACAGCCTGTACAGGTGTACTGTATTTACACGATACTAAGGGACAGAGAAATCCCCAGGACCGCCCGCACTAGGCGTCGGCTCCATTGATGTCAAAGAAACCGACGCCTAGTGCGGGCGGTCCTGGGGATTTCTCTGTCCCTTAATATCGTGTAAATACAGTACATGATATACTTATGTGAAGTTGATTGTAAAGTATCGAAAACATATTTCATGTAACTTGAACTTTTGTTGTTGTTCTTGTTATGCAATAAAATAAAATACCTGCTTTTCGTTGCTGCGTAATGTCGTTTTTGCTTTGTCTGTTTGCAGAATTATAACTGATTCATTATTATTGATTATTTTCTTAATATGGAGCGGTGTTCGCCCATTTTCTTTAACATTGCCATTAAATTTTGTAATCTTCGGTGGAAAATTGTCTTAGCCAGGGTATTTTGTGGATTGTTTATGTGGGTTACTGTATTCCATAGCTTAAGTGGTTCAGCTTGTTCGGTTAACAGGAATCCGCCTGGTGTGGACTACAAGACCCGTAAGCTGCCAAAAACTGCAAACAACAAGTATTATTACGTGATTAGTAACTTCACTTGAGAAACATCTACAACTGGGTCATGGGCCCAGCTTCAGGCCGGCCGCGAAGTCTCGTGGAAAACGTCAGAACATGTTCAACCACGCGAAAGTGCGCAAACGTGCAGTGCGAAACTTGATTCGTAGCCAACTGACTCCCTGATACAGTGTATTAGGGATTCAACCGATTCTTCGGAATCCCTGGCTCGTGGCCGAGGTGATGAATCCCCATTCATGGCCAGGGTGAATGTGGCTTCCATCCAGTGCGCTTCCTTGGGTGAGCTGCAGGAGTGAGGTCTGCACTTAAACTTTACACAGACTAATCATAATGAAGCAGACTTTTAAGCAGAGTAAAATGCTTAAAGTTGGAATGCGCCAATGCGGGTTGTTTCCGGAAATAACGCTACAGTGAAAAATTGTCAGTCACAGAATGTTTTCAGTTCCGACTCGCGTGCAAACCAAATTAAATGATAGGCTACCGTTGACAAAGCTAACAATAACTTTGACCCTTACTGAATTTCGGAACACCTTATTCTGGAACTCAGTTTATTCTTGAGCACATTCCATCTGCAATCTGCGGACAGAAAATCGATTTCACTAATGTTATAATTGCCGGCGTGTAATGAAAATGCGCGGTTTTTCTCGTTGTTAAAATGGCCATTAGAATGAGCACAGTATCCATTGCTGCGGGTACAACCAATGCTTTGCAAATCTTTAGTTTTTCGGCGGAATTTTGGACCTATGCCTGCGCAATGTCCACGAGCAGGATGATCAAACAAGCTAAATTCGTAACTGTGGTCTCAGAACAAAAACTTACAGTAAGCTGAGTACTTGAGCCGCGGGGGAAAGAGAAATACTGTATAAGAACTTTTCGTTTTTCAAGAGTTCTTCCAGAGTGAAGATATTATCTGATGCCTTCTCATAATAGAAGCTATAGCCACCACAAATTAAGCAGTGTGTGCGTTTTCGATTTTTTTGTAGACTAATAGCGTGAGCATCATGTGCGTGTTGTTTTTCTTTTTGCGCTAAGCTGATTGATAACCAATACGAATACGCACAAGTCCGCACAGGATCTGCGGTGCTGCTGTCTTTATCCGTCTGCCTTTCCATAAACCCCTTTGGTTTACGTTATAGATAATCATGAGGGTCGTATGGACATAAGTGCAATGAAACAATAATACGTATTACATTGTGTTAACGAACAGTAAGGCATGTAATGAACAACAGAAAGTAAAATGCAGACTTACAACTGTAAGCGGTAAGAAGGGTTAAGTACTGATTTCAAGCACATATGCGCAATTTTGTGCTGAGCTGGTTACTAAAAAAGTTTAAGTATTTGTTTGCAGAGGATCAATTTTCCTGTCATGTTTTTAGTCTGGGAGAAATTCAAAGTGGCACTGAAGAACAGCAACCAGGAAATAATCAGCTTGAGTTCCTTACACAAACTCCCTCTCGAAACACGTCTAAAGAAATTCAGTACCGTCATTCGACCGGCGTTCGGAACCTCGTTCATGCTTTCGTGTTTAATCATTGACTCGGATATTCTTAATCAAAACATGACAAGTGGGTTACCAACGTGGATGCATTACATGAACCTAAACTTTTCGTCCAGTGCAGAAGATCTTATTAATAAATCATGCGCATTTCCACTCTGTTTTTTATGCAGTTGCTCGACAGCGAGTGCGCATTCTGGTAGTCTTGAATTTTCCCAGGATGTTACCCGCTTACTGCAACTTCCAAACCCCCCAATGACACTTTTCACTCTAACAATACGGCGTGCTATCCAGCTGTACGCTGGAGAGTATGACTGCATACAGATGGAAAAAGGAATCCAGACGAGCACCAAGTACCTTGTCAGTCCAGTTTATAAACCAGAACATGTCTTCCAACCTCCAATGCGCAATACAACAGCGTGCACCGATGATAGTGTTGAGTTTCGATGCTACACGCAGTTTAACTGGACCAAAGGCCCTATGAGGGAGTTTATGCAGCGGTTCATTTGGTATCATCACAAACGCGGCATTTTGTATGCTCCTGATGACCACCCTGTGAAAGCAATCGCACTAACCGAAAGCGGCGTTCCTGGCAGCAATGCCACCTTTAGTTTCAACGTAACGCAGACTAGCGACAGCTGCTCTTGCTATTCATCCCTAGTAATTTCCCGGGCAGCAGCTCAGTGGGCGGGGCAAATTGAATGCTGGTTTCAGATTGACTCTTTTTTAGACGAATGGCTAAGGCAATCGGCATATTTAATTTTAAAGCACTAACTCACATGAGTGAATTTCAGTCGCATGCAGTTTCAGTATTGTATTCATTTTGTAAGTTCTGCGTAAATCTGAATGTAACTTCACATGTGCCGCAAAGGGTTTTTTTATGGGATGTATTTACCGTATCCTTTTAATACAATTGCTGCTTATAATGCTTACCGGTACTTGCCTGCGTTTATCTAATGGTTTCACACAGAAGGATTAGGAAAATATATTTTATGTTACTGTTTCTTTAAGCGTCGTGCGGTTTGTTATTGATGCACCTTCTTACCTACCGAAACAGGTGTACTTACTGGGACACTCGCACAAAATCTCTACTTATGCGCATAAGTAGAGATTTTGCATGCATTACGGGCACATGCATTACGGGCACCTCCAGAAGCCGAATAACATCCAAGTGCAGTACGCGTACACTCTTGCAAAATGTGATGTTCTGCCTTCCCCAGGTGCGTTATTTTCTTATTGTTAATTAGAATCTAATACTACTATTTTTTCCGCGAAGTACAGTAAATATATGTACAAAAATATATATGTTTGCACTGCCGACGTTTTCACATGTGCATACTTATGGAAGCCTGGCGTAAACGTTTAATTCAACGTAAAGAGTTGTACTGTGTGCACAATGAATGGCGAAATCGGCAGACGGCAATGTTAAGAACGTAGGACGATGAGAAAAACTTTCTTCTTCCAGTAAAATGTTATAAGGTCAGGATCATGAAATCAGCAAGATGGTTTTTGACTTGGTTTACTCTGTAAGGAAATTCAGACGCTAGCAGAATTACCAGGTGCAACCCCACAACTGCCAGAAAACTTTGGTGGCTAGCTTTTATCTGACTGCCGTGGACAAGGCTGATCCGCAGCGGCATATTGTTATCGGAGCGGTGGAGCAGGCATTGTTGGCGCTGATCCGCGGCATTATCGAGAGTGGTACGGTAGTGCTATTAACCCGGTCGACGCGATTAAATCTCAAGGATGGATACGAGAGGCAGCGCACCATGGGCCCGTATATTATCAGCTTGTTCCGGCGTTATTGTGCCCATCGTGCAACCGGGCAAAAATTACTGTACTTCCCGCTGTCGATTGGACACCGTTGTTGTGACCTTCTGACTGGTGTACTTCACTGGTGTACTGACTGATGACAGCTTCGTATTTAACAACCGAAAGAAATACAACTTTACAATTGTTAGATGGGTCAGACGGTCGGCATGCTAAAGTGCGGCTGCGACGCTGCGGTCAGCTGCAGTGTTATATGGGCTGATCGTTTCGCGAGAGCTGCATTGCGATTCTCCAGCTGACGGTTTGTTTGTCTCCGGTTTCCGTTACTCATTGGTTGCTGCAGGCATTCTCCAGTGGCAGTGAATTGTCAACCTTTGCTTACAATATTCTTTCCAACCGAGCTGCAGTTCGATTAAAAGCATTAGTGCTGATATTGATTTTCTTTGAACCGGCTCTGCCAGCTGATCTCGAAGTATGCAACTCAGTTTATAAGCGGGAGTCATGGCTGTGGACGGCGTTGTATGTCTAATTATGTGGGGCGTCAACCGGATTCCACCATTCTGATTAGAGACCGATTCCGGTTTTACCAGAGTTATATCGGCATAGCGCTACTACTAAGCGATAAGAGATTTGCGCAGATGGTCCACTTCGGCCAGTGGCATTGAGGTAACATACAAATCTACAAGATTTGAACCAAAACCCTTCAGTTTTGGAAGGAACGGCTTGTTTGTTTGTGCAGGAAGGTAACGGGCTTAACGTTTACAACAGTCAGGAATAAGGTGCACGAGGTTGTGGACAAATAATAAAGATCAGTTGTTACAAAAGGGACAGCTGCTTGCAACAATTTTTTGAAATATCCCGATCACATTAAGTTCCAATTATCGTACATGTTATCGACCGGCAAGCCACTACAAGGGCAAAAAGAACAAGCTGCGGCGGTTTGGACGAGATTTTTTTACTTCCATGACAAAGTTTGTCTGGAACCGATACACGTATGGGTGTGATATAACTATGCACTGCAACTGTATAAGACTACCCCATTGACTGCGCGGCGCATCAATACGCTATGACGTTTCAGGAGAACTAATTTTCACGCAGTTTGCTGCGCTACGAAAAGACACAATTTCGAAATTTAATTCTACAATCAGTTGCTATCAATTTTGATAAGTTACTCACAGTAAATCAATAAGCATGCATGACCTTACTAAAGAATAGCGCGTGCTATGGCGTTGTGGTGAACATGGATCATAAACTCATGAGCCGACGGTACAGTCGGATATCGGCATTGTAAAGGTAGTTACTGCCTTATTGGCATGGTTTAACTGTTGCCGCTGCGTCAGTAGATATCATCCGTAGTTGTACCAGGATAGGTCGCGGCAGAAAAATCAGGAACAAACTTCCATGATGGTATTAGAGGGCGGTCGACTCAGCCGATGAGGGGAAGGAATCCGCGGAGGAAATGGAACGGTTAGCAACCACGGAAGGACCCGTTGTGGTGCAATGGTCGTAGACCCTGTCCACTTGACCGTTAAAATCCAATGCTTTTCGTAGCTTATCTTCCAACTCCCGATTCATGACCTTAAGCTTATGCACCTCTGGAAAATTAAATAGAATTTGTTAGTACTATTCAACTGTTAATCATGTTTAAGGTTCGTTCAATCCCGATTGCGTTAAGATGAGCGTCATTAGGCAAATCTGAACTCATGGTCAGTAACTTAGTAGGAATTAGACAATAACAATACTGACCTTCACGAGCCTCTTGCAGCAGAATAAAAACCCACACTGCCTGCATGAAAAAGAGTATCAACAATATAGTCCCTAATGGGGTCACACTGCCAATGCTTTTAAAACAAAACGAGTAAATCCCGTTCAGAATACTTTCACCAAATGTTTCGGTGCCTGTTAAATCGGCACTTCCCAAAGCCTGGCCTGGAAGATGCCCCATTTTAATCAGGTTTTATCACGACGCTATCAGCGGATTAACCAAGAAACGGAAAGCTGTTGTAAACATGTAGCGCTACTGCCGACAATGCATTCAATAACTGTAGCGGTGTGACACTTCTTCCGTCAACGCAGATAGTTGCGCTGGAGGGTGGTAGTGTTTCCGCTTTCGTCGCAAAGCGTTCGAAGCAGACAGAAATTATTCTGAGCAAACAAGGATCAGGAACGAACACTCGGCCACTTTTTTAATGTCAGCTCCTATAGCAGCTACGTACCGGACACAGATTTTTTTGCTTTGGTTAAATTATTTCCGGAGAATTACATGTGTACAGTCTGTATAATTCCGGTTAATTACAAATAAGTATATACAGATTTTTGCCGCGGGTAATGAATTACGAGACACTAGTAATAGCTCGAAATTGCTGTACTTACTTAATTGCTACAATTGCTCAGACTATCTTTGGGTACTGCTGCTGTCCATGTTAACTGGAATGGATTTTTCATTTAGGATATGTTAATGCTGCGGCAGCCGTCTGTGAATGTTAACGTACGGTAAACCGTCACTTAATTACTTATAAGCATGTGCGCTGCTTCTTACAAAGATATCCCCGTTAGGTAATTGCTATTTATTTGTATCTCGTAACAAATGTCAATTAATAATCTGGTCTTTAAATGCAGTAGCCGTTGCGTAAAATAGATAAAGAAAGAGAGAAACATTTTTGTGAACGCCAACATGGCTTTTTGTTGAAACTCACGTCGGCTGTTGAATTGACTAAAGCAGGCACCAGTTAACTTTGTGTAGGCTCATTATTCGTACCTACACGCCTAACTGTATGTAAAATTGCCTTAATTGTAAGTAAGCGATTCCTAACGCGCATTTCGTGTACAATGATTTGCAAATTGGTTCAGCTGCAAGAAAAATAGGAAAGCAATAACTAATGCGGTGTAGGGAACCGGTGTGCTCTCATGGAGCTCATCACAAAATCGCAGACATAGTATAATCCAGTAAATTCACTAATTACAGTATATGGCAGTTATTCCGGCGCTCGCTTTCTGCCTGCTTACCTGTTGAGGTATTTTTAGTTGACTAATGTTTTTAGTTGACTGTTGTATGATACGACTCGAAGATGTTTTACTTCCTGGGATGCCACGATTAGCAGATGGTTTGTTAGGTGTGCGAGAATTAAAAGGATAAGGTTACTTCTGAGTTATGGAAGCAAGCCAGTAAGGTCAAAGTGTAAAAAGCCAAACGGTGGTAGTTTTTGCACATAAAGCATTGAAAATTTTAGCGCGAGAGTATGTACTGCAGCCACAGTCCTATACATACATTATGCTACAGGGATACCTGTAGCAGATACCGTGAAGAACGCATACCTATCCATGTCAGTTTAAATTTTTTTATAGGTCTTACTGTCCATATTTCCCTTATTCCATGAAATTTAATTTAATTTTACAAGCACTTCCAAAACGACACTGCAGAACTGTCGCTGCACTGACACTGCAGAAGTCTGGCAAATAATAGTTTCGTGTTTACAGTTACAGACAATCGAGAGCAAGAAGCCGGTAATTTTCTTCAAAGATAAGACTTTTAAATTTAATTAAATGCCAAAAACGTAATGTTGATCCGCTTTTTATAAAAGATGCTGAATACAACCACATTTTACGGGATGATGATCCTTGGTCACCGGCTGCGAAAGCTGTTTCAGCGAACTTCCATTACCTACCAGGACTGTACCAGGGCTTCCATTTGCCAGCAGTACGAGCGAACTACCGCTCGATTGCCGAAGATTAGATTAGTGAATCCGTAACAAGCCGAGTAGCAGATGGCCCAGTAGCTGATCACCAACACCATCCATGGAATCTGCTGAATCCATCGACTGCGGTGCTGGGAAGGGCTGAAAATCAAATCAGCGCCGGACAGTGCCAAGCAGGTAGAAGTTGATCCGCTTTTTGCACAAAATACAGAATATAGTCACGCCATTTCACCGGATGACGTTCCGTCATCCGCCTAGTGGGAAATCTTAATCAACGCCGAATTTACCTTTGCCAGCACACCAACACATGACGGATACTGGATTGACAAAGCAGTAATAAACCGTTAACCGAAACACGCCGTAGCGGATCCGAGATTAGCAGCACAATCCATTGATTCTACACTACGCTACTCGGGAACTTTATGAAATGAAAGTGGTGGCGGACGGCGCCAGCGTGCTGTCTGATAATCATCATCATGCCGGAAAACAGGGCCAGGAAAATGGCGCGAGTCTTCCTTCCGAAGGCGGGAATAAAATGCTGTGGAGGTGAACGAGGAAGATGCTGCGCGTGGTAAGGGGCCATTCATTTCTAACGTGTCCAGGATAGTGAACGCAGAAGAAGAACGCAGACGCAGTTTGGAAGTCCTGCGTTATGCATGGGGAAATTTGATAAAGTGCAGCAAAATACTGCTCGCCCTAAGAAATAAAAACGCTCTTTTAAAATTTGCTTTTAAGAACGCGAAAATTATTTGAATAATAAGTAACACCGGTTTCTGAAATAATAGTGGACGTCGCGGACAGTTGCAAATGAACTACTGATCGTATTCACCCTTGTGGTATTCACTACTCCTCCCCAGTAGGCATTTCCTCGCTCTTCTCGTGGAAGAGACGGGCAGAATTTTAAAAGACAAGGCCAATGTAAAAGCTAGTCGAGAAACTATGGGCGTAAAGGTACAGGTAAAGCGCAATGTTAGCACAGAAAGCAACGGCCACTACAATACAGTGCGCAACCCACAAATTTGAATTTTTTCCTGTTTATATGCGCCCATAATTTCTCGACAAGCTTGTATACTCTTTAATCATACGAAAGACATGTACTCCTTTATGCAGGCCAATGCCTGCTCTCTAATCATACGAAAGAACCGATTTTGCTGTCTTCACCCAAAAATTCGGTTTTGACGCCATTTACTGTATATGTGTCGCATTGGCTGTCACATGGACGCGCTTTGTTTGCGTACGAGTACAAATTCAGTTTAGTTGTTTAAGTTGTGAGAAAATGGAAATCTTCCTAAATTTTCCTGTGCAACATGCACTTGCGCATCGCGGTACTTGAAGGGCTCACAGAACCGCACATGTATACTAAGTCTTACGTTTCAAACCGTTGGGCTAGGCGCACACATTTCCCGCAGGAACATCATCTGTCTGGTGGCGCTTTTCATGGAACCCAGCTTCTTGATCTTGTCAGCCAAGAAGTCTTTCGATACTGCGATTGTTCGCTCCAAACTAGGATTTAACCAGGGTACGGCTTCGCGAATGGCGCTCTCCTCTTCATTGTGATCAGACGATGAGCTAAACGCACGTAATGCTGGATGCCCGACTTCGACGCAATCCGTTACAGTGGCCAAATCAGCGGGTGGCGGAAGCGCTGCAAATCGCAGTACGTTTCCGCATTCTTGCTTCCGATCACTAGGCGGAGCAAATCTGCAAGCATTCTAACATTTTGGAAGAGCACTTTTCGAACCAGGTTATGAATTCTTCGCCGGTAAACAGCACACTAATGTTATTAAGAAGAAAACATAAGCAACCGACGAGAGTTTTTCCCAAAACGTCCATTAAGTACGTTACTGAACCAAGATTTTCTTGGAAATGTAAAGGTCAACGATGTTAACTATAAACTATCTTGACAAGTTTACATGGTTTTGGGAGAATCTCAAAATCTTCTAAATAGTTGTAGAAGCGAATTATGATAGCACTAGTACGAAAACGGTGCATTTCTGAAGGGAAAGAAGTGCGACAAGCGAAACGAATACGCCCCAATTACCACGAAATCATACCTCGGGAACATGCAGTGCTTTACTGCATCCGACGGCGCCATCCGCTCGTCCGCAATCTGATTCGAGAACCCGTATCCAAACCGGCCATAGCTAAACGCTGACTTGATCAGCAAAATGCCCATGGTACGCTGTCCCTCGTATCCACCCTTCACGGGATCCATTCGCGCCGGCCGAGTCAACAGCACCATCTCACTCTCAATCATGCCCCGAATAAAAGCCAGCAGTTCCTTCTCCACAGATCCGATGACAATGTGACGCTGTGGATCCGCGTCGTCTACGGCAATCAAATGAAAGGTGACAATCTGATTCTCCGCGCCGTCGTGAGCGGCGATATCCTCGATTTGGAAGGTTATTAAATGATCCACAACGATGCGGGCGCTGTCCGCCGGGACATCCAGCATGAGTTTGGTGAAGAAAGATTTATCTAAGAAATCAACGCGCACGTAATAATGCAGAGTGCTGGATGCGGGGAACAGACGGTGGATCGTGGGTGCGTCGAGGCTTTTGGTGTGGATGATGTGCAGAGAAAGTGTCCCAAGCGGGTTTGCCAGATATGGCTGCTCTGCTGCGGAAAGGGAAGCGTAAAAAGGTTCGTTGGGGTTCAACGCATGGGTGGTAATATGTGAAAGTTTGGCGCTAGACATGGTAGCGAGTTAGACAAGCTCGGGGGTAAGAACTGCGTGGATTCAGTTATTTAAAATGATCCTTAGTGACCGGTGAGTGTATAACTGGACCGGATCTATTTGATGGCTTTCGAAGAAAGTTTTGAAACAAAAACTCTGATTATACAAATTTCAGTTCGAAAAAGGTCTCTGTAAATCATTATAATAAGTATTGAACGACAAATCGGATACTGGTTGTACGTCGAAATTGGAAATGGAACACGTGCATAGCAACCAACGTTTTCTGGTAGCCAAGCACATGCATGGGTTTCACCCGCTTATTACGATTCATATATTATAACATCTTATGGTTCATGAAGCGCACGTACTGTATTGTTAAAAAGACATTGTGCTTTATTGAAGTTTTGTAAATTTGTATTTATTTGTAAATTCGAATACTCACGCATGCAAGACCCAGCGCATCGAAATGTGAGTTTTTTCCCATCATCCTCAATTTTACCGTCATTATTAGTATGTGTACACGTATGCAGCGCTTTATAATTATTGAACATCTTCCGATTTTAAGCGTCATTCTTAGTGTTACACTGCTGAAAATTGTGATGAAGTTACTGTTAATTGCTCGTTTTTGAGCTACGCTCTGACGGTATCTGGTGTAATTTTTATTACATTTCATTATGATGTGTACCGCATTCGAATTATCTGGATCAAGTTTTATTTCATTTAACATATCACCTTATTACGAGGATCGTTTTGAATTCTGTGAGTCGGTTGTTTACATCCCCAAGACGCGATCATGGTGGATGTAGTTTAAAATCGTAGTCAGCCAAAACCTTCCGCAATCCTTTGAAGTATTTATGGTGTTAAGGATGGTCTATCTCTATGCTCTGCGCACTCCATGATTGTTTGGTGCAAACGTCATGTCTGCTTCTTGTTTTGCTAGTATATCGTAGAGGTCAGTATAATGTTATCATTATTTTGTACTTACTAATGACTGTTGGCCTGCATACCAGGATCATGGTCTGTTCATAATTATAATACGTCCCCGAGGTGGACAGATTTACCGTAAAGCAGGCGTAAATGATTTTCTGATAGTTGGTCGGGGAGATTGGGACGCTATAACGTATCTGTACATAGTGTGTGTTTAGCTTACGCTCTGTATGTTTTGAGCATCCGATCTTCCCCGACCACAGAGTAGAAAATCATTTACGCTTAAATTTACGGCGGGGGAGGAACGGACCCGACCAGGATCAAACCAAAATCCAAACGTATGCGTGGTCGAGTATATGGCCTGAGGGTTATTAATACACCTTCTGCATCTGGAAATCTACTAAATATTTTCGGTTGAATGAACAGGTGCGAGAGCGCAGAATAAGAAGTGTTACTCCTGCCTTTTCGGTCGTGAACCGGGCTGCGACGATAACGACAAATTGTCATGTGAGTGGCTAAGTATAATTGAGTTGATGGAAACCAGTGTGTCTGCAAGTTTTGTTGGACTTGAAAGCAACAAAACTTGAAAGCCAGAAAATAACAGAGCCAGAAATAACTTCACTGAAGTTATTTCTGGCTGGTGTCACAGCGTTCAGCAATGGGTTACAATTTGGGAAGGAAGAAATACAACGGTTGTTGCTGCTCATCAACACTAGACAACATGGGAGAAATTCCCAAATAGCTTTTGTAGGAAACTGCAGATGCGTTCGAATATAGACAGCTTACATACAGACTACAGTCCTCCGCTTCCTTGATTCGATAAAGCCAATTTAGCCAAGACTTATGATGCCGTTGCGTCGCCGGAAATCTCTGTACAGGTTTATCGACAGTCTTGAATTTTCAGCAACTCCGTCATGTACCAGGTACCTTACAGGATCACGCACGCGCTAACGCCAATCAGAACACAGGTTCTTTTAAAATCCGGACGGGTAATTCCTTTTCAGTTCTCTTGTAGGACGAATTAACTAAAACACCCCAACGATTTCGGCAACTTCACGTGTCCTTCCATCTTGAATCGCAGGAAATCATTGTTCTTTTAATCAATTCATTCCTTCTCAAATTGTTAGTGCAATGCGGAACAGTGGAATATGTGAAATAGTCTAGGGTAGTTTTTTTTTATCCGGTGAATCCACAAGTTCTTTTACCGTGACCGTATGTATTGTAACTTTTACAGCCTCTCCCAGTATTCAAAAAGTGGACTGCCCACCGAGCAGCTTTTGCACCGTCCGTTCCGATCCGGACGTGGCAGGCAAGCAAGCCAGTGACCAGCCAGTCTCAACTAAAACTATCTCGCTGAGGTCTGACTGTAACAAAACCTTATACTGCGTGACAGGTGGAAAGTGGGGACGAGAATGCGTTTCTGGGGGCGCTAACATTATCTCGCCGTTGCTGGATCTCTTCGATCGCAAATGGCCAACCGGTGCCAGTTCCGTATGCGGAATCTCACCGTATAATCATGGCAAGATATGTTTCTGCCGGACTGATTTGTGTAACAGCTTCCTTGGAACTGATCCCGATGTATCAACATTGTTCAGCGGTAAAGGTTATGGGGTAAGCAGCGAATACAAGCCCGCGTACGATAGCAACTTAAAAACAGGTAAAGTTTAGCACTTGACGACCAATAATTATTGGAATTTCAAAGTCTGCATGAAGAAACGCTAAGCCACACTGATTGTCAAACATTACGGTTTCTCTATACAGAAGGAGGTATCTGTGAAATATAGATATACTGTATAAGGATCTCTATAGTACAGCCCCATTAATGCTGATAGCACCATCTGTTTTTGCAGTTTATTAATAATGCCGGTAAGCCGGTTTATTACGACCCCAATAACAAGCCGACGGATGCTCCGAATTGGGGCCCGATAATTCCCGGCGCTAGCGGAGGCGGTGGGAGTGGCAGCGGCAGTGGTGGAGGTTCCAGCGGCAGTAGTGGAAGCGGTGCAGCTGGAAGTGGCGCAGGTACGTCGGGTGGCGGTGCTGCCGGTGGTGGCAGTGGGAGTGGTGGAGCCGGTAGCGCTGTTGGTGAAAGTGGGACGGGCGGTGGTGGTGGGGATGGCACCGGCGGTGGCGCGGATGGCAGCTCAGGTATCTGAATACTGCTGTCACGTCGATGTGTTTTGCATGAGAAAACTTTTCTCCATGACTGCTCCCTACTCAACCCATACTAAGCTTCATACTTAATTAGCTCCCCAGCGCGGCTGCATGTACATGCTGCTTCAATGGCAGTAATGGCGAGAGCGTGTCTACTGCAAAGCACACGTAGGCCATATAAAGGTCGTGTACGGTTGTTGCCGCGGAAAACATAGCTTGGTTTTACCAGTCGAGTCTCGTTCGCGCTCGATAGATGCATTTTCCACTTCGATGTATAATGCGGCAAACTGCCATCGTCACGGGATACTGTAGGCGTCTACCGAAGACGCTTACATAAAATCCATCTTTAGCTTAGTTTAGGTACAGCTTTTAATGCATCTGGCTATTTCGAATTCTGGATGCACGAGAGCTTGCTAAATGGGAGACGAGGTACAGTAGTTCCAGTTGGGCAGCCATTTCTGTGTGTACACACAATCAGACACACGCAATGTAATTTGACACAGTGACTTGTTAATTGTTAAACTGCTTAAATTTTTGCCTGTGTCTTTATTATTTTATTAGTGCAAATCTATAACTTCGCTTATAACATTACTTTATTGATCATACTGCAATTGTAGATGGAACTGGCAGTGGCGGGCAGGGGGCCGGCTCTAAGGGCACCGGAGGTAGTGGTAGCGCGGGCGGAAGCGGTAAAGCACCTGGTTTGTTTTATCGAATTGTCTATCAAAGTTGCTTCAACTGCTAAATGTTTTTAGGATCTGGCGATGGCACGGGCGACGGAACGGCTGGCGATGGTACGTCGTTCTGTATTGACAGTAAAAAAATTTGAGTGTTGCTTATATTCTGTAGACATTGACGGTTCATATGAACTGCAGGTGGAGGCTCTTCCAACACAATGATGATCGTGGGAATCGCAGCTGGGTTGCTTGTGGTGAGTTTATTACAGTTACATAATACGGTATATACAACTGGACAACAGGATACAGCGCTATTATAGCGCGAAAAAATTTCAGTATGTACTGCTCTTATGTTCTCGCAACAGCACAAAATCGTTACGCACTGCCATCAAGAATGTATTAAAGCAATCTACTGGGCTGCAGATTGGAGGAGCGGTGGGCGGTTATATGTATTACCGCAATCAGCAGAAAAAAAAGAAGGAGGAAGAGGAAGATGAAGAAGAGGAGGAGGAAGACTAATACAGCCATTTTCGTTGAGTATAAATAAAACTTTAGAAATTGTGCGACCGGGTACTCTAACTTCTATTCTGTTTTGTGGAATTGTGGGGATGACGGTTTGTTATTACTTTTAAACCAATGTTTTAATTTTTTTCTCCTGCTGTTAATCGACAGCAACCATAGCCATATTAATTAAGGACAGCCAGAAGCAGTTTCGGTGCATTCGAACGGAATTATTTTATGACACTTCCGATCACTTGGCGTTGTTCAGAGTGCTTTGATTAAATTGGTGTCATTCGTGGTCTAGGGACGTGCATTTAGCATACCCAAAACATGTACCTGCATTTCCTCTCACTACAGCAAGCCTTTAGCGATGTATTAACAACGTCATAGATCAAGGTTTCTCTGTAATTTCACGGATCTTTCGGTTGGCAAAATCAATCAGCTCAGCAAAAGCCACTCCAAACGAACTTAGCGCCTCGACCGTCAGAAGGTAGATGCGAGCATCTTCCTGTACTTTTTGAAAATGAGAGACAACAATCTGGACCGTGATGGCCGTTTTGCTCAACAAGGCTTTCACAGATCGAGGTGGCTGCGGTACTACCTTGGCTTCGCTGTTCTTTGTCGAACATCTCTGCCTAGACACCCGTCTGCCTCTGCCAGGGGTGGCGGATTTTATTATGTTGAATGAAGTAAAACCGCTAGATTTACAACAGTAATTAAAACCTATCTAAATACATGTCGGGCACTTCCCTGATTGCCCCAGCGTCAAAATAATAATCCATGTCACATAAAGAACTGGTAGCCAAGGGCGGACATTATTCGATACCAGTGTTATTTCCGTTGCGTTCCTAGTGTTGCAGAAATCAGTATCGCAAACGCAATACTGATGTCCATTGCCCGCTTGATGGCATCCTACTGTGTACTCTGGATGGCCTAGCCCTTCATAATGGATATCCTCCGGTCTGGCTTTTCCTTGACAGCCTTTCCCATATAGCACACTTTCATCGCGCTTCTTTTTCGCAGGGAAGTTGGGATCATGGGCGTACTCCATGCAGTTCCCAGGGCATGTTTGCTTGTACCAGTATGAAATATTCGTTGGCTCGTTGAAACCACCACAGGGGTGCTGTTTTGTTGGCTGGCCATAATAATAATCTCGTTTTTCACAAAAATAGCAAGACAATGCACAAACCAGCTCAAAATGTTTTATTACAGCGTATGCAAATTGCAAATAGTAGAAAAAATTTTTGCATTTCGAAGATTGTGTTCTTATACACGTACGTTTAATTTAAGTACTCTCTGCTGACTATGCCAAGACAAAATTGATGTAACAGCCATTAACAGATAATCAGGTGACGTTTAGTCCACATACAGTAATATTAAGGAATGGTCAAATTCCGCGGTTGTTGAAGAAAAAATTCCAATTCAAAATTCAAAGCATGGTAGGACGAGGCACTTTTGAAGGTTTTAAATATGGTATCTCCGTTTTGTTTAATGTGAAACTGTCATGCTTGGTGTGCCTCTTATAATAATTTTATTCTATTTTATTCATTATAATTAAGTGCAGTACAGTATTATCATGGCAAACTGAACTGGTATTATTACTCTATCCATGCTGAGCCGTTTATACGGACTCGTACGGTACAAGTACACACTTTATCGCAGCGTATGTACAGATACGTAGGTGTGTAAGGGTAACTATGGAACTATGGAACGCCTCAAAAACACTGAAGTATTTTGATAAGTACGAGCATGGTCATGTCCTCGTGTGTTTACACTGGTACGAGTATGTAAATGCAGCATGCTTAAAAAAGTATCGCGAAGTTTGCTTCTAAGTTTTAGACACCTGCTGTTTGGAAAGAACAGAGAAACACGATCGTAAACTCTGGTGAATCTATGAGTATGATGATCAGGAACTGGAGGCTACATGCACAGCGCAGTGTCCTTACGTGCAAACATTTGGCCGCTGATATACTTGTGGATAGCACCGCTCATTCAAGGTTTTCTTTGTGGTCATACTGAATCTGGAATAACAATTAAACAATGACTGTACAACAGCTCGTCTTATTTGCATTCTCAGGTGTTGCGGCTTTGGAATGTTATCACTGCGTGATGGGCACACGCTGCGATCCGTCAGCATCGGATAACAGTAAATACCACGTATCTTGTTAATCATGCCAAGCTCCGAGATAAACAAACTTTCTTATTCTTATCCAGGGACCTGGACCTGTACTGAAGAATTTCCCTACTGTGCAATGCTGCAAGAAACTCCACGTATGAGATTTTAAAATGCCCCGAAATCATAATAATAATATGCGCATTAATGCTAGCCTGCTGTTTCTCATGTCGTTTGTAAAAAGAAAGCAATGTTCCAGTGGGTAGCGGAAACGTTATTTTTACTGGATTTGTTGCTCGTCTTGCAGAATCACCGTGGTTAAGGATAGGGCGACCTCCAAAACTGGAATGGAGGCTGTTCAGTTTCGTACTGAGCAGGTTCGGTGGGAAATTCCCAACCAATGCAACAGCGGCGTGCGTCAGCGACCGTGATGGTGGCAAGAAAGCCTGCATTTGTCCGGTGAACAAGTGCAATGACTTCATGCCGGACAGCTTTACGTCCGTATGGCAGAAAGGTCAGGGGGTAGGTGGGCAAACGTACCTGCCGCGGTGCACATGCAGACTATACGCACTTTCGACGATGACCTGATACTCACCATAGCGTGCTTGTTGGTCTTCTGCTTGGGCAAAAAGATATTATGGATTGTTTTTTTTCTATTTAGACACTCTTGTATGAGAATGCGAGGTTGCTGAGTAAAACCGAACGCAAGATATGTGGGTGATGAAAACCGAGTGACGAAGACAAGAACTCGCAACGTTACAGAGCGGTTGCGACAAGCAAAACTATTTTTGCAGATGTCGAACAAATCAGTCTGTCTTCCTAATCATTAGGATGACAGTCTGATATGTGTGACATGAACACCTTAATGTCTGCATGTATAATATCACTCAAAGCCTACGTACACCTGAAGTGAATTCTTGAAAAATTAGTTCATAGCCAAACACCTGGGTTTGAAGTTTATTGCTAATGAAGAATTCAACCCATTTATGATATACTGGGGAAACGAATATAAGCAGGTCAGGAAACTGTGCTATCTCGCACAGTTTTAGACAGGGTTTTAGGTTTGCTGAAATATTTTCTTTTTCATTGGTGGGGGTAATGCGCTCTGTTTCCCTTAGCACGGTGATATCTTCGCTCTAATGGGAATAAAGAATCACCTGTACAACAAGCAGGGTGTAAGTTCTGTATACGATTCTTTGGTGCAGGTGATCGACAATGCCGGCAGAGTGCAGCCCACCAACGCCAGCGGACTCCAGCGCAGCGGCAGAGACGCAGATCTTCCGCCCGACGCCGAGGGTACAGGAAATTATGATTACGACGGGGAAAGCGACTTCTTCGGATTGCTGCCGGATAATTCCCAGGGAGGCAGCGGATCCGGTGGTATGTACAATAACAACAATATGCAAAAACGTCAAGGAACTAAGTTTTTATTGTTTGTTCTCTAGTTAACAGTGCCGTGCGCAAACTTGCCGTTCCCGAAGCCACCACGACAACAGCAGGAGTTGTAGGACCTGATGCAGGTAAATTAATTGTTACTGGAAGTCTAACCAAGATATGTCGCTATGCATGCATTTAAATATAGTTTAATCAAAATGGTCTAATTTGCAGAAGGGAACCCAAACGCAGGTAGTTTTGTCGTTGTATCGTGACCTTTTTGCTAATCTCAACAACACATGTGTTTGGGTGAACAACCGCAGTGTTCTATAGCAGCAACATTGTATGTATTATAGATGCGGAAGATTCGTCAAACATATGGATGATTATCGGAATCTCGGTGGGAGTGGTCGTGGTACGTGTCATCTCCATCGACTTAGCCGCAACTGCAAGCCTGTGTTGCTGTGCACTGAAGTGCCCGAAAATTCTTTGTTAGAAAGCATCGCGAAGTTCTGATTGTGAGGTCGTGTTTGTCTGCAGGTGGTGGCCATCGCTGCGGGTGTGGGCAGTTATGTGTATTGTACCCGAAGACGCCAACGAGCAGCAGCTCAAGGTGGGGACGCTGCATCACAGCGCTCTCAATCACGCCGTTGATTCCGTGACTAGTACCGCCCGGGCAGCTTTACCTCATCTTTATCAAATTATACTTACTTTAATTTTGTTACTCTGGCTCTAGGTGAAGTTTGTTCTTGCGTTCTATTTTTTTATGTAATTGGATTGTTTGCGATATAGACAGTTAGTGCCCGCTTGCCCGGTACTAGCGGCTCAAATTATCTGTTTTTTGTTGTTTCGATTTCAGGTTTTGTTGGAATCATGTTTTTCTTGATTGTGCGCTTTTAAAAACAGCGAAAATTTATTTTACACTGGAAAGCAGCTATGTCGACATTCACCCAAAGCACACGCTGAGCGTTCATGTCCCAAGAAATTCATAATCTTCTTATTGTCAGAGGCTGTAAACGCCCTGTTCATAATGTCAGAGGCTGTTCACAATCTGTACACACGTCAGCTTTACTAAAATTTTTATTTCAGTAAGTAATCTTGTATGCTATGTAACGATGCCAATAGCCAATTTGTATGGCGCTTGGTGTCGCAGTTTTTTATCTTTCGTTTTATTTATGCACAGTATATCATGATATAGCTCTTAATCTAATCAACACACACAGAATTCGGCTTTCGTGTTTTTGTATACAGTATTAGATTATTGTACATTTATTAGCATTTATTGTACGTGCGATATTCTTGTTCAGCATATCAGTATCAGCCGATGCAGCTCCGCGGGTATGTACAAGCATAAAGACAGCTTTTCCGTTCTGCATTCAAATAAATTACTCATAAATCACTATTCACAAAAGGAAAGCATCCCGTATTGTATGTACAACAGCGCGCAGATCCATCACAGTTACAAGTCGATCGAAAGTGAGCAGAATATAACCGGTAAAAACCGAGCAGCAGGAAGTCAGGCAGGATTTGCCGGGGTTGTGGGTTCAGCCAGCATTAAATCCGCCTGAAAAAAAATTGCGACTAGAGTATACCGGCGATTCACGGAAGAGGCGATAAAACAAGCCGGCCAAAATCAATGAACACGTAAAAACTATTGACTTGTTCCAATACAACAGCCGCATGACATCAACTACTTCAGCAAATCAAATCTTCGACCAACGTAATTAACACAGTTAAATCGCAGTAGCCATGAGTGATTTTTTGTGAAAAATCAGATAAATCAATATACTCGTACCTGCTGCATAGCGAGCAGCCAGTTGCGGGATTCATCGAGATCTGGGAGGAGGGAGGCTTGCAGACACAGCTGCATGAGACGCTCATCCTGACGATACGTGATGAGCATTCCGGGAACGAGTACCGTCCCGGCATCTATGGAATCGGAATGTTAATCAGTTAGGAGAAGTGCTTTTTATTGAAATTTTCTTGCATACAGTATTCCAGGCGGAAATGAAGGAAGCGGGTTTCCACAATGTCACTGGTACGCAACGGTTCCAAGTGGGTAACGTCACGAGTATAAGCTGCCGGCAATGAGCCATAGGCGTCAAAGGAGATCCAGCTATTACAGGAGAAACGTAATATTAAGCTTCGTAATTTGGGATGAAACGCTTATAAAAAAATAGGCTGCAGTTTTCAGTAAATTCACCGCTTTAAAAAAAAGAAAAGTGTGGTTCAACATATAGTAGAATTATTAATTTTTATTTTAAGAGGTTTTACTATCTAGAGCTTACCGATGGTTGCAAGACATTCTCACGCGAAATGTCGTTTTACTTAATGACGGATCATGGTTCGATCCACAATGCTGTACATAAAAATGACCACCTGAAAAAAAAACATCATTACAATTTTGTGCAGTTGCATCCTGACATAAAAAAAATTCAGGATTCTTCATTATTGACATCAATGATTTTACACACACGGTAAACACAAACAAAAAGGGATAACGCAGCGGAAATTTTAATCCTAGAATTTTAAAAAGCGAGATATGACAAGTTTAGCACGCGAAATTATGATTCATTTGTTGTCCGGGATGCCTCATCTGTTTTGCTTGCATATTTTCCTGTTTATCTTTCTGCCTATAATTTCCACTAAATCCGTGTGGCTGCGATTTTCGCAACGCACATGTCCCTCGCGATATTTATTTACTTTTACACAAGATACGCTGATAATGTAAACAATCACAAACAGTCACAATTTTTATTGCCGTGCATTGATAAACGAATCCGTTTATGCATTATATGGCATTATTCCCATGAATGCATCATTTACATGCCAAGACGACATGGCAGGGCCAACAACGGTGGAAGCAGAATGCTAATCACCATGACATTGTTGCCCGTGTCGGCCATAAACCGAAAAACCGTGATAACGCGCAGCAGCGTGCCGGCACCTCTGTTGACAATGGACAAGAGAGAGAGCGCGCGCTAATCGCCTGGCGCCGTATGTATACAGGCTGTGTGTGTGCTGGCGCCTCAAGGTCGTTCGCATTTGCCGTCTCCAGCACGCGCTCTCACAGTTCACAATCGATGTATAAGAATTACCATGGAATGGACAACAATTATCAAAAATGTTGCAACAGAGTGTGTTTTCAGTGTTCACATGACACACCCCATTGGAGCAGGTGCTGGTAGGTACATAGTTTACACAAGTATGCATCTTTTACGATGGTAAGTGTATTGTAGCATCGTGTGATCAGCATATTTTACGGCCAACTGCTAAAGAATTCATAAATCTGTTCGGTAAACAGAGGAGCGACCAGAAACATTTGTTGTTTGCCATGCAGATGCGTGCCAGAAAATCGATTTCAAAAAATTGTATCGATAAATATTTTATAAAGTACGACGGACAGCAATGTTTGTTGCCTAATTTTAATGCTGTAATAATAAAGCACATTTAATTTTTGAATTTTTACAATGAAGTTTTTTTTTTGCGAATTTTGGATGGAAGTTTAATAATCAAGCGCAAAATTAGTTTTGTTGGTTGTTTCCGAGCTTAGTTTAAATATTACGCCCATTTTATTTCGACGAGTTTTCATGAAAGATTTTCAAAATTTTTAGAGAGAAACGCCACATTCTGGGAAATCAGTAAACTGGTAATGCTCTAAGTATCCAACTTTTTTTTGACGGAAATTAAAACTGATTATGGTCAGACTGCCTTGCAGACTAAGGTTTTACAATTAATGGTATTTTTTCCGGCCAATTTTTAACACCACGGGCGCCGCGAGCAGCCCACCAGTCACGTGCCGACATTTTACAAATCAACAGCAAATTAAAGGAAATTCTGCCGGCGTCACCATGCAATTAAGCAATTACCGCGGATCACAACAAAATCCGGTAAATTAAACGGTTGAAAAGAGACCAGTAGGTCTGCGACATGACCGGTACGGTCGCTCACCCCGAAAATGGAATTGTCAAGAGAATCCTCAGCGATAAAGTAAACGAACCGGTTGGCGCGAGCGCGCGCCGACGTTTAGCGCGTAACGAGTCTGCCGGGGCATTTATACATTTATGCATTTACCATTTTATTAACCACTGACGAATGTGGTTCTACACTAGACATAACAAGGCCTAATAATCAATCTAGCCGCTTGAGCCGTCGCATCGTAGTACGGCATCGCCGGCACATGCCGGCATGTGATGCGCCCGGATGTCAACAACAATCGAGCGTCGGGAGTATTCAAAAAGCGCTTTCATCCGCCTGCTTGATTGTCGGTAAAGGCAGAGCAGTTACGACGTAATCATTATTAGCAGATGCATCCGACGACTCTTGTCGGTGAAATGACCGGAAATGCACCGGCTACAGTCTGATCATAATATTTAATGGCATCCTTGTGCCGTTGTTACAAAAACACGTAATCGATAAATTGAACTGATTGCTGGTGGTTGCACATGATACAGTGCGTCATTGTGAAATGAAAATAAATAAGCAGATTTCAATAACAAACAAGCGATGTTACGAAACAACATTAAATCGATGCCTCATTTTCAATATATTTTATGGTGATAAACTGATCATCGGGCCTTCAAGTCAACATTAAAAATAAATTTCATTGAAATTTTATCACAAAGAGAAGCGAATTTATTTTTAAATCTAAGCGAAAGTTTTCGCTGTTTTATATAAATGCGCCTAACGATTTCACGCGACTAGGAATATTACGAAAAGATGCGAGCCGTATACACCTGATTACTGTAAAAAAAATCAAGCTCCTTAATTGTGTCAGACATGTTGTGTCAGACATGGTGTTTTTATTAATTGTGTCAGATATGGTGTTTTTACATGGTGTTGCAAAAAATCCTGCAATTAGGCGAAGTGCGGCTATAACTCCGCTAGCACCAACAGTTTTTTCGGTAAACGTGCAAATAAATTGATTACACCGCCGTTTCGTGGTGAAATCAGCGTAATAATGAAAGTGGTACAGCGAAGAAGACTGACCTTGTTCGAGTGGCAGCAGGTGCGTGTCGAAGAACACGTTCTCCTTTCGGCTGATGTCAGCACAGCGTTGACACTGACGGACATTGTCCACAAAACCCATACGTCGCAGTCCGGCCTTCACACCGCAACATGTACCGCCTAATATTACATAAATCCCAAAATAAACAAGGTGTATGATATAATTCTCCAGAAAAAAATGTCACTTACAGAAAATCTCTCCACATCGCCGGCAGTGATGCTGCAATTAAATGCCTCAATTATTAATCTAAATTGTAAAACGCTTCAAGCAAATAAGATGTATGGGAAACATAAAACTGTCTACGCCAATTATTAACCATACCTTGCGCCGAAGGAAATCAAAACGTCGCCCACATCCGCGGCAATGCGCTACCTGTTAATTATATCAATAAAGTTTCAGCCATAGGAAATGATCTGGTTCCGATTAAAATCCGCTAATCATGCTGTTTTCTCCACCTCTAATTCGTAAATTTTTTTCGCTTAATTCATATTTTATTTATATTATTTTTTCAGTAGCTCAGGTTTTCGAAAAATCTTCTTAAAAGTGCACTTGCTTCTCTGCAACAAAGTTCTCCTTACTTTATCCTTTTTTTTCGAAATTAACGCCTGCATTTTAATTTTAAGTGCGCATTAGATTTGCATTGCATATCTTTATTAAACGTTCAGTTTAGGAGAAGCACCATCGAAGCAAGCAATTCTTTACCGCTTCATCGGGTATCCAGCGAGGTTCAGGCAGATACAACGGCGATTGCGACAGATCCAATCCCGTCCATCGCACACCACTTTTCCCGTGCACTACATTCTTCTTCCGCCGTACCAACACCACCGCATCATTCTCCGCATCTAAAATATCAGCCGGGACACACACTGGCTCAACCGCAGGACGTTCATGGCGCATAATGCCGGCAAAATTAATCAGGAAGAACATGAGACGGACGCGGATGTGTCCCCGTAACAACGATAGCTTAAATCCAATTCACAAAACGACACAAACGGGCCACGTCAAAGAAAAGTGTAGCTACAATCAATCACACACACTAGACAGTCAGCGAGTAGACTGTCGTAGAATCGGTTGTAGACACTCACAAACGCTTATACGGTTTGTTTACTACTGCCAGTGTGCCACTAATACGGCTACGTTTCGGTTGTAGCGCGGTTAAGTGGCAGACACGCGTACACAGGACTGACACGTCAAGGCTATCAGACGGGGCGGAGTCTGTGTGTGCTCTGTGAGTGCATTTGCAAGGGCGTCGCTGCAGACTGATTGGACGATACTGCAGGCTGTACTTCCGCGCAGTTTGCAATCAATGCAATGCGTTCGATTTTTATGCACTTACTATAGTCTGCGCTCTGCACTTCGTACTAAATAATTTATTACTTATTTTAATATCTGCGTCTTGCTGAGCGGCTAGCCGGGATGCGGTTTTTAATTGGAGATTGAGATTGTCTGTAGTAGCTACCGGAAAGCTATTCGTAGGATATCGGTACCATACGCATTTGTGCATTTCATTCATAACGTTATAGACCGGCAATTGCCGGTCTATAACGTTAAACGTTATATAACGTTATAGTCTATAACTATAACGTTAAACATTGTAGTATTAGCGCACTGCGAAGGCTTTGCAAAGCCTTCGCAGTGCGCTAATACTACAACGCAAAAGCAATAAAGTGGACGCTCTTCCCGTTTTTTTACTTGCAGCCGTTTTTATGCAGTAACGAGTTCAGAACAATTCTTGATAAATAATAGAACACTATAAAACACATCCGATTCACACGCAATCTTAAGCAAGCATTCAATTAGAAAAAGGATACTTCTACTCGTACTTCTTTTATAAGCAATATCTTGCCCGGGAATCGTGCTCATTATGCATCAGCTCTTGCGGTCGTTTCAGCTAGTCAGTTTTTTCTGCACCGACATGCCGAACAGTGAATATGTCAATATGCTCCCAATCAGCTTACTGCTGTTGGTGAGCCTATATGCATTCTTATTTCGTGGTGCTCGCACATCTAGGATTTCGTGTTTACTTATTTTTTATTCCACTTATTGGGCAACGCAAACTGATTAATATCTTACGACTGAAAATCAGCCATGTAATATTTCCTAATCGCAGTCAGCTCTTTTTCGAGAACCACCACCAATACAGAAAGCAAGACCGAGAAATAAAAGTCCGCTACATACTGTAGCATAAGAGCACTAATAGGCTAACACTTTAACTAAGCTGGTGGCCTGGTTTGTCATCTTTATAATTTCCAGCGTCATCTTTATAAGTTCATGTTCATCACAGCCGACACACATGACCAGTGCGGCTTTTGATCAATCTGCATGGAGAACGGTTCGCGTCACTGACGGTTTCTTCTTCTCTGATTCCGCCACTTTCCCCTATTTATTCCACTGGTCTCTAATTTCAAGAAGATCATCTCTGCTGCACACCGCCGATCGATCGCATAACATGCACGCTGCAAAATGCCAAACACCTCGTACTTCAGACCGTACCAATCACGAAGAAGGCAGGAAGCCGTTAATTAGTAAAGGAGATAAATTCAGCAGAGCGTAAAAGGATGCAAAGGAATGAAAACCGACTAACTAGTAACTACTTACAAGGAGGGACCCCGTACAGATAAACATCCCGGCGGGTAAACATCACCGTCCTGTCCGACAGTCCACCGGCAAAGCTGTAGGCGGTTCTCGCGCCTAAAGTGTAGGTTGAAGTCAGCCGCTTGGAATATCGGTTGTACTTCGGCAGTATGCGGTGTCGGCACTGTACGGGACTTATACGGGTTGTACTTCGGCAGTGTGCGGGACCTTGTGACGATGAGAATTTAATGTGATTTAGTATTTTCATCCTGCATACTAAATGTCGGTCACTTGCTTCAGTCATCGGCAACACTGTTACTGAAGGAGTCGTCGATACTCAATACCATTCATTTCGATCCACAGGCATACACGATTTATTAAGCTTAAATTGCATACACGGCTTGGCATCCAAACTCTGCAAGCGCATCAAGTTAATGTTAAAATAGCTTAACAGTTAACACACCCACAGCCAAAACAGAAACATACCCCTTATCAGTTTAAATGCTGTAGAAATCTTCAAAACGTTTTATAGTAATAATCAATGTCTGACCCTACCGGGCATGGAGGCTGTATGGTTGCGCTGGATCAGCGATAGTTCCAACCGATCCAGTGGCCGTATCTTGCAGTCAAACCACTTGGCACAATGCGTAACGGTGCTGAAGAACAAAACGCTTGACCTTTTTAAATGGCGTTGTAATTCACGTGAGAAAGTCGTTGCAGTCAACATCCTCCGGGCGTGCCCGCTCTTTTCTGGTGCCACTGGGACATAGTAACACTGCTTTGTCATCAATCAGAATGCTGCTTGCGCTAAGGTGCTTAGACTTTCTTTAAGCGCCCCGCTACGGAATACGGAATACTCCGCCTTTCTCCGCGCATTGTTTTTTCCACATGCTCCGCACAGGATCTTATCAAACGACTGTCTATGCCACTGTACTCCAGCAAATTTCGCACTGGAAAGGCGCGCAAGGCCCCAATCAAGATGTGGCATGCACCATCGCAGAGTGCATCTCAGTTACGGCGTGGAAAATAGTATGCATAAAGACGCCGCCATAAAGTATAAATATCCGTTGATCTCTGAAAAGCTCGCGCATTCATGAGCACTAAATAATGATGCCAGTTTTATCTGATGCACAGTATTATCGCCTGAACACAAACCAAATTATGCCTTGAGGTAATCAGAGAATGGTTATTTAATCATGATATATGCCACAGATTGAGAGCATCTAGAGTAACTCAGCTACGAAAGCACATGTTTGAGCACCGTTTCGAATGATGAAGACGACACCACAGTTCTCCGTCGAACGAGCGCGAATGTCGCACCATGCATGCAGTGATGCACCTGCACATTTTCACCACCTGGAATCGTTAATCGTGCGCAGTGTAACTCAAAATGGTTTATTTAAAAATGTAAACAACTAAAATGGAGGAAATGATCAAGTTTGCTGACCGGGGACTTATGTAAAACCTCCATTCAGTCTTTGGGCTCGAATCGACACCACATCCATAGACCAAAATATTCAGTACTTATTAATTTTTAAATTTTGTTTATTTATTATAGTGTCAGTGTATAAGCGCTTGTAGGCTCTCCAAGCAACAATATTGGTTCAGTTTCCTGTTGTTAGTATGCGGGTTGTTTCATGTTGTTCGAGTTGTTCCTCGTACTTATATGGAATCTCAAAATCTTTTTCCTTGAAATCTCTGTGATTAGTTCCTTCATCGAATATGGCAAAAGGAGGCAAAGATGTGGAAATTGTCATTGAGCTGGAAAATGTGCAGAGTTTCACACAATTCTTGACATCCAAACCAGGCTTAATAGGTTAGCAGACACTGACACTGGTTATCCGTTAGCGTAAAGCGCATCGCCTGGATCTTTATAACTTTCTGTGTAATTCAGTGTGTGAATGCTACCAAGACTGGGCTGGTCCGTGTGTCGTTATGAAACGATTCCTGAAGAAGGCTAAGTTCGAGTTCTTCGAAGGAGAGGATTTAGACCTGGTTCACTACTGTTCCGTAAGAACATGCACTAACTTTAGCTAGAAGCCACAGAAACTATTGAAATTCATGTACATGTTCACAGTTTGCAGATCAAAGTGGAGGCGGTCCCCGCCTTCAAGAACCTCCGTGGGCACTGCATTCCAACATATCTGTTTTTTGGCGTACGTTTCTTTTCAGCGCATGTACGCGACAGCCCGTTGAAATTGTGCATGACCTTTAGGGGAAGAAGTTTATTCACTTATTTCGTGGCTATCAACCATCGCTGTTGATGCCCCTGATTAAGGAAATGCTGATGCGGGAAAAGCTGTGCATGGCGGGAGAGGCTAAACGCAACCTCGTATCGGACGTCGTTCCTTATTTGATTCCGGAAGAGGATCCACCGCTAGCCGAATTGGAAATATTGGAAACCCCGGTTGCTCCGAGTAAGTCGGAAAATATAACTTAAACAGAATTGACCTGCAGTGCACATATTAATTTAATATTGTAGTGAAGACGTTGTACAGTATATTATTGCATCCTACTTGATAATTCTATTGATAATATACTTTTGTAGCTGCGGAAGATGAGACGCCTGCGTTGTTAGAAGAGCCAGCAGCTGCAGAGCTCGAAGGTAAGAATACCGTGTAAAAATAGGCGGTGCTCAGTACAAGTATTGATAAACCTGTTTTAGAGAAAACATCCGAGAAGGAAGCTAAGCGGTCAACTGTGTCGGATGAAATGCTGCTAACGTTGGCCAGTCATCAGAAGCGAAGCCATTATCCGGAGAGCCAGCCAGATGAGGTCACGACTGAAAGCGGCGCCGAAGCTCCTACAGGTCTGTATGGCCTGTTGATGCATGTAAATGCTCGTGGAATAGATCGGTTCTTCCTTGTAGCACCCTCAACTGCTCCTGAGGCGGAAATTACAGAACTACAGAACCCGGAAAAGAGGACTGCGCAGTTAGCCGTTGGAGGTGTGGGAATACCGCTTAAAAAACTCTCTTATAAAAGCTGTAAAAAGTTAAGGCAGGCACTCCGCTCTTTTCATGCGTACAGCAATATGGTGTAGCACGTTGTTGTTGGTTTGCTAATAAGGATTAATATGTTGATTTGTTTTCGATCAGAAACCCCGACTGTCGAGACTGACACCCCGACGGTGGTCCCAGCAGATCTTCAAACCGTGCATACCGGTGAGCCTCTCACACAAGTTCCAGGAATTAACCAACCGGAGCCGAACGCGGAAAGCAGCCCGGGCAATGCTACGGCATCCTTACCAGAACCGTCAGAATCTACACCGGCTCCCGTCGCGACAGCGGGTAAGACCGATCTCGTACGATACGCTACAGTCATGACTGATGAATGAATATCAATTATTACTATCAGAAAACGCGGTAGAAGAAAGTCCACCTCCGGCTGTACCCCTGGAGCAAACGGCGACGGCTGAGCCCACAGCAGGTGCGGCTGACGGAGCACAAGGTAAATTTCTACATTCTTAACAACTGCTTACTTGCAAGTTTGCAACAACTTTTAAACAACTGCTCAGTGCTGACCCACGCTGTGTGAGCTGCGAGTAGCCCATAGTGAGCATAGGTGAAATCAGAGTGACAGCATTGTCATCGCATAGCGTAGCGTAGGTGGAAGCATAGCCGTGATCGCGCATAGCGCATGGCGATCGAGGGCCCGCCACTTGGTAGGTTACCAGTAATGTAAATGAGCAACTGGTGCTCGAGACAGCATTACAGCTCACATAGCGTGGGTGAGCAGTTGTTGTAAACTGAATGTTAGCAATTTTTGAGAATGCCGAATTAGAGAAGATGCGATGCATATTACAAAGTTTCAATCGTTTCTGTAAACCCTACTGTTTCGCAGGTGCTTCGGAAGCACCGCTCAACGAACCACTAACTGGCGATACAACCGGAAGTTGATGAACTAAAAGTCTGGGTCTGCGTGTAACTCTCCACCTCCGCTTGCCAAGCTTTTGCCCAGTTTATTAAAAGCAGTACACTTACCAAAGTTGTCAGCCAATCTGAGTGGGCTTCAAAGTGATATCGTGTAAATTTTGCGCGAGGCTTTTGCTGAGATCTTGGAGTAATGCTGTTTCATGCAGAAAGTGGGCTAATCAGTAAACTAAACAGTTCTGTGGCGATTTTAATTAAACGACTGAAATGGTGGTTAACTGTTTTACTTTAAGAAGACGCCACATCATTGTTGTATGCCAAATCGATTGTTTTTTATACGAGTATAACGTAATAAACGCGCGGGAAAGCACATTTGTTCGACATTCCTCTCACGAAAAAGCCAATCTTTTGCTCCTGACATTTATTTTTGTTCATGAGCAGAGATGTTCTATCAGTTATTGCGACCTTAAGACAAAATAATGACGTAGTTTCCGTAACAGACTGAAAGTCTTTACATACCAAACACCCAGGCTTCAAGAGCTATCACACAGTTCGCATCAAGCCTACTGCTTCCAGTTTACGTAGTTGTAGTTGCTGAAATGCTCTTATTTCCATACTGCGTTGCACGTTCTCCTTTTCCACGGCAAAATAATCCCGGGTTGATTGCATTTGGCGGTATAACTCCAGGAACTCTCTGAACACGGCATGCCGCGTCTCGTTCAGCTCCACATGCGCTAAAGTTGTCTTCTCACAGGCAATATCAACACCAGTTGGGAGCGTGTCTGCCGTTGCCATATCGCTGGTGTCCAGCGCTTTCCACGTCTTCGGTCCGGGGTCGAGTTCGGGCGTGTCCACGGGCGGCGAGGGCGGTCGCGCTACGATGGCGTGCGGCAGGAGCGGTCGTTTAACGTCGCGCGGCGGAATAATCCTATCACATTCGCGGAAAAAAGCATCGGTGCACCGGATAAATTTGGACAGGAAGGTCAGCGTCACCTGTGAGAGAGTGCCGTCCCAGTAGCTTTTCATGCGATCGGCGATGACCTACAAATAAATGAACGATGAACTGTGGGTTTGATGTTGGTGGCCAATGTATTAACCGCAAACATGCCCTTTCGCCAGTCCTTTACTGTGTTCTATTACATAAAGAAATTCTCCAGAATTTGCTAAAAGTACAGTAAAACCTTTCTACTACATACACCCTCCGTTCAAAGCTCTCCGAATGTTGTAAAGAGGTGTATGTTACATAGGGGCACTGCCCCCAGGGGCGGTTGTTAACATACCCCCGGGGGGTGGGCCGTATAATAATCAATAGTTACTAAGAACGGCGACGTTGATGTTTTGCTTATAAATTCATATTATTTCTTCAAAATAGACTCTGGCGCTTCTGAATTGCATACATTTTCAAAAAGCTACCGTGTTAATGGCGCTTTGTATTTTAGAATAAATTGACGGTTTTTAATTTTTGACGCCGTTTTGCTGTTGCGTGCTGTCAGGTTCGGTACTGAACAGATCGGAAACAAAAACCGGAACTTTCTATGAAATTTTAAGACGCTTATTCAGCCAGCTGTATGTTACGCAGGGTTGGCTGTATGTTAAAATACTGTCAGCCGTTCCACGAAAGGTGTATGTTATACTTTTAGAGGGGTGAATGTTATATAGAGAACTGCCCCTATGTTATAATCCAGCGGACTGTCTGGTTCCCAGCCGCATGTATATAATAAAGGGGTGAATGTTATATAAGGGTGTATGTAACGAGGGGTTTTACTGTAGTGCAAAATGTGACACCGTCAGTGTTAGAAGCAGTTGTAATCAGTTCCCGTATCTGGATCAAGCTGCTTCCAGCTTTCGTTTATTAGAGAAATGCACAAAAAACGTATTACAATTAACGTAACCTGATATTTTTGGCATTTAACATGCAAGGTGCAAGCGCGGCTATGGACAGAATAATCTTACCTCGAGCATTGGTATAATGGCATTATTCCGCACCAGTTCCTCCGGAAGCTGCAGAACATCCACATCTCTACGACTGTCTCTGACAGAAGCGGAGTTGGCATTGAATTTCTCCACCGTTAGCCGTTGCACAATCAACATCTCCAGTTTGTACGGTGTAAAGATTTCCCTGAATAGCTTTGCAGCTAACCGAGGCACCATCTCGATAATCTTCTTCGACAGGTCTCGCATCTTCTCCATAACATAATGAGCAAAGTTTTCCGACTGTGTTTGGTAGTTCAGTAACTTCTTGCACAGCCGCTCTGCCAGGAGCTCTGCAGTCGGCGGCAAAAGCTGCGGTCGTGTAACCGGTCGATTTCCTTTCAGCCGATAGTACTCTTCTGCTGCTGCCAGTACATCGTTCAGCGCCATCCAACATTCCTTATGAACCACCTGTAAAAATCCCAAAAAATAATAAAGTTACAAAACTTCCATAGAATCACAACAAACTACCTCTAAAAAGGTGACGGGATGATCAGTCGGTGCATCACCAAAAACAAAAAACCGTTCCAGTTTCTTGAGGTTCTTCTTGTTTCCGGTGATGGATCCCCGTGGTCCAGTAACGGATCCGCGGGGCTTCTTCCCCCATATCGCTGGTCGAGGCAGCTTCGGGCTTGCCTGCTCTGACGCTTTTTGGATCGGGTAGGACAATAATTCCGGGGTTCACTAGCGGGAGCGGTCCGTCAATTGTGGTCAGCTGGAAATCGGTGGGTGGATCAGGCGGCTTAGGAGGAGGTGGAGGCGGGGCGGGCGGCATGGGACTAGATTTTCGGTTTGACGATTTGGCTTTTCCGGCTGGAATCGGAGTTTTCGGAGGCTCCGGTTCAAGATGCACTGGAAGAGGGACTGGGATAGGCTGGTCTGGGCGGAGGCAACCGAGTGATGTAGCAGCTGTTTCAAACTAGGATCAACAAACAAGCAGAACTATTAATTTAAATCTGGCTGTACTGGCGGTTGCCGAATAAATATCCCAATTTAATTGTTCTTTTGACGGTTGGTTAAATTTACGTAAATAAAGTGGCGGTATGCTTAATTCAGAGCGCAAATGTTCCTCAATAAAAAGACAAGTAATGATATCAATGGATCAGATACCAACGGATACGTTTATCAAAGATTACAGAAGCTGATAGGATTACTTTTAGTCATACTGGTACAGACTGGTCACTGGTGCGTGCCACGGAATATCGTTCGACTTACGTCTTCAAGCATCCGTCCAATCTGGTGCCATATCTCTTCTTCGGGACACCGTGCCGCATCCGTTTCTGCTAATTTCCGTAGAACCTCGTATCCATTGTGGCACGACCCAAACGCAGTATTAACAACAGCCGCTCGCGCTTTGATAGCTGTTTGCGTTTTCTCCAGTCTCTCGGCCAAGACCGTAATGATGTTGACATCCATCAAATGCTGCGGTACAATCTCCAATGTTTTAGCCGCCAGTGCTTCCAACGCTTGGCGTCGTTTGGATTCGGTGTTGCGGCATTCGTCCAGCAGCGATTTCTCGGTGGCGGCACATTTCTCCATTAGCTTTTGGTAGAGCTGCGTGTATTGTTTGTGTTCTTCCGGCGTGTAAGTCCCACCATCGGGAAATTTCTGTTCTAAAGGTCACGAGAGTCGTCGCAATGATCGTGACAATAAACGGCCCATGTTTTTACCTGGACCGTGGACAATACGCTTTTGCAGTCGACCAGAAGTAGCTGTATTCTTTCGGTTATCTTTGCTTTAAGGGTGCTGTATACGCCGCTGAGCAAGGCGTAAAACGGTACTGCGTCATCCTAGAACAACAAATTAGTCCAACACGATTGTTATTTTACCATGATGTCCAATGTTTTGGGTAAAAATATTGGCAACACGAAAGCACAATAATACAAACCACTGTATTTTGCTCCTCTAATAACTGCTCAGCCAAAAAACGCGAAGAAATAGCGTAAAGAACAGCTTATAAATAACAGCGTAAAGAAGAGCTGTATAGCGTAAAGAATAGCTGTATAGCTTGTAAAGATAATTGTTTCCCTACCCAGGTGCGACAGAACATTTGGAGTGAATATCAAAATCTAATGAAAGAGACCGAACTGGTTGTTTACCTTAATCTGTCCTTGTATTTGAACAATTTGGTCAGCACGGGAAGCCGTGAAGAATGTCTTCTCCAAACTCGACATTCTATCTTTCATTGGCGCGCACTTCTCCGTGGATTCGTTACCAACTACTGCTATCTCCTCCTTTGCCCACGCGACAATCTTAGCCAACTCGGCTTCTCGCTGTTTATAGGATGCATCGTGTTCCGTCAACTCTTTTTCCCGTGTCGCCACAATGGTATCCTGAAGAGTATGCCATCGCAAACTGGCGGCTTGCATTCGCATCTTCATTTCCGCTTCGCAGAGCTCTCGCTTAGCATCCAGCCAACCCATGCTTCGTTGGCGAAATTCATCTGACCAATTATCAGAGGCATGCGTCAGCACAGCTACCCTCATTCGCTCACGAACATCTTCAAATATCTTATTCACTTGCTCTTCCGGTGCATTCGCCATGTACTCATCCAAGGAAATGAGTCCGGAGTGTACCGGTAGATCGACAACCTCATTCAGAATCTCTAACTGAGATTCGGTCATCCTGGGATCAGGCTCCTTCTTCCCGGTATCCTTTTCCTTAGGGAAGCGCTGGCTCTGTTGTAATGATACCGGAGCAGGAACGAAGGTAATTCCTTTCCGCGTGACGATGTCGTCTGTCGGCGGGTTGCCGCGTGGATCGTCCTGGAACGGTGGAAGCAGTTTCAGCCGCAGGCCAATGTTTTCTTCGTCAGCCAGCGTCAGTCCTAGTTCTTTCAGCAGACGTCGCTCATTAGCGGAAACAGGGATATCCGGGAGCCGGCGATTTCCGGACGACAGGTCAGCCAGTGGATCCTGTAAAAAGGTGCATCAGTAAAACAGGAGTTAGGATTTTTCTTCGGTGAGTGCCGTGTCTTTTACCGTTTGGGGCAGACTTTGAGTGCCGTCTTCGGCAATAATGACATCACTTTCGACTGGCTTTGCACTGACTTGCATATATGCATACACGCGTTTCTGGTATCCCTAAACAATGAGCGAAGTTTGTTTAGTGATTTTTCTATTGATAGTTTTGGTACATTAAGATCTGAGACCGCTAAATAAGAGAAGAGCATCACCATAACATATTCAAACGTGTGATTACTGTAATTGGCAGGAAAGACGCGTTGCTTGGACGTGTCAACAAAATTGATTATATGCGCTAAAGCCGGTAAAGAAGCTCGAGAACTGACAAGCTCATCCAGAGACAAGAGCTAAAGTATAAACGGGGAAAATTTTACGAAGCGCACATGTACGTACATGCACATGCAGTCGAGACATGCATGTGTGTCTGCGTATGTTCCCTGTATACACTTTGGCTCTTGTTTCCGAACGGGCTGCACTATTACGGTAAATAAAAGCTCCCTTATCCCTTATGCGTAGCATTTGAATCACTTACGCGCAGGAGAATGGTCATTATTGTCTCGTAGCCTCCCACAAGCTTCGCCATCTTCTTCCCGGCCTCGCTAACAGCTTTATCCGTTTCGTTATACGAAGCCTGCAGTGCATTCGTCAATGCCGTTGCCGCGGTCATCACATTCACATACCGCAGACTATCCAGCGTGCTCTGGATCTTCGGGTTAATCTTCGCATCCACAGCAGTATTCAGTGCCATACGCTGTTTCTGCAGTTGCGTATCCAGCAGGTCCTCCGCCTTGGCGACACCGCTACAGTGCAGCTCCCAGTGCCAGGCGATGCCGTGAACGAACGCGAAAAGGTCACGCATTGCGGTGATCTGGTCGTTCTTCTTCAGCATAATCGCGTGAACATAAAACTGGAGATCGTTGTTAACACGCGATAAATAACGGGCGGAGCGATGAAGATACACGTCGATTAAGTTCACACGGATAAAATCATGGGACACGGATAGAGAATCAGGAAGCGGTTTAGAGCGCTTCAAGATGGAGCGACTCGTGCTGGTAGCTGCGTCGAAGCACTGCTTGCGGATGGAATCTACACCTACGAATAGAATTTGACAAAAACTCGCAATATATTAAAAAACTTATATGGTATCACTACTGCGCTCTGTTTCAGTATTCACGTTAAAGAATCAGTGCTGCATACCTTGCGCAAAATCTTCGTAGAACGTCTCCAGCGCACCGAGGGCTTTGTTGAGCCATTCTTTGCATTTTTCCATTGATAGATCCGGAGGGATCAGTCGCATTACATCTTCCAAACTTTGCACAAATTCGACTTGCTGACCTTTCAATCTTCTCTCCCAATTAGCTAATGAGGACCTGGATGAGCCAATGACTTTGCTGATAGCTTTCTCCAGTACCTGCAAACCGTCTTCCACATAATGCGCAGCCAGGGCTTCCGTCCATTCCTTCCTAAACAAACCCAGTCTGGCACAATCCCGTTTTTCGCTATAAACGTTCTCCGTCAGCATCCGCTTGAAGACTTCCACAAATACTGTGCGATTTCGGAGCAGGACATCGTTAACAATCACCAACTCTTGCTCCATAAGGTCGCCTACATCATCGGGGTTCAGATGGGATTTGGCGATCAAGTTAATCTTTATCCGATCAAACACATCCGCGACTTTCGCCACCCGCACCGATTCCAAAGCGTCTACGTCCTCCATGGCTTTCTCTATTCTCTCTCTTCTGAAAGCAGCTTGCGCGGATATCGCATTTTCTGCATTGCGATATTGCTCCAACGATAGCTGGGGAGCGGTGACCTTTTGCGGATCGAGGGAATTCAACATCTCACGCATCTGGGAATGGCTGGCAGTGAGAACCTCTCGAAGCGATGCCAAGAGCGAGGAGTGGGACTGCTCCGTCATACGGGCAATCGACCGCATCTCGGATTGCAGCGTTTGTAGCAAGCTGTCGTGTTGTGCATGGCGACGCGATTCGTATCGTTCGCGGAGTCCGCTAGGCGGATAGAGAACAGGTTCGGCAGGTAGTACAGCAACTTCCACAGCGAGGGACTGCGTGGTAAGATCTGTTTGGTCTTTCATTCCGGTTATGATAAAGCAGCATAACACGGGCACAGCTTATTCGTATTTAGATGGCGTAACTAGCTGGAGCGTATTCTGTAGTTCATGGCGTGCTCTGGTTTGAAAGATCAACGAAACATGTCTAATTTATTCCTTAGATAAGTTAAACCTTTCAAAATTCTTTGTTATTCAAAAGGAACCGATGACCATAAATAAATTCCAGAAAAATGATTTAAGCCATAATAGTCGAAATCCATTTCCTTCGCTTTTCTGAAAAATTTGCCTTGTTCACATTTTATAAAGACACATACACCCTTATTACTTTTTACCCATGCGTCAAGTTCCAAGTATGAACTAGTACTTGAAGTTCGTCAAGTTCCAAGTACTTCCATATTACAGTACTCAGCATGCGTTATTCAGTCTGCTGCCAGAAGGCATGCTCATCGGTCCCGAGGCTAATGCGTTGCTAAGGTACTACTGATAGCTTCTATTGCTACAGTGTTGATTGTTGATTGTTGTTAAGTGTTGGTTATTATAATAGGGCGCGTATAATTATAATAGGGCGCGTATAATTATAAATTTATACGGTATACCGACAACGGTTTCGAGATAAAAATATTATTAATATGTCTTCGGAAGTTTTGACACATGCCATACGCTACTATTAAGTGCAGGATCGAAAATGCGTTACTTTAAAAAACTTACGTGCATTAACATTGAACACGCATAGACCATAATATAAGTACTACCATAATTTTGCCGAAAGGAACATCCCAACTTCTCATGTACGAAAACTTAAACTTTCGCAAGTGAGTATTATAACGTGCCCCATTCTATTCCTGATTTGCAGTCATGTCAATCTGCAACGGCACTACCAAAAATTAGTTCATGCGCTTACTTGCGCTGTAACCCGAACTGCATGAAATTTTTTGATAGATCTGGCATGTCAACACTTGACGGATCTGAACTTCTGACAAGCGTTCCGCTTCCAGTGCATACCTTTTGTGACCACTTGAATGGCCACACAAAGGGCACCAAAAGCGGAAAACCAGTCCTAAAAGCAACATTTGACATTGTAAAATGTACCGAAAGCGTAACGCCCCAAGTAGTAGCAGTACAGGGTGGTCATTTTACTAATAGTACGTACATGAAATCCGCTCGTAATCCAGCAGTAAAGAGCGGACATGGTTGCTGTTTTGCAGCATTCAGTTTGGTTGCGCCTTCTTCCTGTCTTACAGTGTTAAGTGCCAATAGAAATAATATTTGTATTGTCAGCCTATATATTATATAGGCTGACAACAAAATTTCAAACAGCGGGCATGCACTATATATACTGCAAACGTATTAAAGTGATGTGGAATCCCAGATATGAAAGCCACGCCATAGAACGAGTACGAGAATGAAAATTAGTACATTCTCCAGTAAGATTTTTGTCGTCGCTTTTTTAACCAATATCTGTATCATTTTAAATATGGTAATTACGCATGTATTCATTACGAACAGAAGTCATTCACCGCTCCAAACAATGTGCGTGCACCTTTTGATTTAATAATGTTTATTATTGCAATTTGCTCCGCCAACAAACTTCCCATAGTTAAGCGTGGAGAAGCCATTACGCAGTACAATATTATTATGATTGTCTCAGCCCTCTAGAACAATATTAGGTTGAGATTAATCACATCTACGTCTTCGAGCCAAAAAAGATCGGATCGTTGTAACTGCCGAAACAGTACGTACGTAAATACTGCAGGTTACATACCCGTCACAAAATTATTAGACTGGAATGCCAAAAATGCATTTATCTACATAAAAATTAAAATGCAGATTGAGCAGGAATTCGTTTCTATGTTGATGTGCTAAGTTTTTTTTCTGTCCAGCCGTTTATGATGAAGCTTTTGCGGTAACTTGGATTTTCGACACCGCCATGGCAGCCGCGGCCTACACCGGCGCTAATAATAAATATTCCTTAAATTTTCTTGATGCATTTCTATGATTGTTAAAACAAAAGCCGAGGAACAACCACAAGCGTATCCATCGAAGTGGAAGTAAAAGGATGACTGCGCTATTAAGAAAAGGCGTGTTGCGATGGCGCGTCAGAAGGGATTGTGATCAGCACCCAAAAACACACGTTCTGGCAGTTTACTCTTACGACACCAACTCTGTAACGTCAAAGATGGCATTTCAAACGAACAAAAGACTGGACTACAGAAAATAGTCCAGATTTACGGCTTGCGAACCGGTCTAGTAGTAACGTGACGTCCGTATGCTACAAAAATACCATTGGGGAAGCCGGTCCAAAAAGGTAACCCTGGTTTACCGATACGCAATAACGATGCGCAATCTGGCCTGAATTGTTACGGCATCCGGTTACTTACAGTGGACAAAAATACCAGAGAGGAGAAAATCCGGCTGTGCCTGTGTCGTTCCCGGCAGTCTCACCCAAGGCTCACGTCTAACCCAAGGGTCAAAATTCTAACTTTTAACTTATGCCTAACAGGGATTGCCAGTGTGACGCTACTCCGAATGGAAAATAGGAACCAGTGAGCCTCATTAAAAAACGTTAACAGGCATGCGGCAACTAATAATTTTATAACACAGCGCTTAAACCAACGCGAAATTTTCTGTTAATTTGCTTAAAAATTAACGACAACGAAACAAAAAGCAGTCTGCGCTTGGCAGGGATGCGAAGAAAGTGTTTGTCAGTTTCGCAGATGACCGGAGCGGTCAGAATGCTATGTCGGTAAGTATCTGCTATGCCAAAACCACCAGAAAAAAGAAACCACTGTTATCTGTTCTTAGATTGCCGCTACAGTCAAAAATTCGCGCGAAAAGTCCACTGTGAACTGATGATTACGAATACGAAAAACAGAAGAACGATCACGATCTCCGTAATGAGAAGCCGATCATGCCAATGAATGTACCTTTGATTTCTATAATTTCGTCCATGTCTGGACTTCCGTGTCGCCATATATGAACCACGCAATGCTCATGACCTGCTTGATATCGTACTAACTGTACACTGTTCATTAACTGTGTATAAGCAGTAGCTATGTACTTGTAACGTGAAACTTTGTAAAATCCAAATTATCTCCATTTGAGGGAGAAATAAAATGAAGCCTGAATTACCGATACATCGATGTACAGCCCTGCTACGCCAAGTTCGGACAGTCGCATAAAATAAATTCAAAAAAACTTTTCTTCGTTGTAATGTTTTTCTTTTAACACTTTTCTAGTGTAACTTTTTATTGTGGATCTAAAGAAACCAAAACTGGAATCTTCCGACATATTGCTGAGTAGGTAGGCGGTGATTAAGTGGGTGGGCCGGTTTTAGTTTTTAGGGTGCTTATAACTGCCCCTCTAGAAACTTCACGAACCTGAATTTTTAAGTCAACTATTTTGGAAACTTTATAACTACCCGAAGGGTGTTCGTTACAGTTCAATAACTCAGCCCTGCGCAATCGGTCCTCGAGGTGACCTCAAACCAGAGTTCGTCTCCCATAGACTAGTATGCTATAACACACCCGCTGGAGAGCGCGGTTGCCTAGCGTACAGATGTGGATAATTTGAGTTGACCGTTTCCATGGGTGAAACATGGGTCAATTTACACGATTTTAATGAATCGACACCTATCTACCACACAGGCGGGAAAATGCATGTACCGGACAACTGGAAGAAAAACCTAACAAAGCAGTGTCTAAAAAATGTTGTGATTGATATCATAATTCGTGGGGACGATACGTATCCGGTTTTTTTTGGGAACGAAAAACCTTAAGTTGAAGCACAGGCATCTATAAACAAGATTTTATCAAGATTAGACATTTGCGACTGCTCACGGCTGTACGGCTGTCGCCCGAAAAAGGTAATCCAATATTTCGACGGTGCCCGCAGGAATGCTGCAAAGGTCACGTAGTCTTGGTAGAAACGGGGCTGCGTTAGGCCCCATTCGCAAGTGAATTGATTGGCAAACATCATAAAATTAACTAATCTAGATTAGAAAAGGTGTGGAATTTTTAAACGAATTGTGAAAAGGGAGATGAAACCCAGAACTAATAGGTCGAGCCCTATTTGGAAGCTGGTCCGCTCTAGTTTAGACCTCACTGTAATTCGAGGCATGCTTTCAGCGTAAAACCTTTAAATGAAAAAGTTGCTGGACACATACGCTGATAATAAAAGAATAAAACGCGGCTATAATTCTTAATGGGTGAGTTGTGATAATTTTTCGAAGAAAGTGTCCGAACTTGGCGTAGCAGGGCTGTATTCCATCAGTGGTAGACTGGTACAGATAGTAATCGTAAAGAAAGACGATCATTCTAGTAGTGTTCTGCTGCACAGGCTTACCGTAAAGCTCCGCCGAAATATGCAGACCACAAGCTCGCGATCATGCTACCTAGCGTACTCCTGAAGTTCTGAGTAACTCCCATACTTTTATAATTTTACTCTTAGCTATGCGTATTTTATATTTTGCTAAATTCAGGTTACACAAGCAACACCTGATAATCAGGTGCGGGTAAAAGTTTTTAAAGTGTTATGAAAAATGTATTCTCGCAGTTATCCTCGACACCACAGACCGGTTTAGCAAGCCTTGTCCCTGTTTTGTATTAGGGCGTGTTGCCGCTCACAGCAAACCTCAAGATTAATGGAAACTCAAGATTAAAGTTAAAGGTATAATACACTGAAAGATATAAGCAAATTGAATAATAAATAAATAGTAACGAAATAGTAGTAAATAATATTATACCGTTACACTGCCAGGACAAACTAAATAATGCCACTGCAGTAAACTGCAGAAATACCGTTCAATTATTCTGACATTTTGAATAAATTCTTGGCTAAAAAGTTACTGAAATACGAACCACATCGCTCTTAGATGTAACACGACGTTACACAGAATCGCGTGACGCGCACAACGAATACAACGAGATGCAGGTACGAGCAAAACTTACCAAAAAAGACAAAATAATGACGTATGCGCACAGTGTACAATCACGACCAGGTCTGAATTGATGAAAAAATCTAAATTTCAGTGGATTAGAAATAACTGAAATTAAACTCGCATTAATCCCTTTTAATTTCCGAAGGCCATAAATTATTGACAAAAATCACGGACGTATTTAAAAGTAAGCATCGCATCGAACACAGAAAAAGTGCACTGAATCGGGTCCCCGTGACGAGTTGGCAGCACAGCACAAACAACTGCGAAAAGGTAGTTGCTTGGGAACCAGATGCACCCAACCGACTGAACCGGAAGTCCGGGACGGCTCTCGGAGCATGTTTACAGTAGTGAACAAGATGAAATGAGCATTGCTGTTACCGTATTAACGTGGACTAATTACATAACGTACTTAACAACTCTGTCATTGCTAGCAGTGGCAGTATGACTTTACGGACATATACTCGTAGTAATGTTGTTTTTTTTAATAAAAAATACTGATGTTATTAGTTGTAAACTGTGGCGCCCTAGTTGTTGAAAAAAGCATATATCTCACGATTCTACAATGCATCAATCCGTTTTACAGTCTCTAAATTATACTTTTCTTATAAAAGATTACTTTGGAGTTTGCGATCAAGCGCAAAGAAGCCCATAATTTATGCCGTTCGTGTATAGACAGCGGTTTGCACTTTTGCATGGATTGTCAATGAGCAGTGAATCTTTATGTAGTTATAATACGGGTACTACGTCGAATTTTGTATGTTGGAATATCCTGTCACAGGCTTTGTTTGGGAAATTGGGATGTAGGGTTTCCGTGTACGATAATCGGGTAAAACGTTGACTCTTTCTTGGCCAAATGAATCGGCTTAAGAAAGCTCTTCGTTTCAAAAGTAAGCGAATGTGTACAAGTAAACAACATCGCTATTAATTCTGCTTCTCATAACTATATCAGTCATCTTTCATCGCGAATACTAATGTGGCAGTTTTGATGTACCTGTAGGCTGTACAGAGTAGGCTATAAACAGTTAATTTTTTTTGATTTTGCACTTTCTCCTTTTAATATAATTATGTCGGAGTGACTGAAAGCATGCAATTTCGTCAGATTTGTGCCAATTTAATACCGTTAAGTTTTGTATGTACATGAGAACAGTTCAGGACGATAGCTTTTTCACTTTTCATAGGCAATCAGTTTTATTGGTCGTCATGAAATACTAATCTTTTTATCTTGCAGAAACGCCGTCAGATGACCCCGTGAACATAATCCGTGTGGCCCAGAGTAAATCGAGTGTGGACATCGAGTCCGTGAGTCTCGAAGCGTCAACAGACGATGATTTCGACACCGATGAGGAGCGCAAGCGTATCCATCGCCCCGACACTAAGCCGTGGTCCGTACGCACGGTGCGCTCCGTCAGTCCCGATCCGTACCATCCACGTCCGCCTCCCTACCGTAATCTGGTGCTGGTGGTCGTGGCCGACCTGAATCAGATCCTGAATTTCTGTCTGCCGCGCTACATGGTGGCCCTGCTCAGCAACTACCGTTATGCCGTCACGGAGAAGCGGAAGGGGGTGGAGTTGGAGCAGTTGGATCTGTATCTCGGGCAAATGCAGGAGTTCTTGGACGCACTGCGCAACATTCGGGGGGATGCGTTCGGGGATATAGCGGTGCGGACGGGACGGACTATTGCGCTGTTGGGATCGATTGTGGAGGTGGTGGGACGGAATGCCACGCAGGATGTCTTTGTGATGTCGTTCCAGGAGCAGACCATCAACGGGTTCGAGCAGCGGCATATGGAGCTGATGGGTGTTGATCCGCGGTTTGTGGAGTATTTGAGGCATCCACCGCGGATAGCGTCGTCTCTGCAAAGCAGACAATCAGGTTAGATAGTTAACTTGATTTTGGTATATCTGTTATGCCAATCTGCACATTACAATCTCTGTATCTTAATGTTAAACAACTCATTTTCAGTCGTTAAAACTTTCGCGAAGGAAAACGTTATTTGCGTACGTTTTTGTAATAAACATTAAGAGCAGTTAATCGTAAAGCAGATAACAATGTATCCATCGGTATTTGTTGCAAAAATAGTAAATCGACTAACTAATTTCCGATTTTCTACAACAAAAAATTGTCATGGATCTTTCTCTCCTTCACTGTTTCACGAACAGATACAGCGTTTTACCCGCAGAATCTCTAATGACAGCTTCTAGCGTATAAACTCATGGAAACGAGTTGTTCATAAGAAACTAATCCTGGTTCGTACAAAAGTTTTCAATTATGTAATGTCTTGCATCTTCTCCATCTGTGGCTTGAAAGGAAACTGAAATTATTGAAACTCCTAAACTCTCTTGCGTATTATTTGTTGTAATCGCTAGATGAAATTGCACCACTGCCCGATCCAGCTACTGCTTCCCCCCCTGACTGTTTAACTCGGGAACCGCCCGCATCACGTAGAACACTGAGCGTGTGCAAGGTTTTTCTTGTTCACCAGACTCGGTGGTGCAAGTTCCTCTAGTGGCTGCATTATATGTAAAAGAAAGCAAATGATACAGAAAGGTCACAAAACAAAAAATCCCAAAAATAGCCATTGGTTCCTAGCGGTATTTTTCGTAACTGCATTAAGAGAAGACATTCGTCATAAACGCAATAATACTGCACAGTCTAGAGAATTAGTTTTTCTGTTGTACGTTTTCAGATCTCATCACGGTGCATCCGAGCGATCCAGTGAAATTCGTTAACTCACGCATGCAGACGGACGACACCCCAACAGTCTCCACATTATCATACGTATCCAGTGTGAAGTTGGCGGATGCGAGCATTCAGACCGATGTGCACTCACCAGTTCCCTCCTTGGCCGGCCGTCGGCGGCGAACGACGCGGGTCGGCGATGGATGGCCCTCACCACGGGGTGCTGCCGACGCGGACAAACCCCAGGGGAATCCTCATGTCCCACAACTGTACGAACACTACATGGAGCTCATCCAAACTGAAGCCGAGGCCCGCAAGGACGTCAATGACCTTTTACAGAAGAACCAGGAGATCGAACGGCTAATGGGCGTCCAGTCAGACCAGTACACACGGGACATCAACGAGAAGGTTGCGCTGCTGAAAGACAGCCAGGAGCGGCTAGCCTTACTGGAGAACACCATTGCCGCGTTGGAGAGTCGGCATGGCGATATTGCACAGAAACCGGAGCGGAAAGACAGCATCATTCTATTGCAAGACGTTCTGAATCTGGTTCGGGATAAGACGAAGGACTTTTCAGCGATCTATGGGCGCGTCACCGACCAGGTGGCTTCCAGGACCAACCAGATTAACCAGAAGGTGGCTGCTGTTAACGACAAAATGAAGGCACTAAAAGAAGTGGTAGGTACCCAGAAGAGCGACCTGCGGAGAGTATTGGAAGAGCTGATACAGCGGGATAGGGAGTTGGAGGAATCCAAGCGCGAGACAACCGAACTGCGCACCGCCCTTCAAGTTAGAGATGAGAAGTTTCTTGCGGCACAAGCAGACATCGATGTATTGGAGCGGCGAATCGCCAACTTTGCATCGCACACCGGAAAAGAGTCTCGTATCTGGACACTGCTAGCGCAGAACGAAACCCTTAAGCAGACCGTTGCGGAGAAAGACCGGGAAATCCAGCGTTATGAAAGTATGGAAGAGGCTGTAAAAACGTTGGTACGCCGGTCTGACGAGCTGGAAGTGTGCAAGAAAGAACTCGACACCATAAAAAACCAGAATAAAGAATTAAAGGAGAAGGTGGAGATATTAGAGAGCGAACGGTTGCCGGAGAATTCCTCGCCGGAACTGTTTGCCATCGAGACGAAGAAGAAGAACGAGATGATTCGGCAGTTCCAAGCTGGATTAGCTGCAGCGATCGCCGATGGTAATGAACTACAGTCCGATGTGCAGGAGCTGAAAGCCCAGAGGAAATTGCATATCGACTCGCTGCGCCGATACGAAGCATATAAGAAGGAAACCGATGTGAAATTGGTGGAGAAAGACCGGATGCTAAGGATTGCCGAAGACAAGATTGGCGCACTTCAAACGGAGGTCACCAGTCTACTGAAATGCCGTGATCAACTGCAGGAAACCTTGAACAGCTGCGCTATACTACAGACATCTGTGTATCACTTGGAACAACACATCGTCATGGTAGAACACGGAAAGCTGCAGATGACCGAAGAACTGCAGACAGCGCGGCAGAACGCATCGTTGCGGCAGCAGAGTTTAGTCGAGTGCGAAGATCGGATACGGGAGCTGGAGAAGCGTCTGACCAGCACCGAACAACAGATGGCATTCCTGGAGCAGAACAGGGGCACGTTGATGGAGGAGCTGCGGAAGACGATGGAGATATTGGAGACCCGCGACAAGACGATCGCTCATTACGACCATCAGGTGCGGTCACTGGAGGACAGCCTGGCCGAACTGCAGCAGCAGTATAGCGAAGCGGAAGATAGTCGGAGCGATTCGGAGAAGGAGATCGGTGGTTTAAGAAAGGAGATGGAAGTGTTACAAAGGAGCGTGATGGTGCTGAAGAACGATGTTAAGCAAAAGGAGCAGGAGATTCAGGATCTTACGGTATGTTAATTCGTGGGAAAGCATGTCGCTGTAAAGCGCTGCAGCTGTTAGCAAAAGTGCGAGTGCTTGCAGAGTTGCATGCATTTTCGCAAATCGTAGTCATCGTCAATGCATTTTTACCTACAGTAGCTAGGAGTTTAAAAGTACTTTTATACATCGATGTAAATGATTCTTTACATTCTGATCCCCTGAAGCGGCGTGGTTTTACATATGGCACTAATATAAGGCCTATAAATCATCGCCATAATTTCTGTTATAAATTTTTGTTATAGGTAATTTTTTTTAAAGTTAGGCGTTAATATTCCCGCAGAATAATACGTTATCTTTGTAGACAAAATTGGAAGCGGCAAAGAAGAAAGCAGACCAGAGCGACGATCAGGCATCAGCCCGATCCAAGTCAGCCAAATCCCATAAGGACCAGTTCGTAGCCGCCAAAAGACGCATAGCAGAACTGGAAAGTGAACTGTCCTCCCGAAAGCCAATCCCATGCGTTGCTCGACAGGAGACGCAAACGGATCCGATTCCCAATGCCCTGAAGCATGACGTTGGATGCATGGCAATCGATAACCGCCTTTCCGAGCTAGAGCACAAGATTACCGACATGGACAAAATGATCAACGAACGCCAGAACGTCATCCGAACTATGGAACTGGCCAAGGAAACCATGCTCCTCCGCATTTCCGGTTTACAGGGCGAAAACAGTCAGTGTGAAGCGGAGATAAAATCCTTGAAAGACAAGCTGACGGTGGTAGCGAATTCCGCTGAGAGTACCCTGGAAACACAGAGCCAGTTAGCGGATACGAAGGTACGCGATGTGCTTAACCGGCTCGCCGTGAAAGGCGAGCAATTGGACTCCGCCCAGCGAAGTATTGAATCATTACTGAAACGTCAGGAAGAGCTCAACGGGGAAGTTCAACAACTAAGTACTCTGAAGAACCAAGCCGATCTCCGGATTGAACAAATCACGGATCAGACGTCGCGAGAGATTGACGAACTGGAGCTGCAGATAAAGTCCCTTCGCGAACAAGAACTCAAGGTCAAACCGGAAGTTATTAACGCAGCGACTGTAACAGAGTACTGTGAGAGTTCTGCACTTTGCCAGACCGAGCTCAGCTTCTCCTACGGATACAATTTCGAAACCGGACAGGAAATTCGGAACAATATCTTCCTGGAGCACTGCCAGACGAAGGACACGCAGACCAGGTGGCCGCGGAACCCGGCGGATGCCTGTATCCAGGCCAACCCGGAAACGCGCTCCTTGGGTGTGCAACCGCACTGCCATACCCGATCATCACGATCCCAGACGGATATTGTCTTAACGGAGGCCCGAAGTAGCCAGGTGGAAGTGACCGAACGACGAACGTATTCCACTCAGACCATCTTGAATGCTAAATATTTTCCATCATTTGACGATTCCGATACGGACGAAGCGTGCCATGTCAGCATGGCCACGTCGACCACCGATGTTCCGTGCTACGAAATTGTACCGATATGCGAGGATTTCAAGGTGTTCCAGCCATCGGTGTCCAGCTGCGGGACCATCGTTAGCGAAGCGACAACGAAATCTCGATCTGTAAGTTGACGGGGCACGATCGGCTGTATGTCGATCGTTAAGTGTTACACATTTTTATTTATGAATTTTTTAAATGACTTACTTTATTCCAGTGTGAGTACAACTGACAGAAGCTTTTGAACTTATACAAACTTTATTATGTTTGCTGCTGCTAAGTACATATTACAAAATACAGTCAATGTCAATGCTTATCGGCTTCTTCCGTTATTTGTGAACTAATGTATCTCTGTGATTTCTTGTTTGCTCTTACCTCTTTAATTTTTAGCTGCATTAAGTTTCTTAGATTCTAAAGCAGTAATCGGTTTTTTATTACAGTCGTCCAGTCGTCATAGCGAAGTGAGGCGTAACAAAGCCGTCGTCGCCAACCTTCCTCAGACGGAACTTCATGAAGTCTGCAAGTTCCTGTACGACACCTTAGCCAAAAATGCCAGCGCCGAAGCGGCCATGGCGCACGTTAGCACCGGCCTGGATTACGCATTGTCTCAGGAAGACTTTGATCAGCAGATCGGACAGAATTTCCTGGAATTAATTGACGCTTCCGAACCCGTTCGGAGTGCGCTGATGACTGAATGGAAAGACGGATTCTTTACCTTCTACGAAGCATTCAAAGAGATGGTCAACGCCGGAAAGAAAGAGCCAGTAAAGGTCAAAAGGAAATTGGAGAAGCCGTCGTGGCAGCTGGACAAAAGCTGGGAGACGGTGAATGATATCAAGACTATTACCGAGCTACGGGGATTTTTCCGGTTGTTTGCATCACGACGCACGGACCATCTAGTCAAGGTCGATGTGCGAGACTTTCGGATTGATGGGAAGAAGCCGGTGCTGAAGCGCGGGAAGCTGACGTTAGAAGAATTCAAGCGTTTGAGTCAGATGAACGATTACATGGTGACGTGCCTGCATCGGTTGGCGCCGGGGTCCAAAAACCTGGCGAAGATTTTCTGCCCACAGATTCCTGCGATTGAGCGCCTGTCTACTAAGCAATTTGACGCAGAATTCGCGCCGTTGGCAATGATGTTTGCTAAGAATTCGAACAAACTGAAGGAGATCGTGCACCATGAGGTGTATGAAGGTTGGGATGAGCTGTTGGATTTGTATGATAGGCTGTTGAAACGAAAGCTGGATGATGTCACAAAAACCGTGAGAAGGCCAATAAAACACCCAGTTAAGACTGCCGGCGCCAAAGTAGTTCATAAATGAAAGGCGGATTGTTGGTGGGCTTCGGTTACGTGACGCTTCTGAATACAGGCACTGGGTGTAAACTGTAATTACATAAGCATGGTGGGTTCGGTTTGCCCGAAGTGCTACAGTCTCAGCTTATGGTTAATGGGATGGATTTATTTTTTTATGGGTATTGCTGTGTATGTATAGGTGCAATACAGTTCCTCTTGAACGTGTAAGAATGCAGTAATTATTTGAAATTTAATATGTTCATTACCATTAAAGTTACGCTCTTCTTATCTAGACAGCGGAAATGCTACGACGCGATCACATCCTACCTGTATTCAAGTGTATTGCAGTCATGTATTTTACAGTTCTTAGTAAAGACCCTTAACCGGCACTACACCATTACATTTGCTCGCAGCGCAAATACCATTTGTATAAAAGGCATACATTCCGTGTTCACGATGACTGAAAATAACGTTGATAATTTGCAACTGTTCATGAACTGTTTTGGCCTGGGTGGATATGTAGTGGATCCCCCTGAAGAACTTATGTACAGATATTTGTACACTGCACACCGAAACAATTTAGTGACCAGGGACCTAACCGTTGCATGAAAAAAGCTTAAAATGAGCAAAACACAGTAATTTACTTTTTAGTTTCACATACTAAAACATACATAACAGATCTTTGAAATTTGAACGAGGAGAAATTCGGGTGCCCAGTCACAAAAAATCCTATCCCGAATTCGGTCACCCGAAACTATCAGTGGACCAAAAATGTATATGTAACCATTTAATTCGAAACATTCGCTTCCACACTGACATCCTGAGTACGCAGCAATCCTTAAACTGTTGTGTGCAGGCCATCAGGCCTTAAACTAAATCAGGCCATTCCTTAGCGCATTGCTCAATATTTAGCCACCAAAACTGTTCACACGTTTAAATAAAAACGTTTAGCAAGCGGAAATAATTATTTTAGGGATGGCGTCAGCAATAATAGGTTTTCTTGGCTGTCAGTGTTGTATTCGACCTGGATATTTAAAATAAATAACCAGGTCGAATAAAACACTGGTAGGCAAGATAACTTATCCGTCGCCATTGCTGATTTGCGAGGAGTTTCTGGTGTCACAAACATCGGTATCGCAAATGCAGCGCCTGTACTATTCTTCTCTTCAAGTAGCGCTCCACCTTGGCACCCCTTCTTTTGAAGCACGGTGTAATCTATATCAGAATCTTTACCATAATGGGAATTATAAGCTTCTTCGTAACAATTTCCAGGACAATTCTGCTTATAGTAAAAAAAAATGTTAAATGGCTGCCTAAAGCCGCCACAAGGATACTGACTTCCGGAAGATCCCCTTTGATTAGGCTCCGGGTGGTTTCCTCTGATGTAGTAGTAGCCTTAACTGCGCAAGTGGGCTGAACAATGTAGGTACAGCGTATACCAAAATTACCAGATGTCGGGTTCTGGAGAATATCGTTCACGGTAAATAGCCTAAAATAGTTAACCGGGAAAATTATTGCCTATCAGATTCGTAACACATCATTTCAGCACCTAAAGCAGAAAATCGTTCAAGCAGAAAATCTGAAGCAAACCTTACGAAAGCACAGCTAGCAGCCAAAAGTCAGTAACAACAATACACGTGTAACAAGATATTACAATAGCAAGTTCTTCTACGTATATCTGTACGTACTTAACAAGTGCGTACTGCGAGTTTGAATGCGTTAGGTTTTCCGTGCCCCAGAAAGATACCGAAAGATCTTGGAGTTTCTGGATTGAGTTAGAATTCTTACCTCCAAAATAGAAAGCTTTTTCCGTGTGTTGGCTCTCTTTGGATACGTTGTTACCAGAATTCCGAAATCTACTTTCGCGTTGTCTTGTTATTTTTGTACGGAAGGCCGTTACGAAGGCAGTGAAAAGTACCCTTGCGGCAGCCGGGGTCAGCAAATAAATGTTTCGTATTGGAATAAGCAAACCTGTCCTGGAAACTGTATTGAAGTTTCCTATAACCCTACCTACAGTGGCGGAAATACGGTGGATAGCAGCTATCTGAAGAGAAAGGGATGTCAGGGTGAAAGAAACTTCGAAACAAAATTTTCAGTAAGGTGTCAGCAAGAAAGCAACGGGCACACTTACTGCGACTGCGACACGGATCTGTGCAACACAAGAAACGCAACGGAGATAACGCTGGCGTCTACTAATATCCGTCCTTGGCTGCCTTTATTTGTTTGTGTATGGAGCCTCCTTTAATTCTGATGTTGGCTCAAGATCTGGGGTTTCCGTCTAATTAAGAATGCTGGTGTTAAGTTGCGCTCTTAAACCACTAAGCAAAACTGCCAGATTAAAAATGATAAAGTGTAAATGTACGCAATCTACGCCCTTTGAGGTTGCGGCATTCTGGCGCTTTGTGCTGCCCTGAGCGTCTATCGTGAAAAAGTGCTTCAGCTTTGCATCAGAAAGGTTCGGCCTTGAACACTTTTTCCTAGCGGCAATTTTCGGTATTGCCGCTGACACGCATGCATACTACGTCAGGATCCATTCGTATCTTGTCGAACTGCTTGTATATCATCGAGTTAATAATAATATTAACTGTACAAGTGCTGGTCGCGCTAGCGCGCACCCAGTTGAGTTTTAGGGATGGAGCTTCGATTTAAAAATTAGGAATGTAGAAATATGTCGCCTGTTTTGTGGAAATATTTCGTATAGTATTACTTATTTGACTGTAACTACCGCAGCTGTATTACTGCAGTTAAAATTCTTTATCAAATTTTTTTTGTATATTACTTTTTTGTATATTATCGAGTTAATAATAATATTAACTGTATGAATAATAAAATACGAGTACATTATATCGGGGCTTTAGTATTCCACTTATTTCAAATTCAAAGCGCGCCTCGGTCAACTTTTGGGCACTGACAGTGCTGGCAAACAAAACACGAGAACATTGCTTTTTTGGTTGCATTATGATGGATAAAATTCCGCTTCATTGGTTAAATTTCGTTCACAATTTCTAGCCATTTCTTTCCTTTCTAACCATGTCACCGTATGACTGCCCAAACAAGCTGCACTTTTACCAGTCGTACTCGTGATATAGAGAACACAGTTCAAAGTGTCCAACGAAATGTGAAGCACAGCAGTAACGTGACCTTGTTCACCCGTTACATTGTTGGCATAACAGCTGGAAAATTTGTTTGGTGCCTGGCAACCAGCCGGAAGCCCACCGCAATATCAAAGTTGTTGTTGCACGACTATACATACGGGTGCAGTGTTTGTTTGCTGCATGAAATTAGAGAGTAGACTAACAGGCATCGGAGGGCTTTCTCGCGCATTACGGTAGCCTGAGTGAAAAACTTCAGTAAATTTAACCTCCGCGTATTTCCGGCATATGGCAGCATCAACTAAATAGCCCGCCGCAGTACATAACACTCTCAACTGACTCTGATTTTATCAGCTCCCATCGAATTGGTTATTGGTTGGTGCAACCCTTCCATATCTCCATCAGGTTTTGTTGCAGTTATCTGTATCTGTTACCGAACGACTAGACAACCTCCCGTGCTGCTAATTTGCAAGAGAAAAGGTCCAGCAGTAATCTGCTAAGCACAGGATGCCGAGTACTGTACTGTCACGTTAAGTCAGAATTGTGGTGACCTTAAGGGATTTGGCCCGGTACATAGCACCAAATTCGTGTACATACACGGAAATATTCGCTTTCGCGCACTTCCAAACACAATTTTGGATTGCTTTTTGACACTGTGTAGCCAAATGTTTTGTATACTATAGCGTATGTGACTAATAATGTACAAGTGTTGTATGAGTAAACTGTGTGAGTGTAAAGTGTAAACTTTGTGAGTGTAATCTTAAATCAAAAAAAACCTATCCCATTTCATTTAGCCTTCCTAAACACTCATTGTTTCTTCGCCTATAAAATGGCAGTCTGTTACTGTATACGAGAGGATTAATTCTTACGACTTCTTACGAACGAACGACCGATCGATCGACATTAAACTTCTGCCAAAACCTGTTGTTCTTGCGTTCCTGTATTTCTGTTATTCCTTCACCATCATAACTTGATTACAGTTAGATCAAGTTAGGCGACTGGGCCGCCGGAAAGGCAATCCAGTACGTAGCGTTATAGTCTACGTTATAATACATAGGCGTGAAATCCGTTTTGCGCGCAACATCCGGTTCGGGAGTTATGGCTGTTAGAAAATTCCAAAAGTTCAAACGCATTCAGGTGTACCAAAAGTCTCATTATGGACCAATCCCTTTGAAATTTTGCACGTAAATGCGCATAACCATGAAGATCGTTCTTACACGGATCCAGACTTCCACAATTTTTTTCGAATTTTAAAATAAATTTTAAAATTTTTGAAATTCATTTTAAAATTTGAAGAACATGCTGGAACAGTGGATCGATGTAAGAACGATCTTCATGGTTATGCGCATTTACGTGCAAAATTTGAAAGGGATCGGTCCATAATCAGACTTTTGGAGCACCTGAATGCATTCAAACTTTCTAGAATTTTCTATCAGCCATAACTCCCGAACCGGATGTTGCGCGCAAAAACGGATTTCACGCCTATGTATACAAATCTTTTGGCTACAAAATGCCATAAAGCAATGCAAAAAAGTGTTTGGGATTGCGCGACAGCGAAAGTTCCCGTGGATATACATGAATTTGGTGCCATGTACCGGGCCAAATCCCTTAATAATTGCCTTGTGCTACGTTATTCAGTTGGAGCATTCCAAAATGCCGCTTTAAACACCGCTGTGAACTCGTCCACAATAAACCTTTGCGATGTTTCCCCACGCTCGACCACCAGCGTACCACTTACCGTAATTTCAAGCCTTGTCTTAGCATGTAAAGCTGCAGGTTCAATCTCTTTACGAACCGTAAGGAGGAAAAGTACTTGCGAATCCTGCGGATTAGTGCTATCGGTCAGTTTCAATGGAGTGACGTCTAAGCTTAATGAAAACTGCGTTAGTTGATGTACAAAGTAAAATGCGTAGCCGGTACTGTGCAGTTTGTTGTGTGGTGGAATGTTTTGAGGAACACGGAAAATTCCGGAAATTCTTCATCTTAGTCATGACCTCTTGTGTTTTGCAATAATTTCGCGTGGCGGATCGGGATCATTATTCCTTTGTTGGATGTCGAGGAAAATGTCCGGTATGCTAACAATACATTTTAATAACTTCAGTCTTTTGAACTTGTCCCCATTTTTACTCTGGCCATAGAAATACTGCTAGTTCTCGCTAACGTTAGAAAATGGATATTTTGTACCGTATGGATGTTTGTACTGAAACGAATATTTGTAAAAGGTTTTTATGAAGCTCTTCTTGTGCAGTAATATCGCTATAGCGATCAGTGGTTTTAAAAGAAAAAGCATTGTAATGTTATTTAGGTGCATGTAGAGATCCCTACCGCAGGAAGTGATCCCCCTCTGGAAACATCGAAACTAAATCTGCTCCATATACAAATCAATTGCCAGCTTTTCAATGGGATCGTTGCCGCCACTTCTTCCATTAAAATTAACTTGTCTCGCACAGGTCCATTGTTTTGCGATGGCAAATCCTGCTCCGCGCGCATTTGTTCGCGGAACCTGGCGATGACATTCATTATCACTTCGGTTAATCCACTCCCACTGCCGGCGGCGTCTTGGCCGCCACCGCCATCGCATTGGTTACCCAGGCGTCTCGAGCGAACCTAGTGCAGACATTCTTAAAAAATGGTGTGCAAAGATGCATTGTATCCGCGGGTTCAACGGGAGGAATGGTCGGATCTCTCACATCAGGATTGCGATTCTCGTCCGGAATTCACACTGGTTTCCGGGGATGTTATTGCTGGTTGGCCGGAGAGAAGGCGCCGAGAGTCGGCATTTGCTGTGCGGTGTAGCTTTTGCAGTCCACACTCACAGCGAACGATCTTTCGCTTCCTATTATCAACCTGGATAGCGAATTTACGACAGTGATGCGGCGCCTAATAACGTCGGCAGCGCATGCACTTGTGGCGGCGGAGATACCGGTGATAGCAGTGACACGACTAGTGCCGGTAGCTCGGCTGACACAAGTGCGTTGGCTGTGGAAACGGGATAAATTGCCGTTTGCTAAGCGTCATCGATGGACGGATGTGATCCTTCAACATAGTCACCAACGCGATCGAGAGCACAGGTACCTGGTAGACTTTAGATAACTCGCACTTCGGCGCGGTTTAGTTTTTGCATACAGGTGGAATACGGGCGGAAATGTGTGTTTAGCTTGTTTGCGATCAAGTGTTCTGTTTTACTATGAAATGCTTGCTGACTTGCTCCACAACAAATTAGGTTCTGATTGGCCCGACAAATTCATGTCGAAATGTGTTTTTCAGCGGCATTTTCCATAATGATTTAGGCTACATGTGTTATTTTTACTTTGGTAGAACTTATTACAGAAAAATTCCAAAAACAGAAAAATGCAGATTAAAAAGGAAACCGTAATGTCACCGGCCAGCTAAATCGTGACATCAATTTGTAAGCACTTTCGATCAAATAAAAAATCGTAACGAAAACCAGTACAAAAAAGCAGTACTACAATACTACCTTAGAATGTTTTGCCAGAATCAAAGACCAAGAACCAGACACGATCTCTCTTGATCGTCAGCATCCAAATTGACACCTCGACCTTCGCCATTTCTAAAAGTCTCTGATACTGGTCATTTCCCTTAACCGTCTTTCAGACTTGGCGATTTGCCACTGTTCGGACTGCTCAAATGCCTCCCGCTCATCGAAAGGCTGGAACTGCGTAGTATTCTCTATGAAGAATATGCTGAGTATTTCTTCTGCGAACCTTTTGCTGACATATTGGTTTCCGGCGAACGATGGCATATCAACACGCGGCACCGCGCGCGGATCGGGATCGCAACAACCGGTAGTGATGCCACTGTCAGCATCAAGGCTGCCGATGCAGACGTCCGGTGTGACATGAGTTAAATCCAAGGTGATCCTTTCAGAGAAATAAGAGCTCAAAGCTTTCGTCCATAGTGTTATCAAAACGGGCCACTTATACAATTCACTTTAGACAATTTAAGCATTTAAATAATTATCTACAGCCATACTGAAATATACGTTATTATCTACTGGCTACAGCTGTACTGTCCCGTAAATAACGCTGCTGACTGCAGCTGGCGGAAGGAATTTGTACAATTAATTTGTGAGCCCACCATTTGCCGTCTACACTCTGCAATCCGCGTGTCTGGGTCACGGCATTCTCAATCACCGCCTGTGCATCCCCGTTGAGCACAGTAGCCGTCGGATTGAATTCCACTTTTTGGCACACGCATATATCGAAATCCTGGATTTCCCTGGGCAGCCAAGACTGTAGATAAAAGTTCATGGTCTGCTCCTGAGACTGAATGTATTTTCTATAGCAGGGCGCATTAAGGACAGGGTCACCGGAACGGCCGTCAGATAGACCGGTCACGCGGATACGCTGCCGCATCAATCGAACTAGCGGTTTTCCCGTTCCTGCAAATACGAATAAAATCCGCAGTGAGATTAATATCTTTCGCTGGAAAATTGCTAAATCTTTTAACAACAAAATTACCTGGAAGAATTTGGATTTCTGACCCAGTTGACTTTATTATGTATAGTTCAAAACAAATATAAAAATCATATCAAGCATTGCTAATTATGCTTACGAACATTAAAGAGCTGTAATACCAAATTAGGCTTTAGAAGGCTTTACCGCAGAGTGTTCCGCTCACGCACTGGCAAGGTAATTTGATCTCATGCCGATGGGAAAATTGTAGTTGAATAGAACGGACACGTACTCGTTGTATAGGGGCGTTGGAACGCCCGGCTCAGCAGGCCGCACAAATTTCAGTTTCAGACGGAATATACTGGCCCACAGTGAGCGCATTTGCACGTCGGGATCAGCCGATGTTCTGGACGCATCGTTCAGCTCGCTGTCGGGTTCCGGTGTGGCGTACTGCGAACAATCATCCAACGTGTAGTTTGCGAACTCTCCAAAGATGGCGAAAGGATCCGGTGTGGTTGTGCTCATAAACTAAAACGCAGTAAAGAGAAAGGTCACTTCAACAATGGCAGCGCACCGGGAGTGCTAAACTCGACGATGTTAAAATGCAGATGGATCAAACATTAGTTTGAAATTACCAAGCATTGATTCCTTTTTCGAGATGAGTAACGATGACACAATCTCAGTGTCAACGCATTCGGTTAAAGTTTACTACTGGGATCGTAAGTTACCGTCTTATTGGACATATCAGTGTTGTTGGTCGAATTTACATATTCTGGCGTGGTGGTGCTGAGAAGTGCATCTTTGAAGCATGTGATTACCACTATGCAAGGGTCCTCCACAAATGGTGTGTTTTGCAGTCTGCGCATTTGGTCCAGATAAAAAGGCAAAATATCCGGCACATCTCTCATTGTCGCACAGTCCAGTGTGTAGGTTTGGTCGCCGCCATCAACATTCTCATTGGTTGGTTCGCTCTTGGCGTCCGACGACGCATCAGCGGACGCTGAGATAGCTGTCGCTGTATCGTAATCCTCATCATAGTTTGAATGATCGCCTGAGTAAGAAGAAACAAAACCAAAGCATTAACATTAACTAAGCAATACAAGTCCTTTAATGAATCAACGAAGCAGACTATTATTTCGGTTATAAATGGGAATGTAGCAAACAAATCTGACGAATATTTTTAACAGCTCGATGGGAATTTCTAACAAGATTTCTTTTATCGTTGATCTGGTTCAAAGATTAATTGGTATTTCGACGACAACAACGATTGCAATCGTAACCCGATGTTAGTCAAGATTTTGAACATTTTTGCAAGCTACACTAACAAAAGTATAACTCTAGATTACAAGTTCTACCTTGAGCTTCATTTAGCCCAGATTTGTCCCGTGCTACATCGTTCAGATCGCTTTCAAATCCTGCAGGATTCTGGGTCAGCCCTGAAATTGGCTGAGCACCTGTAAAGTCTTCCTTGTCGTTATCGAGAAAATTCTCCTGCAGTCCTCCATAATCGTAGCTTTGCTTATCGCTGCTGGTATACATCGCAGTGTAATCTCCATCAATATTTCCATCGTCCTGACCTTTCACACTAATTTTGATTGCTGCTTCGATAAGAATGAGAAACTGCAGTGGGTGCATAGCAGGCGGATATGCAATGGTAGCATGAAGAAGCTGGCACGGGCGTAAATATTTTAATAATTTATTATTTATTTGAGGGCATGTAATCTGCGGTAATGGAATTTGCTGCGTTCTATTGTTGCTGCATGCAGAAATATTGGCAGGTTTTGACAGACACCAGAGCGCAGTCTTTGTGGACACTTAAATTCAGTCGGCAAATAATTATTCTAGCGGTATGCACGCACACAAATTAACGATAATAACATTACTGATTTTCAATTACATTATTTACTAGAAAACGAATTTAATAATTATTAATAACTAGAATTAGTACAGTGATTGAATTACCCACCTACTATTTTGCGCAGTGCGCGCTGCTTGCAGTTATTTTGATTTCAGTGTCTGTCTGCCTGTCTTAAGGTCACTTCTGTGGAAGAAAGAGCAAACTGGAAATATTCACGGTACCATTCGGACAGAACCAGCAATTTGTCAGAAATTTAATGCATACATCAAAAAATGCTGGTTATTTCTCTGTCTTGGCTCCCCCGTCACCTTTGCGCTCGTTTATCCCTACAATCAGATGCGCACAGACATGGCTGGTTTCCAATTGCCATATCCTCACTGTCCATACTTTTCATGCTACGTGTGTGTGATGGGTTTATGGTGGCAGGTGCAGTTTTGATGCATGAGGATTTTAATGTGTCAATACTAATAGTTTCCACTAATTAAACAAAAACCGCCAAGCGACACCGTCCGCTGCTCTCTTATTCTATCACAGATAGCGCTTATCCAAAACAAAATCCATTTCCAAGAAAACTGTGAGCGTGGTAATACGGGAAGGGGGTCAGAGAGTAAGAAAATCTACCGGTAGATTTACATATGTTGCAGCATTTGCGCACTGCGCAGCTACAACTTACAAGCTTGTCCGGTAATTTCTTACGAATCCATACAGCGATTTACACAAATTTGCGTGTTACGCCAAACTTCACACTACGGCGCGCCACACCACACTTTTCAAACACGTAACTTGCATTTGGCTGGGTGGTGGCCTCGTACACGCCATATAATTTTATGAGAAACTGCCTGGCGAAGGTGGCTAGAAAATGATTGGTGCAGTAAGCGACAATCTAACTGCGGAGCGCATTTACAGATTTTCATAAACGTAGTGAAGTGGCCATCGTTATATGCGCAAACTTCGCGCTAGCTGTACCTTTACGTAGGAAATTACCGGACAAGCTTGTACAACTGCTAAACAATACAAAAACAAAGCAAGCATCGCGGTGTTTTAATTCGGGTTTGCCCTCCGATTTTGCCAATAGGGTCCGCAATATCCTTCACAGACTTGGCCGGCAAAAAATTCTTCGTCCACTGTTCATTATCTTTGAAGCAATACCATTTTGACCGCACAGACGGCACAGTATAGGAGCCCATAGCAAATAAGGAATATCTGCAATCAGGCTCATTTAAAGTTGGACAAGCCAGGCAAGTAAAAGAAGAATCAAACGCACTAAACCGCTATTAGCAAAACCTACTGCTTCTTTAGCGGTAGAAGCTAATAGTTCATTTTACAGAACTTACCAGCGGCTTTCTCCGAGCACTGCCCGATATCTTCTGAGCATCCGGACCTTAAAAATGTGTTATACGGGTCAGAATACACCAAAGCACATGATGACGAATGATTTTGGGTACCGCAGTCAGCTTCGTCTGGCTGATTGGGATCGCATGCCCTCCCGCTGCCATTGGCTATCTTCGCGACGTCGAGCCCCAGCGTGGATTCACCGTCATGCCAGTTGGGATCGGTATTAAATGTCCCGTCCTCGACGGGAAGATCAGTGAGGGGATTAACGAACGTCGCATCTTCCGGATAATACCGTCTGGTTGTTGTTTTCGCGGTAGTAGTGAGCGCATCGGGGGCGGGAGCGGGCGCTGGGCTAGGTACGGATCCAGACCCGGGATCGGCTGAACCTCCAGCTGCACCACCGGGTACACTACCGGGTGCACTACCAGGCGCACTTCCAGAACCACTTCCGGTGCCACCTGCAGGAGTTACTGGAGCGGGAGCTACAGCTGACGGTTTCTCTGTTGTGGTAATCAAGTTCAACTTCTTGAAGTCCACGTTGCATTCGTCGTACTTGCACAGGCAAAATATCTCCCTTGTGAGGAAAGATTTTGTAACACCGCTGCAAACATTTTGTAATTTATAGGCCAGACCTACACTTGCCGAAAAAATACTTTAACAAATTTCTTGTATGGGCTCCGACTCCCTCTACAGTACATGCGCTGATACGTATATCTGGCTCCCCGCTAGTTAAAACGGCTGCGAAATTGCAAGTACTTATGTAACCGCGCACTAAGACGGTTGCCCATACTGCCCGCGTATTTGTCGAAGTAGTTTAACTGCAAAACGGGGTATGTTATCTGTAATTTTAAGAAGTTTTATCAGATCAGAGAAAAGAGCGGTTAATTAGGGCTACGGATGCCGTTTTCTCGCCATGACAAGCGGCAAAGCTTCAATGCGTCATGTCAAATTTATTTTAAATCCAGCTGCGAGAATTTGAGTTTTTCTTGCAGGGTCAAGGTTTAGCCATCTGTGGCCCAGGACGCCATTTTGTGTAGTACAGGGTTAACTAGCTTTGTAAGGGTTTTTCATGGTATGACCCGTATCGCCAAAAAGTCGATACTCCAAATTATTCCATGGTCGAGCGCGGCTATTGTGATGTTAAAACGATAAGCTACAAATTCCCTACATTCTGCTCAGCTGATATATTGGATGCTTTCGCTATGCAATAGCAGCGCTTGCTTCCAATGGGACAACGCTGGTCTCCACTGAACTAAGCGCTTGTTAGCCAAGAAGGAAAGATATAGATAGAAATTGTCAGGTTCTATCTCTACAAGGTAAACGGTACTTACTTTTTATGGTGAAACTGCTTACATTGAGCGAACATCACGGTCCATTAAAAAATCGAACCACCAGCGCTTTAGAGTAGCACTAGAAGTCTTCCGTATCTCCTGGGTATAGTCAGCATACTTGGTGCAGCGGTGACCCTGGTCGAACCTGATATAATCCCCGTACTTGATATCAACTAGAGTGCCAGCGGGAAATCCGAATGTTTTCAGGGAAGTGTGCTTGCCATCGCTGCAGCCCTTCGCGAAAATGGCCACGGCCTCTACGAATGCAGTCGTATTTCGCAAGGTCGCATGGGCCGGTGTGGCTCGTATAGCAGACTTGATTGATATTTTTACCATTATCGTTGTTGAGTTCTCGGTCCAAGGTGTGCACCGAGTGAGCATAGAAGCAGTATGGTTTATTATGTGGACACTCTTTCATCTTCGTATTGGCCTCACGCTCACATTCTGCTATCCATTTTGTATTTGTGAGACACTTCTTGCCTTGATTGGCTTTGCAGAAGCAGACGTCGGCGACGTCATCGGTGTAAACACATTGAGGGCCACCTGTTTTCATAATGGGAAAAGATAGGATCAGAAAAAGCGCGTATTACTGTAATTCTACGGAATCTACACCACCAGATTTTGATGGAGCAGGCGCATCAGTGTCATAGATTTCGGGAAATCATCGTAATAATATGTTTCCTCTATAACTCTGGGAGATTACTAGATATATCAGGTTTAGCAAGCAGACTGTGAAATATGTCATCAATATTATTAAATTAATATTAATTGATATCGTATCAGTATTAAATTAAAATGAAATTTGTATTGCTGGATACTGCCAAATGTTACTTAATAATTAATGTTACAATTAATAGTCTGCTACTGCCTACAGTCTCTACTCTGTACATTTGTCTTCCCCATTTTGTCGCCCCTGATTTGGCTTCACTGTAAGTACCTGCAGCCAAAAGACGGACTGGATTCTAAAATATCTACCTTCTGATTGCGAATACAGTAGAACAAGAAGAAATACTTCAACAAACGGCTTTTGATAATATGATATGTCCATTTTACTGAATCTGGAAGCGCTGCTGAAACCTCATGATGTTTCAGATTCCATAATACATAATCGCAAACGTCTACTACGTATTTAGGCCATGGACCATGGTTAAGGATTCAAGTCAGCTTTTGGAACAGAGCAGATGTGGGTAGAAACAAAGATTGCAAAGAAGATTGATACGCAATAGTACAAAATATGTAAGCACTTAGCTGCAAAAGTATAATCAGATCAGAATGATGAACTAATTATTAGTAAGACAAAACTGACATTAGCATTTTTATAGCAAACGAGTGAATTATTGAAGCGCTTAAGACCATGTAGATGTCGTTACCAAGGTAAGTGTTTATAGTTGGCATTTGCAGTTGGCTCAGGCCTCAGAGTATTCAAAGCATTGACTGACAGAGTATTGACTGATAAATGGTTTGAAAATGGTTTGAGTATGGTTTGAAAATGGTTTGAAAACGGTTTGAAAACGGTTTGAAAACTTTCAGTAATGGCTTGACTTCCAATTTTCTATTTACCGTGCTCTGGAAAATTTCCGGATTAATGACAGCACTCTACAGCTGTATAAATTAAGCAACCAACATTACTATTTTGATTAATATGGCATCTACTTCGAACTCGTTTGCGGTTCTACAAGAAGACACGGATATGGATGTTCAGCTACTTCCTTCCAAACGGAAAAATGCAGCGCCCGACGGAAACGTCAACAAACAACGCAATTTGACCTCTACTCTCATGACCAATATGACCAATTCTGCTACCAGAGCAATGATTATGAATTCTACTGACATTAACGTGTTAAAAAAGTATATCACTGATTCATTTCTAGCCGTAGATTCCTTGGTTTCTGAAACTCAACAGCTTCATCTGCAACTGATCGAATCACAGACTGAACATGCCAAAACGACCTCCAAGTTAAACGAAATTAATGTCCGAATCGTTCAAAAGCTACTGGATGGCCAAACCGACCCGATATCGTACGCAGCCGCTGCGTCAAAGCCCTCGAAGAAGTTTTCTGCTCCATCCAGCACGAATGCAACTACTATTTCATCGAATTTTCATCAGAAACGCTTCAATCTCGTTGCGACACTGCAGTCTAATGATCCCAACTCACCCTTCAAGCCCATTAAACCCAAAGAGACTATGAAGTTTTGGATAATTTGTTCAAATCAAAGTCACCAGAAGATACTCCCGTTCTAAAGGAGCTCTATCAGCGCAAAGTTAGTGGCGAACTCGTTCTTACATTCCACAGTGAAAAAGATCGCGAACAAGCTAAAGTCCTTTTAAGTTCTCCAAACGAAGCCATTAATGTACGGAAAGTAACTGTCCCACGGAACACGTTCCCTGTTGTCGTCAAGAATGTTGACCTCGAATCACCCGAGACATTAGTAGAAGAGATTGAATTGCGCAACCCGTTTTGCCGAGGCAAAGTCGCATTCGTTCAAGTCATTTTCAAAAGGGATCCAGCAACTCTACGGCCTAACTCGAAATTTGGATCTGGACCAAATGGACATATCAAGGTACACTTTGTGGATAATCAGTCCAAACATACAGCCCTGTCACTGAAGCATTTATATGTGTACAACACCAGAGGATGGGTCGAAGAAATTAACCCGGATACGGCAGTGCTCCGCTGCCACAAGTGCCACAAGTATGGTCATAAAATGAAGGAATGCCATGCGGCCAATCCGACCTGCGGAAAATGTTGCGGGATTCATTTTACTCGGGACTGCTCTGTAGAAGTGGTCGACCATAAGTGTCCCAACTGCGGTGAAAACCGTGCGGCTGGCTACTCGCGCTGCAGAATGCAAATCCGAGCGGTTGAACGATATTTGTCGAATCTTTCAATGACGCAATGCCCTTAACGTCTGAATTTCAGCTCCAGATACTTCAAATGAATTTGCACCGAAGTTTACCAGTTCTGCATTCCACCTTGCAAACTGCTCTTATACATGCAGTCGATGTTATTTGCGCCCAAGAATGCCCTTTAAAACCAGTAACTAACCCCGTCACCCTTTCCCAGTGGTGGAGATTTCCGCCTAATGAACCCAGTTCTGCAGCTATTTATTTCTCGAAACTCAGTTTTTCCGTGCAACCTTTGCTGCTTCATCATGAAGATAACTTATGTATTGCTTCAGTCATAACCACTGCTGGTTGTGTGGCTTTCGCTTCCATTTATCGTCCACCTTCGACGAACTACAATACTTTTATCGCCCTGCTCAACACTTTGCATGAAAAAACTCAAGGCTTCAAAGCTGTGGTCTGTGGAGACTTCAATGCACATCATACAATTTGGGATACGAGAGCTGACAGTTATGGTGACCTTTTGGTAGAAGCTATGCTGAAGCGGAATTTGCAGCTGCGCAGTCCACCATTTGTGTCCACGTTTATAAATGCAGTAGGAGGGTCTTCTGTGATCGACTTGGTTTTGACTGACAACGATCTATCAGCAACAATTGACTGCGCAGTTAAAGCCGAAGCTAACTGGCTTACAGGATCCGACCATTTACCAGTTCTCTTGTCACTTTGCGACATCGGTGTCGTCACTTCTCCACGCAAAAGACTCAACTACAGAAGAGCGGATTGGACAGGCTTTCAACTGTACACCTCGGACATGGTTGATGAATTGTTGGCAGCGGACTGTGAAACGCCGTCAGATTTGGATGCATTGACAGAGCAATTACACAATGGATTGAATTACGGCATCACGCTACACGTTCCCCTTTCTAGAAACCGTCAGGTAGCAACGCCATGGTGGAGCATTAATCTCAGCACAAAGCGACAAAAGATGTTCCGGTTCTTCAGAATTTGGAGACTTAGAAACACCCTAGAGGTCTGGATTAACTACAAGCGTATCCGGGCAGAATTTAAAAATGCATTTAAGAGCGCAAAACGTCGATATTTTCGAGAAAATCTAGGAAAAATGTCTCCTGAACAAGCATGGCAGGCCTATAACCGGCATTGCAACCCTCGGGAAAATGGAGGAATCGACGAAATTGTTACTGGCGAAGGTGCAACGCTGTCCGTTGAAAAAGAAAAACTAAACTACTTCGCTACGGATCTGCTCAAAGCGTCTCCACTCCCATCGGATATTCCGGAAGTTACAGAGACAAACAATTTTCAATCGCCACCTGACGGCACTGTTCTTATTACAGAAGCTGAACTTATACAGTCTATAACATCGGTTCCATCGCACCGTGCACCAGGACCAGATGGAATCCAGATGTCATTAATTCAGAAACTGCTGCCTATTCTTTTACCGCTACTTTTGCGAATATTTAACGCTTCCTTGACATTTGGTCACTTTCCTAAACCGTGGCGATGCGGTAATGTCTCCATTATACGTAAGCCTGGACGCCCGACTTATTCAAGCACAAAGCATTACAGACCAATTACACTGCTTTCGGTTTTGGGGAAACAACTGGAAAAGCTTATGATATCGCGAATACACTTTTATGCTTTGACTAATGGCTGGATACACAAACGGCAGTTTGGCTTCAGACCGGCTCATGGCACCGCGGATGCTTTGTTAAGTGCAGTTGACTTCATTAAGGAAGGATTCAGAAGAAAAGAAGCAACATCGATGGTAACGCTGGATTTACTGGGTGCGTACGATAACGTTTCACATTCACTACTGCTGAACCGGTTAAAAGCTCTCGGGTGCCCGTTCTGGATCGTGAAGTGGATGCGAAGTTTTCTGCTACACAGAACCATCAAAGCCGTTAGTCAAAGCGGCCAAGCAGATCAGTTTTATTTAACCCGTGGTGTTCCTCAAGGTTCTCCGCTCTCCCCAATGCTGTTTATTATTTTCATTGATGACCTTTTAAAGAAGTTTAATGAATACACCGGATTCATGGGACAAGCATACGCAGACGATCTAATGGTACTAGTCCGATCATCTCTATAACAGATAATTGTTCCCGGATTAATGGTCTACTTGTCGAGATTGAAGAATGGTCTATTGCAGCCGAAATGCCGTTTGCATTCGACAAAACCGAACTGATGCACTTTACATGTAAAAGAAATGTTCCGACGCAGTCTCCTGTATTATTCGGTCAACATACAGTTCATCCTGTGGATAAGCTGAAATACCTGGGAATAGTGTTCGATCCCAAGCTAACTTGGACACACCAGGTTGCTCGCGCAACCCAGAACGCGTATGGCCGGCTCAGTAAACTTCGACCCATTTGCAAGAAATACTGGGGTGTCAACTACCACATCATGCGCCGGTATTACATTGGTGCTGTCCGTCCTGTTCTCACTTATGCTGCAGTCGCTTGGTGTGGAATTGGGAAGTCACTATCTGCCAAAATCAACAAAGTTCAACGGCTGGCTGCAGTGCTTATTACCGGAGCCCAAAACACATCTCCTACTGTCGCATTAGACGTCGAAGCCCAGTTAACTCCAATGAACTTACATCTTCTTGAAGTGGCTGCGATGTCCCTCTATCGCTTACAAACACTGAAAGATATGAACATAGCACATGCTTTGGTACAATACCCTGAAAAACAACATTTGCACAAATCTCCATCGTCGTACATTGTGCAGCGCCTGGATGCGATGGGATTGAAGTTTCCTACCAATGTTGTTTTTCGTGTACAGCAAGTTCTTCCCTACGTCTACGCGTCTTTGCGCTCCAGGGTCATCATTTCAGCACTGCAGGCATCAGCCGTGAATCACCATATAACTGCCAAGCGTCTCCTCTCTACAGGACATATGTTAATTTATACCGATGGATCAAAACAAGGCGATAATGTTGGAGCTGCTGTTGTTGTTTTTACTGGCCAAGCAGTGTACCGGAAAGAATACCGACTACCGGCTCACGCAACTGTTGCGCAAGCGGAATTGTATGCAGTCCATCAAGCTTTGTTGTACATGGGGCAGTCGGAAGTGCGTCGTGCTTTTCTATATTCTGACTCGAAAGCTGTATTGGATGGTATCAGTGCCACTATTTATGGTTCGCCTAACAAAGACATCAAAGAAATACAGGACTGTCTGCTGTGGTTGCTTTCGCGCGGTGTTGAAGTAACCCTTCAGTGGATCCCAGCTCATATTGGTATTTATGGGAATAAAATGGCAGATTTGGCGGCAAAACAAGGAGCGCATTTACCGGAAAACGGAGGTTTGCAACTGCCGTTGTCAAAAGCGTCGTTTAGACAACTATTAAGCACTACAATTTCTGCCGAATGGCAGAAAAATTGGTCAGCATCTCAAAAAGGGAGAGCTCTCTACAATGTCCAACCGAATGTGTCTTACTCGATATGGAGAAAGCCAGTACCGGTCACACGAAAAATGCAGGCACTTCTGACC